GGAAAATCGCACAGGAATGACGATGCCTTGATCAATGAGATCTTAGTAAATTACCACTTAATTACTGTCTAAAAATGTTAAGCTAGCTTTGTAGTTGACTTAAGGGCAGCCATGACATCACTGTGATTTCACTGTAGATTATGTGTAACACTGACAGCTAACTGGCCTACTTTCTGCAATGCTAATTTTTAGTTCATGCACTAATTCCAAGCTTGTGCATAACACATGTACTGGCTACAACGATCTAATCGCATAAAATGCATGTACAGTACGAATATACGGGCTAGTTCAAATAGAGCACGTATATCGAAGCACAAAGTTTAAGATTCTCATGTGTTACAAATGTACTCATGAAATAAAATGAAATGTGTTATATTTTTAAAATGTATTTATTGATTTATTTTACCTTTCAGGCTGTATTTTACATTTCATTATGAAGTATTTGTTACTCTGATGCTGTATATTGTGTCTGATAACATGTGCGTACATAATGACAATGATACTCGCCAGCCTTACTCATTATTTGTAACAAATGTCCAGTTATTTGTACATTATCCTTAACAAAATATCTCTCCTCCTCATGTTTGTCGAAGGTAAAGACAACAAATACCGTATTCGACGTAATAAGCGCCCATGGCGATATTTGCTCATATACTGGCTAGTGAACAATCCCAATTGGCACCCTTCCGATTGATCTATGTACACAAGGCTTATTTATTCGTGTATAGTACGCAATCGTGTGTAATATGCAACCTTGATTACGGGCAATAAAATTCCTGAAAAATATATCTGTCGTGTATAATACACACAGAGTTTCTTTTGTATCATTTCAGGGTGTCGGCATAAACCACACAATTTACGATCTTTCAACTATTTCACCAAAATTATATTCTAATAAGAGCCCCCTATTTCTAATTTTGAGAGTGCCCTGGGCGCTTATTACGTCGAATACGGTAATACAAAATTAGGGATTAGTCAATGAGATATCATATCCACTGTAGAAATATCCGAATGATGCTATCTTCCAAATGAAATACTTCAGTCCTCCCCCAACCACATTTTTTCCAGTGTCACTTTTTTATCAACAATTATACGAAGATAGACGTTTAATTTTGTGGGGGTGTATTTTATGGAAAGCTTATTTGCAAGATCAGTAATGAGCAGGTTTTCACTGAATGTCAACAAGTAATGATTGAAACATCTGTCTGTGATATGAGCACCATTAATACAAAATTTGAAGATTTATTTTTCTCTAAGCAGTTTGGTTAATAAGGTCTGGTACAGCCTTGGATTATCAAAATGTGCAGTCTTCCACTGGGTTTTATGATATAACTCATAAGGTTAAAAAAAATAATAGTCTTGGTTCTCAGGCACCGCCTGCACCACAATAAAGTCCATCACACGTTTCGTTTTTATTTCCATTTACAAAAAAAATTTTAAAATCCTCATCCTTGAACACAATGCAATCCAATAAAGCACACAGTTACTTCCGTTTACATGTGCACTGCTTTACTGTGCATCTCATGCTATGAACATGGCGCCAATAGGAGTTTGTATGCTTGTTTATGTAGGGAGGCCCTTTCCCAGGTTGATGGTACACAACTGTTTATTTGGTTACATACTAGTTTGAACAAGCCACACAAAAAAACATCGCCCGCCCACACTATATTTTCAAGTCATTGCCTGAGAACCAGTTCTTTAATTTTTTTAAGCTTAAACAGACACTGATGCAGCATACTCTTTCACCTAAACACATATTGATGTTTACACAACTGTACTATTTGTGAGATATGCTTTGATGAGATATGAAAATAACAAATCAAGTTGACTTGAAACAGTCTCAAGAAGTTAAATATACAGTACAGTAAATTTACACGATTATTTACAAGACAAACAGGCAAACATTAGAAAAAAATATAAACTATTTACCATCTTGGAAAATGTATGCACTTCAAATAAGTGATGCACAACATCCCCGTTACCATGACAATACCATACCCTAGTTTTGAAATGTATATTAAACACTACAACCAGGACATATTGTGTTTAACTATAATCATTAAATTCAAGTTGTGATATCGATTAGAAGTCAAAGTAATGTTTTCAATATTGCTGCTCTTGAAAATTGGAGCGGATTTCTGCAGATGATTATCAGAAAAAAAAATGCAAATCATATTCTAAACATTTCAGCTTGGTTTCAGCATTTCTTTTGACATGATTACTGATGCATGCTGGGCATTTTGTAGCCATATTTTTAATCAAGTCACTCTTGAAATGAACTGAGATGTTCTTAATTTAATCATGTTGATGATTTCAAAAATAGTTCCATTAATTAATGTATACATACACGGTGATGAGACCCAAAAAATTCAGTGATGTTATGCTCATTCGACAACTCTTTTTAACCAATCAGATCAGAGAACATACCTACTTTTATGTTACAATTTAACACCACCAGTTTGCCAACACACATCCATTGGGAAATTACTCTTTCTGACATAGTCCCCCCACTAAAATACTTGTGTTTCAGGTAACCGATTGACTCATTGTTTCACTTGCTACCCAACTGTATTCATCACTGTAGGAAACATCCGCAAATAACCCATATTTAACATTTGCATATTATCCAGAATTATATTATTCCAGAAACATTGGAACTATCAAGCCATCTGTGGTAAATTTTTAAAAAAATTGTAGGACCTAACCAAATTTCAAGGGGCATGTGAACAATAATATCAACGCTCTACTGCAGTTCTCCATTTCTTGTTTTCATGAAGGTTACGGCCCTTGTGGAATAGCGGTTATTATTCTTAGGCACACCATGACAAAAGTTGTCTACACGGACTCGACCGATACCCATGTGTCGACACAACATGTGTTTGCAAAGGAAATTTGAATTTAACCAAAATGTGACACTATCCAATACAATCAGTTTCATTCGAAGCATTCCCTAATTCTGTTGCTAGAATAGTTCAAATGTACAAACAACAGGATAATTATGCAAGTCATATTCACTCACTGGAACACTTGTTTTGAGCAAACACAATTGGACCTCAGAAAATTCATACCATCACATTGAGGGAAGTCAGTTAATGCTAATCCAACTTTAATCAAATTAATGTCTGCATGCAACCTAAAAGATCCAGAGATTTACCTTAGTCTAAATGAGTCCTCACGACTCCCGGGAATAGGACTGTCGTTGGTATATTGGCATCCATTTGTAGTTTTTATATGTACAGAGTGCAATCATGTAAAACCCTGGCACCGTTCAACAGCAGCTTTAAGTCAAGACGTATTACAGTAATAACATGATACCTGACCAGTTATGCCATTATAAATACACTGTGCAAGTACATACAGGTTGTTTTGATATAATTAATATAATGAATACTTTCATGATGTAATGTCTATATTTCATATATACCGGTATCTTGATGACTTGAACATCATCCATTTTGAGTGAACCACCAAATTAAATTCCAGTCTGTGAAATTCATGCTAGTCCTCTGCCTCGACTACTAAAATGTGCTGAGGTCAAGTAAACTTCCAAAGAGTAAGTGAGTGAATATGGTTTTACGCCGCTTTTAGCAATATTCCAGCAATATCACGGCGGGGGACACCAGAAATGGGCTTCACACATTGTACCCATGTCGGGAATCGAAACTTCCAAAGATCGTAGACCTAACGGATGAATAGAATTTGAGGGCTGTAGTATAATTTTAAACCAGTTCTCAATGCTCAATTTTGTTACTAATTGGAACTGAATAAAACTGAAAGAAAATGTAAACATAGTAAACATTTTTGTCTGGTTCAAGTAGGAAAACTCTGGGGACTATGCAGAAATTGTACACTAGTACTAAAAAAAAACATATTTCTGAGGCTGCAATTCCTAGGATATTATCTAGTGCCGGCTGACTTGCACAAATGTAACACAAGCTAATCTAAAGATTCCAAATTTCAACAAAATGTTCAAAATGAACACTGTAGGAATGACAAACTACATGGCATCAAATACTGATCTAGAAATAGTCATCAGAACACCAGTCCAGCTGAGAGCAAGAAGAAACTGTTACCACGGTTACCATGAATACATACACAACAAACTCAGCTGTCCTCTGTCGGGTTTCCAGGGCTGGACATCACCACAGTCCGCAATACTTGCAGGAAGACCGACCAAACCGAGGTGGTAGTAGATTGTTACTCATGCTATCAATCACTGGTTATCTCCATTCTATTGTGATACATACCCTCGACCCATTCACAATCACAGCTTAGTTTGCACCCCATTCAAATGATACAACGATAATAAAAGCCATCCAATCAAATTACTCCGATGATTTATCCAGTAGCCCAAATTAAGTGCCCTTATAGGTCATTAAGGAAAATATTGTTATTTGGCTCAATCGGTCAGTGAAATACATGTCACCCCTACAAAAGCATAATACTAGCCATTACTATATTTAAATGAATTGGGAAATTTGTAATTCCAATTTGGGAGTTTTTACTGACATTTGCTGTAGACTTTGGGTAAAATTTCGGCCTCTTCGCAGGTCTCGATAAATCCTTGGATTGGACAGATGGTAATGACACAAAGCTATGATGGAGCGTCAGGGGTATATACATCTTTCCAAGGCAAGAGAGTTACCGGTAACTGACTTTAAAAGTCCAGTTTCCACCCTTGCCAAACTAGGCTGGAATTCCTGGGCTCGATCGTAGCGCCACCAGTGGTTATCACAAGTAATGTCCCTTCTAAACCGCTCCTATGGACCAATCAGCTTCCACTCGTATCACTTGCATTTGATTCAAACAAAATGGCGGCACCCAGTCAAGACGATCTGATCGATTATCAAAATCTATATTGTGATAAAACGCGAGGTGCATCAAATCACGTGAGCATCTTGATTAAAACATGAAAAGATTTGGAAAATATCTGTTGACGTACACATGCTTTGCAAATCCTGCAATCGACCGAAATCTGCACAACAGTTTACGAACCAGATTTCGATTTCGTTGCTCGAATTTGATTGGACTATGCATACACTCGTTAGTCCAGCCAAAATGTTACTCCATAATACCAGCCTAGTTCGGCAAGGGTGGAAACTGGACTTTTAAAGTCAGTCAACTCTCTTGCCCCGGAAAGATGGGGTACATATCACAACAGAAGGAATACATAAAATACAGATAATCAAGGTAATGGCTTTCTCGGCCAGACTTGATTATTTACAGGTGCCATAATATAGCTGTAACATTGCTGACATCAGCAATAAAAACTTCAGTGGTCATTAACAAAAGCAACTGATCACAATTCTCTCCGTCGGAATAAATATATTAAACAGCAACATCAGCAATATTCTGGAGACGTCACTCAGTGGCAATATGTTGAGACTATGACAAAGACTGAGCATCATTGGTATGGATACCACTAAGGAGGTATTAATACCACTGCAGATGGAAACTTGTACTCCCGTCCTGGAAATGGGGATTGTCTGTAATCTGGGCCCGACACATGGGACAAGTTCGTTCTCGGTCAAACCACAGTGACACACAGTCTTCACAGAATACATGCTGAAAATACAACATATCAGAATATAGACAGGAAATATTCATCTCAAATTGAATCATATACATCATCAAACAACTAAAATAACATGAGACAAACTGTAATAGCTTCTGCACAATTGAAAATAAAGTTCCAGGGGTAGGTGTTTGTTTGTTTGTTTGTTTGTTTGTTGTTTAACGCCACAATCAGCAATATTCTAGCTATATGATGGCGATCTCTGTAAAAAATCCAGTCTGGACCAGACAATCCAGTGATTGATATCACGAGCATTGATCCACGCAATTGGGATCAATGACCTACATCAACCAAGTCAGCGAGCCTGACCACCCGATCCTGTTCATCACCTTTTACAACAAGCATAGGTTGCTGAAGACCTATTCTACCCCAGATCTTCGAAACTTTTAGTTGTTACATACAGTACAAATTCAAAATAATGAACACTGTCTTAAACTCTTCTTTAGCACAGGTACTATGTGAAGAAAAGGATACAGCCATTATTAAGGGTAAATGATACACTGAAACAGCTTGAAATGGAACCATGGATATGGTACATATTAATCAGTGTTAATCCTTGTAATTTCTTGCCAATAGTGCCAGTTCCTATACATGGACAGTATCAAAACTTTACCTTGCACATAAGCATAAGAAATAATGGGACAAATATTTATTAAAAACATGAAATGAATTTATATTTTTAAACTCTGAACAGTGAGTGAGTGAGTGAGTTGGGTTTAACACCACTTTTAACATTATTCCAGTTATATCGCGGCGTGTCAGCTTAATGTGGGAGGAAAGCCCGAAGTGATGCAGGTCTCAAACGTTTACCAATTCGGTGAAACCCACAAGCCCGGGTATGGTGCTGACAAACCTAGAAACATAATCGGGGCGAACCGGGATTCGAACCCACAATCATAGGTTTCTGGCGTGCCCAAGGGACGCAACTCTGCTCAGCGAATCGCGGTGCCTTAGATGACTGGGCCACCCGTGCCACCACTCTGAACAGATGTCTGGCTTTCCAAGACGGATGAAAACAATTCAAGCCTGCATTCCAGCCGATTCATTTCAAATATTTAATACTTTCTAATTGTACTTGATTGTCCATAAAATCTGGTGAGAAAAATATCAATAAAAAACATTTTTTTTTTTTGTGAAGCATATTCTTGTAAAAGTAACTACCAGTGTGTTCAACAAAAACCAACTTACTTTACATGTAAGCATGACCGGCTCCTTATAATCATCCTGGCATATTGGACAATGTTCTCCTCGATTCTTCAACTCACTTGGCGTAGGTTTCACACCAAAATTCTGTAAACATGGAAGCAATTGTTAAATTAACTGATTTTACAGATCAGTTTCTGAAGACCTGATTTGTTTGTTAATCAGTGCCCACAGCCATATCCAACTATATGATGGCTGCCTCTTTATAAGAATCCGAACCAATCTGACCATCGCTTATTCGAGCGGGGTGCTTATCATGTCAAATACAGTAGTCACGGGCTGGCAGACTAGTGTGAACTTCGAGGTTGAAAACGTGATGAGTGAGTGTGTTTTGACCAGTATTTTGGTCGTATCATTGCATATTACTATGGGAGGAAAGCCCAAAGTGATGCAGGTCAAAGGTGTTTACCAGTTTTGTAAAACTGAAGCCCGGGCATGGTGCTGACAAACCAAGAATCATATTGGATTCCAATCAATGATCAGGCTTCTGGGACAAATGCACAGTTTTTTATAGACTGGTGATGTCTTCATCTGCTGGTCAAACTATTTGAAAATGGCAAACGTCCTTTTCAGCCAATCCTTTTGTATCTTTTCATGATATTCCATGGTTACTGTAAGTACTGTAATATACTCAACTGAAACAACATCTACAAAATCTTTTCATTTTATGCATGTCATATGGGTTAGAAAATATCATAAGTTTGCAAGTCTGAGACTAGAATATTGTGACATTTCGTTCTAGAATATCACTTTCACAAACTCTAGCAGATGGTTTGTGAGGACGAGCGAAAAAATGAATCTCTTAACATTGTCAATATTGACACAAATCATACTCACTGCTTGAACACGGAGTCTGTTGAAGGCTTTGACTAGCTCACACCACAGTCCCCAAAGAATGCTAAGTTTGAAGACGCCGTATACAATGACACACAAGATGGAAAACCAGCGAGCTGACTGCTGATCATCAGACAGGAAGTGTATCCAAGGAATTATGGGTATAAGGTGACGGTAACACTGAGACACGTGCTCCACAAACATAAAATATTTGCCCTGAAAAAACAAACGGTTATTATTAAGAATGAGCTAAAACTGTTTGTATCAAAGGATACTTATCTCCTAGGCACCAGATAAGCTGCCTATTTGTACACAAAATAAATTACCATAACCCAATTTATTTTGAGCTGCTTATGTACAAATATGCATGAAAGATTTCTAAACCCCGAAAGTTTAACAACACTGTGCATAATAACACAATGTAGACTTTTTGGCCAGCATACCTGATTATCTTTACACATCTATATTTACTGATTGAATGCAGGCATCAGTTGTTCATGAATCTAGCTTATCTTTGGACCATACAGCTTTGACATGCTGTGGAAAGTTGCCCTCTTTTTTAGTAATTGAGTGAGTTAATTACTTTGTTTGTTTGTTGCTTAACGCCGCACTCAGCAATATTCCAGCTATATGACGGTGGTCTGTATATAATCGAGTCTGGACCAGACAATCCAGTGATTGACATCAGGAGCATTGATCCACGCAATTGGGATACAGTTGTGAGTTAGTACATTTTTACGTCGCTTTTAGCAATATTACAGCGGGGAAAACCAGAAATGGGGTTCACACATTGTACCCATGTTGGGAATCGAACCCTGGACTTCAGCGTGACCAGCGAACGCTTTAACCACTAGGCTACCCAAGTGCCCCAGCGTTTTTATTTTAAACATGTTAAAGTAACCTACACTTGAAACTAGCCTTTCCCTGGCCCATATTGGTAAGTAACCTACACTTAAAACAAACCTAACTTTAACATGTTGGCTTACTAATTAAAGTAGCTTTGATTTTTACCTTCCTTGGACATCTGATTAAAGTACCTCTGACCTAGTCTTGCATCAGTCTTTCTTTGGCCCACAGACTGCAGAAACTATTGATATATATTAGGCTTAAAAAAAGAATTATCTTGGTTCTCAGGCACCACCCGCATCATCATAAAGTCTGCCGCATGTTTCATTTTTATTTCCCTTTTCAAAGAAATAAAAAAATCCTAATGCTTAAAAACAATGTGATCCAAAACAGCACACAGTTACTTCCCTTTAACATGGACATGGAAGCAATAGGAGTTTGTATGCTTGTTCATGGAGGGAGGCCCTTTCCCAGGTTGATGTTTTACAACTGTTTATTTTGTTACATACTAGTTTGAACAAGCAACAAAAAAAAACAACCACTGCCCGCCCCACACTATATTTTCAAGCCATTGCCAGAGAACCAATTCTATTATTTTTATAAGCCTTATGTCTAACAACTGGTCAATGTTTAGTGTTTGTTTGTTTGTGTGTTGTTTAACACCGCACTCAGCAATATTCAAGCTATATGACGGCTGTCTGTACAAAAACGAGTCTGGACCAAACAATCCAGTGACTGACGTCAAATAGGATATGGGATACAATGACATGTATCAACCAAGTCAGCGAACCTGACCACCCGATCCCATTTGTCACCTCTTAGGACAAGCAGTCGCCTTTTACGGCAAGCATGGGTTGTTGAAGACTTATTCTAACCCAGATCTTCATGGGTCAATGTTTGGTGTACATAGTTGAACAAGCCTGAGGTGAGAGGTAAAACAGGGTTTAACGTTGCGTTATTCCACTGATAAAGCAATGTGCATATACACAGCATACTGACTCCTGGCTGAAAAGTCCTTGTGTTATCTTGAGATCAAAATAAGGGTCTCCATCAGGGACCAACACATTTGGTGACAGAACTTTTCAGACAGTGGTCTCAAATCTGTGGAATAATCTATCTTTGCATTTTCACTCAATTCAGGAACTTGCAAGCTTTAACATGTTTAAGAGGAAACTGAAAACTTTTTGAGTAGGCCTATGAAGTGTAGAGACTTGATCGCTTTGTCTGTCGTGACATTACTCAGACCAAAAGCGCTTTTGAGCAGTAGTCTACAGGGTCCCGTTCCACAAAGCAATCACAGCACTATGACTGTCGTAAATCTATGTTAAAGTATGGGAGTTACGATCACCTTAAAGCTAAGATCGCTTTGTGGAACAGTCCTTGACATTAGTGCTATGTGTAGTGAGTGAGTGAGGGAGTGAGTTTGGTTTTACGCCGCTTTTAGCAATATTCCAGCAATATCACGGCGGGGGACACCAGAAATGGGCTTCACACATTGTACCCATGTCGGGATTCGAACCCGGGTCTTCGGCGTGACGAGCGAACGCTTTAACCACTAGGCTACCCGACCGCCCCAGCTCTATGTGTAGTAGTTGAATACCCACCCTCCTTTTGTGGGGCAGACACTGGAGAGGCACCATGGCAATAAATGACTTCAGTATGACTGTGGAGAACTTGATGATGTAGTCAGTCAGTAGGACTATCCACAGCAGTGTCCAGATGTCCACCTCATTCACATGAGGCATCTTGAACATCAATCTAAAAAAACAAACACAAAATCATTCAAACCATTAGGAGACCTCAACGACCAAAGCCAACAGTTTCCAAAGGAGCCGAATTCAAAATGAAATCCAAATCAATCTTTAAATGCATTATTACCTTACATATATTTGCACAGGATTTGTGTTTGAGTGAGTGAGTGAATTGGGTTTAACACCACTTTAAACAGTATCCCAGCTACCGTATTCAACGCAATAAGTGCCCCCCTCTAATAAGCGCCCACGGCAACATTTGCAAAGATATTGGCTAGTGAACAATCCCGATTAGCACCCCTTCCGATTGATCAATGGACACAAGACTTATTTATTCGCATGCACTTGTGTGTTATATGCACCCTTAATTATGGGCAATTAAATTCTGGAAAATCTGTCATACATAAACATTTCAGGTTGTCAGCATAAACCATGAAATATATTTTTCAACTGTTTTTTTTACCAAAATATTATTCTTATAAGAGACCCCTATTTCTAATTTTGAGAGCGCCCTGGGCGCTTATTATGTCGAATACGGTATATCACAGCATCAGCGTAATGGGGGAGGAAAGCCTGATGTGATGCAGGTCTCAGACGTTTACCACCTCGGTGAAATCCATGAGCACAGGTATGATGAGACAAACCGACAAACAAAATGGGGGTGAAAGACTTGTGTTTGACATGAGGTACACCATCGTAAATGTGGTGACTTAATGATAAATCATTGGTGCCAAATCATCACCAACTAGAGGGCTGCATAAGTCCTAAAGTAAATAATAAACTGAGAAAAAAAAACATAAGTAAGGTGCCAGAAGTAATTATGGTAATTTGTTCAAAATGAAAAATATCATATAACATTGTATAAAATTCAGAAACAATACAACTACCGGTAACCATCATGACCATAGGGTATGTTCTTAAGAAGCATGTAATACATCATCAATCCTAGTGGAGTGCAACAAGACACCACCTATTTTGGGCTGTGGTTAAAGAAACATAAGTAGGGTTTGGGTTCGGGAAACACAGCTAATCCTTCTAGATTGTCACTAATTCAGGACTAAAAGTTGAGCTGAGTAGTGACTCCAACCCAGCACTTCTCCACGGCAGGGGATTAAAAGTGAGTGAGTTATAAGCCACTCTAGCAACTTTCCAAACATATCATGACCAAGGACACATTATTTCCTGAGTGAGAAATCAACCCAACACTTAAGTTTTACCAGCCAACGCTTTACCCACTAGTCTAATATCTCTCTGGTTATCTAGTTACTGGCACTTTGTTGCGTAATTACAGTTGATGATAATCCTACCATCCTGGAGATAATCATGATAATGGGTCCGTTCCACACAAGGCACTAATTACAACATCTGGCCCTAGATTGACAATGGGCTCCAGGCCATCCGTAAGATGCCTTGTACAACCAGAATAGTTTGCCGAAGACAATTCTAGCCCAGAATCCCCCCAGGGTCCGCTTTTAGCCATATTCCAGCACTATCACGCAGGGGACACTAGAAATGGGCTTCACACATTGTACCCTTGTAGGGAAGCGAACCCAGGTCTGCAGCGTGACGACCCAATGCTTTAACATCTTCCCGAGGCAAGAGCGTCCACTAGCCTTATTTTCAAAGTCTTGTTTTCACTCTTGCCACATCAAGCCCACTTTCCTGTGCTAAATATGATTGGACTATCGCACATGTCACAAAATCAGCATTCATGACTGGTACACCTTCGTATGAAAATGATTTACCGCTGCCTGACTTTGTCGACATGAATATGTCTTTTTCATCTTTAAACCCCCCAACGATTGCCTATGTTTTTGTGTCAGGGATGAAATCGTGAATCTTTTCGTTATCTGATCGACTAGGTCATCGCCTATGGTAGCCGCCATATTTGTGAAACTATACAAGATAAGAACAGAGATCTGATAGGATATCGCGTTTTCATTACAGGGGGCACAACTCGTGATCTTAGCGAGCTGGTGCCAGGATCGAGCCAAGAAAAGTGGCCTTGATGTGGCAAGGGTAGAAACTAGGCTTTGGTATAAGCTAGTGGACGCTCTTGCCTCGTGAAGATGATGCTTTGACCACTGGATTGATTACCCCGCGCCCCCACCCCGCCCCCGAGGAGAAGAAGAATCCATCTGATGCAGTACTTACAGCTTCCAAATATTTTGTTCTGAGAATGCATAGTAGAGTATAGCAATGTTAACTGCGAGGAAACATATGAGCCACAGAGGCTGGAAGACTGCCCACAGAGCTCGACTCTCCTGTCAACAGAAACAGAAACATAGTGACCAAGAAGACAACGTCATACAATCAGCATTAGAAATTGGCATGAGTGAGTGAGTGAGTGAGTTTGGTTTTACGCCGCTTTTAGCAATATTCCAGCAATATCACGGCAGGGGACACCAGAAATGGGGTTCATACATTGTACCCATGTCGGGAATCGAACCCGGGTCTTCGACGTGACGAGCGAACGCTTTAACCACTAGGCTACCCGACTGCCCCTAGAAATTGGCGTGAGTCCTGTAATCCTCGCCAAACTGCCAAATAGCTATGGTATCACAAGGACTAGTAGAAAGTTTTAGCCATAATGGGGGGTTTTGCTATATGTTATCATCATAAAGACTAGTGGACTAAAAGTACCACTGACAAAGCATTTGTTTACCACCACATTCAGCAATATTTCAGCAATATGATGGCTGGTTTGTGAATAATCAGGTCTGGACCAGAAAAACAAGAGACTGATCTTATGAGCAACGTTCCACACTGTCAGGGAAGGATGACATGCTTTGTTTTGTTTGTTTGTTGTTTAACGCCGCACTCAGCAATATTCCAGCTATGTGACGGCGGTCTGTAAATAATCGAGTCTGGACCAGACAATCCAGTGATTGACATCATGAGCATCGATCCATACAATTGGGACCGATGATATACATCAACCAAGTCAGTGAGCCTGACCACCAGATCCCTTTAGTCGCCTCTCGCGACAAGCATAGTCGCCTTTTACGGCAAGCATGGGTTGCTGAAGACCTATTCTAACCTGGACCTTCACGGGATGACATCAATCACCAATCCATTTAGTTGCCATGTATGACAAGCATAAGTTGCTTGAGGGGGGGATCTATTCTTAAACAACTCCAATACCGATCATGGTGAGTAATATCTACATTGTAATAAATTATCAGTTGTCATTTCTAATATCATATAAGACCGCCTCCATAGTCTAATCATGCTAATGGCAGTGTGTCTGCCTGAAGAGCGAAAGGTCTGGGGTACGATCCCCTGGTCGCGTCGTACCAAAAAACGTTAATAGATGGTACTTGTTGTTACCCTGTCAGCCTTAAGGGGCTAAAACAAGCACTGGTCGGCTCAGAGTCAGTATACTGTGCCTGGGTGGGGTATTTATGTTAAACTGCAGCACGGTATCTCAGTGGGCTGGAACTATAAAATTGGCATTAGTCCAGACTAGAACAAGGAGCCATACACACACGTGCATGCACATCGCTTTATAAGTGCAATAAACTTGGACGTGACATTAAACCCCATTTCACCTATTTCTAATAACAAACTCTTTTGTGTATAATAATCATGACAATTGTTTGACATTGAGTTTCTTATACTTCAAAATCAAAAACGTAAACATTCCCTTTATAACTGACCATGGCAACTAGACAAATGTTCTATTTCTGACATGGGCCCTTTATCATGTTTATGTGAAAATATTCCAGAGGTACACTCACACATGCCCAAACAACACAATGTTAAAATGCCCCATTGTCTTTGAAAATGTGGGCCTTTTTTCAAGGCTAAAAGCACAATGCCCCACCCTAGAATAATGCCTGGCAACTAGACAAATGTTCTATAAGAGCCATATTGAGACAGTGGTTATTAGGATTGGTGGACAAATTCTGTTGATCACAGTTTTGTCAACTAATTTCTAAAATATTCAATCATGATAAAATGAATGTAGGGTCTTCAACTTCCATCTTGAAGTCATCAGAATGTTAAAACATTTTGTAACACCTAAGGCTGTAAATGTCAACATAAGGCGAGGAGTGGTAAAATGGGGCTCTCTGTCACATTCAAGATGATTGCACTTATATAGCGACTTGCATGCACTTATACCGACCAGTGCTTGTTTTTACCCTCCTAATGCTGAATATGACAAGTAGGGACCAAACTACCAATCTTCCGCTCTCCCGGCTGACACTCTATCCACTACTTCATGGAAGCAGTCGAAAATGTCAATGATCATGGTAAGGCATTAAAGTTTTGGAAAGAAGATCATTTCATTGGTTAATAGAGAAATCAACACCATTACTTACCCTCACTGCAGTCTGATGTATGAACTGTACAAGCTTCAGATTAGCATAATAAAATGTTCCACCCAAGGCAAAGAAAACCAGTAATCCTGAAAAAAAGAGTCATTTGTGATAACATTCTTGAAACATTTTCAACTATTGAATGTTAAACATGTTAAATGTTGTTCTCTGTTATAAAAGATTACGCTGGTTAAGTGTCATTATTCAAGTTCACAAGCAGAACAATACAGATGTAGGACTTTGATAATAAACCACTTAAAGGTCTTAAAAATTATCTCCTTTTAACATGTTCAATCGCTCAGTAGAAAGATTGTGAGACTGTAATAATCTAATTTCACGTCCTATCATTAGGTTATTAGGACCTCTTTCTCACCTAATCTATGGTCATACATCAGTTTCATGAAGAGAAGCACAAAGAAAATTCCACACTTCTGGAACCAGAGCAGAAACGGTCTCCAGTCATTCGGTTGAAGCTCATTCAATGGATTCGGATTGTCTGCCATTACATTATGGTTTTGGTTCTCATCTTGCATCGGTGCCATGTGGGCATGCCCGTGTCCATGTCCATGCCCGTGTCCATGCCCGTGTCCATGACCATGATCATGGCTGTCTGCATACATCATGTGCTGTTGAGGATGAATAGTTGCCTGGGAGTTTATTGCACCCAATGACGACATGTCAATGACAGCTGATGGCTCCGAGATCACTGATGCTGACAGCGCTGGTGCACCTGTTGTTCGTGGTGATTGTTGGAAATTGGGCAGGAAGCCCTGAGCCATGCTTGTCATGTTTCTCCCAAGAGGCAGACGATTCTGAATTTGAATTGGCATTTGAAGATTTCCGAGACGAAGAGAAAAGCTTTGACCTGAATCTCTTCTACTGTCGGCCATGTTTGCATTATGCAATGACCTGTCTTCATTCATTGTAGATATTTCATGAAGGTACTGGTTATCTGAAATTAGGTAGAAAATTGTTTGAGCATTGGATTATATATTTAATTGAGAGTTAGGCCTGGTGATAGAAAGTTTCTGTATACACTCAGACATATTCAAACTATAATATTGCATCCTGTACCCAAACTTGGCAAAACAAACAACTCAAACAAATCTGAATCTAGTTTCACACCTCTAAAATTACCAACGTTCATGCACAAATAATTTGGATACATGAGAACAGAGACCATATAATCTATTATATGGTCTCTGATGAGAATCAGTTATTGTCCTTTGCAAATTCTACTCAAAAAGACACATTCAAGTTGTACAAAGGATTAATAACCTAACTCTCATGCTGACTAGACCTTATTGCTTAGAATAGCCATAAGCCAAAACCAGTAGCCTAATGGTAAACACAAGCCTAGAACCTACTGGGCCTATTTCGGTATCTGTTTGGCTGATTCTGATGTTTGGCAGTATGTTTTGTCAACATGTATGAACAAATTTCCGCAACTACTGCAACCTTAAACTCTCGAAACATTTATTTGTAAACAAAAATGGTAAAATGGTTGTACCAGTTATACTCGGTGGTATGGTTTCAGTATGTTGTAACTTCCCGATGAAATTTCTGACACCTGTTATCCATCCCGACGCTCATGGTACAGCCATTCTGATTGGATCACAAACTCCAATTAAAACCAATGGAAATAGCTTTTACAAATGTGTCACTTGTGTAGAAGTAAAGCTAAACAAATTCCTTACTCATATTGAATCAAATATAGGAATACACCGCATTATTTTTATATAAAAGTATTTCTTTTGTGTTTAAAAATACTTTATAGTAAAATACCACATACTTATTTTGACTAGAATGCGCAAAATAATGCGAAACAATTGACACTAACATACAGGCTTGTATGTTTACCTTGCGATACCAATGTTTGGCACCCGTGTTTTGCGTAAACGCTGGGTGTTAGGTGTCATTTTCCTCGGATCGTTGATATATTTTCTTGCTGCAACATTTTCAAAGGTAACGTCAAATATTCATGCGGAAATGTGTACTCCAATGAACCCATTTAGACAAAATTCCGAATAGTTTGCGAGTGACAAAATCTCCACTGGACGATAAATCGATGAGTCAAACGGGTAGGCAAATGGAAATCAGGGTGTCTTGATCTACCTCCATGATACTGGACGGCACATCCTGTGCAGCGCAAGGACATCTTTCGGAATTCATTAGCAATTTCATCTGACGCTTAGTCCGAAATGCAATTCTACTGTGTGTTAACTTAATTAATCCGTGAATCAGTCTCAAATTAACTGCTCAAGGGGGTAAAAAAAATGCAAACAACCACAAATTTCAAAATGGTTTGATGTCCTACACAAACACAATGATATTACAACAGTCTATATTGTTTGCTCTCATTAGCCCTATTGACTTCCCTCATTAATCCTATTGACTACTTATCGCTCATCTTGGCATCGTACTCTATTGTTCAGTCATCACAGTAATCCTATCTAACCCGACATAACCTATCTTCAAACTGTTGAGATGACGGCATAACCCATTTTCTTTTTGCAATCCAAGGCACCTTGTTACCTAAATAACCTAGGCAAGTTGTGCAAAAAACATTTGCATCCATTGCTGTGGGCGGGCACTTGTAGTTGTACTTATTGTATCAGTAAAAGAAAATTAATAATAACATAAGTATTTTGTGTAAATTACTTATCACAAACCAAAAAAGGGAGATAATTTGAAGAAATGTATATTATACTTCTTCAACAATGGATGCCAACCTTGACCAACTTGAACTTGTCTTGCTTTATTATTTAGATATTTCAGTGCTAATGTGCATGATGTGTTTATAATCAAATATGAATTAGTATGAACTGAGCCGTGTAAGCAGAAATATTTTAGAAGCCTCCGGCTTTGTAATTGTTAATGCAGCTTTTTGTCAAAGGGATGCTTTTGGGGAACGCAAGTTAACATTTTAGTGAAACATGAATGCAAGTCTCAGTTATTTTTGCTGATAACATATACCGTTTTCAATGTAATAAGCGCCTCGCTCTAATAAGCGCCCACGGCGATATTTGCTAATATATTGGCCAGTGAACAATCCCAATTAGCACCCCTTCCGATTGATCAATGTACACAAGACTTATTTATTCGCGTATAATATGCACTCGTGTGCTATATGCACCCTTACGTATGGGCAATTAAATTATATCTGTCGGATATAAACAGTTCAGGCTGTCAGCATAAACCACAAAATTAAATTTATCTTTCAATTCTGTTTTCTTCCACCAAAATAACATTCTAATAGGAGACCCCTATTTCTAATTTTGAGAGCGCCCTGGGTGCTTATTGCGTTGAATACGGTAGTAAATTACATTTATGATGTACATGCTTATAACAAACTGATGGATGTAACAAACTGGTTTGTCGGTTCAGCCATTTGCTGTATATTTTATCATTGTTTTAATTGATGGATATCACGAACATGCTTTTTAATTAACGATTAAAGGGATATATCTCACTCACTTTGTGGTCCTGTGTGTACTCTGTCAATGACAATGTTTATGTTTAAGATGAACTGTTATCTCTGAGCTGCCCATGATTCACCAATCTATAAAAAAAAATGTTATGCTTTTTCAGTCTGACGATCTAGTGTTGGAGGAGTACAAAGTTAGGAAAACCCAGCGTCAACCATTCCAGTGGCAAGCCAAGATACCAGATGAACCTGAGACTAATAACCGCACACGTCATATACATTGTCGTAATTCTGTCCAGGGGAAACACCTTTTAGTAGATGAACGAGGTAACTTCATCCTTTTTCACTATCTGTAAGATATATTATGGAATAAAGCTCAGTCATGATTTGTCACAGACTATTGAGAAAATGTCTGATTTAATCTATAAACATTAAAGGTAGATATTTTGCCATGCAAATGGTTCTTATGACATGAGGCAGGTTACTTGAAGTTGATCCATGAGGATTTCTTGATTGAATTGCTCCCCAAAAACCCATGCTGGTAGTAAGAGGCGGCAAAATCTTTGGGTGGTCAGGCTCTTTGACTTGCTTGATAATGTGTCTTCGTACCCTACATTGCTGATAATATCGGTCACTGGATTGTCTGGTCCAGATTAGATTATTTACTAGCTGCCATCCTGTCATGCATATAGCTGGAATATTGCTGAGTGCGTCATTTAACAACAAACATTGTGTCTAATATGATCCTTTGTCATCTTAATGTCATGTATAGATTAAGGGCCAGTCTTCTGTCAACTATCTGACCATTACAATGTTTTCAATCAGTATATGCCAGTGGGTAGATATTTGGTTTGGTTGGGGGTCATGCCTTAAAAATATATATGGTCTATCGACAGCTGACATGTGAGAACAATAATTTTGGAAGAAAAATAGAGTATCACCCTCATGTGTTTGGATATCAATCAAGACTCTGAGTAATTAACTTTTATCAACAGTATGACCCGTGAAGATCCGGGGTAGAACAGGTCTTCAGCAACCCATGCTTGCCGTAAAATGTGACTATGCTTGAGGATATGTCTGAGAGATGATGATGACATGCTTTTGTTGAGGATATGTCTGAGAGATGATGCTGACAAGTGTTTTGTTCAGGGTATGTCTGAGAGATGATGATGACATGTGTTTTGTTCAGGGTATGTCTGAGAGATGATGCTGAAATGTTTTTTGTTCAGGGTATGTCTGAGAGATGATGCTGACATTTTTTTTGTTCAGGGTATGTCTGTGAGAGGAGACATATAGGCCCAGGATCCTGCTGTGATATTCGAGGCTCATCCACACGCCGATACCAGTGTGAGAGTTGTCTGTCCAATGGTTGCTGTACAGTGTATGAATTCTGTGTCTCCTGCTGTCTTCAACCAGATAAAGTAAGATGTTTGTCAAGCATATAATGTAGACCCGTGTAAGGTCTTCAGCAACCCTGACTATGTCTGTCGTACGAGGCGACTAACATGATCGAGGGGTCAGACTCACTGACTTGGTTGATGCATGTCATCATATGCCAATATGGTGGATCAATACTCATGATGTCAATCACTGGATTGTCTGGCCTAGACTCGATTATTTACAGACCGCCGTCATTGAATATTGCTGAGTGCGGCGTTAAACAACAAACAAACAATAAATGCATGCACACTTTCAACCGCATATACTGCCAAAACACAGATGAATGTGTTAATGCATACTTACTGGTGTTTTTTAAGGACAAAGTGTACAAAAGTACTGTAAAAGCAACGTCCATTCAATTTTACATGTCACTTTTATGTCATCTTGATCATGTATATACTTGTATCGTTTTGTATTGATACATGACCACATGATGCAGTAGTTGTATCGTGCCACTGTATCCCCATGATTCAGAAGTTTGGTGAAGAAGTACAGAGCTTACTAGTTGCATTTGTTTCTTGTTACTTACGGAGGAAAAAACATAAAAAATGGTGTGCATACTGTGTATTTATGTGTAGCAGATTTAAGCGAAGTTTGCACATACGAGTTTACGTTTACAACTTCATAAATGCCAAAAAATATCCAATGCTTAAAAGTAAATGTGTCAACAATAACAACTTCACAGACTGCTTCTGTAATCATTAACACAAAAAAACTGTTGACAACGATACAAAGTCAGTGACATTATTCAGCCAAGTAATGCAACTGTCCTGTGAAGATCCGGGGTAGAATAGGTCTTCAGCAACCCATTCCTGCCGTAAAAGGTGACGTTGCTTGTCGTTAGAGACGACTAACGGGATCGGGTGGTCAGGCTCGCTGACTTGTTTGAAGCATGTCATTTACAGACCACCGTCATATAGCTGGAATACTGCTGAGTGTGACGTTAAACAACAAACAAACAACAGTAATGCAACCAAAGTTCAATCCATCCTATCATCAGCCAATCAGGATACAGGAGTCCACTAGAGGGCATGGCCTTTTTTGGCGGGTGTTATGGAAACATAAGCGCAAATAAAATTGCTTGATTTGCTAATCAAACGTCATGGAATTATTTGCAATTGGTTTATTATACATGGCCTTTTTTGGTTGGTGTTATGGAAACTTAAGCGCAAATAGAATTGCTTGATTAGCTAATCAAACGTCATGGAATTATTTGCAATTTATTTATTATGGAATATATTAAGAATATTTTGAGAATATGCCCAGAGCATGTAGATTGTAATCTAAAGTAGCAGTCGTTGGTGACTAGGTGGATTCAGCTCTTGATATAACCCTTCTTAATGTCATCAACAAGATGTGAAACTTGATATGTGTAAATCTAAATATTTTCCTTTCTTTCAGAAAACTTTATTGAGGAGAATATTGCGAGAGGCCAGCAACGAGCCATTTAACTTATTTTCACTTGTGTCAGATCACTTTGAATTGTGTTTAGCCAAGTGTCGTACATCATCCCAGGTGTGTATACATTACTCCAGTTGGGGTCCATAAATATGCTGGCCCACTTGACAAAAAACAAACAAGCATGAACAAGTCATACTCTTGCCAGTTCATGAAGTTGGATCATCTTAAATTTACAATACTGACTAATTTTAATTAAAATTTTAATTAAAATTAGTCAGTATTTTAATTTTGAGATGATCCAACATCATGAACTGGCAAGAGTATGACTGCACTGTTCTTAATTGACTTTGCTCCGTTGTCTTCTATACTGTAAAGAGTTATCTCCCTTGTTCATGCCAGGATCTTCTAGTCATGACTTTGAATCCCAAATTTACCCTGTTCGTGATCCTTTTCTGTCAGCACTATATGTGCATGATGTGTGTTATCAAAGTGCAAACTCTTAGATCTGTGTCAGTTTGAACCTTACCCGATCATTCAGCTGACACACCATGAAATGACTGTAATACCTTTGAAACCAGCAGTATTCATAATTAAGGGGGTTCTGGGGTGTTTTAGGTTTTCTCCCATGCTATTTGACTAGACCTCATATTTGACTAGACCTTATATGGGTAGCCCTGTGGTTAAAGCGTTCGCTCGTCACGCCAAGGCCCGGGTTCGATTCCCAACATGGGTACAATATGTGAAGCTCATTTGTGGTGTCCCCCTCCCTCATATTGCTGAAATATTGCTAAAAGCAGCATAAAACCATACTCACTCACTCATTTTAACTTTTGTGACTATGCTTGTCGTAAGAGGCGACTAACGGGATCGGGTGGTCAGGCTCACTGACTTGGTTGATGCATGTCATCGTATCCCAATTGCGTGGATCGATGGTCATGATGTCAATCACTGGATTGTCTGGTCAAGACTCGATTATATACAGACCGCCGTCATATAGCTGAAATATTGCTGAGTGCTGCGTCAAACAACAAACAACCAATCTTTAACTTTTAAACTTATGACAAAGACCCCTTGATTTTCAAGCTTAATTTCCAACACTGAACCAGCATGTATCCCAACTCCCTTACTCCCGCAACAACTCAGTATTACTGTTTCTTTTACAGAGTGTGCAACATGAAAATTCCTACAGAGATCCCAAAGCAAAATTCTGTTTCGGAGAAAATCCTCCAGATCTTCAGGCCGTTGTTAACTGAGGTGGGCTCAGGATAGACACCTAGGACAGATGACGTGTATATAGTTGTACAGTTGTATAAAGACAGGTGTACATATTCCTCCGCTATTGTGTACATATCTGTGTATTGTGATATTGTGTTGTGCTATATATTGGGAAAATGCCTGGAGCCAATGAGATCAAGCCCACAGATGAGCAGCCTTTTCGCCTACAGTGGCTCAACTCTTGCTACCAACAGACACTCCTGCCTGATGCACCCTGGCATGGTGTAAGTATTGATGGAATATCTGTTATACATGATAGAAGGGATACAATTTGAGCACATAACTGTATTATACATGTCAAGGCGTATAACAGGTGTTTTTTTCATCTGTGTAAATGAAAACAAAGAAGACATGCTTGTCGTTTTCAAAGAAATGACTGGCAGAACTATGTTAATTTTGAGCCCTGCAGATCACAAAATTTGTCTGTACCGTTTCAGATTGAAAGTAAGGTGGCAGAAGTGCTGGCGCAGCGGGTTGAGAAGCAGTTCATCCATCCAGAGAGACGAGAAGCCCTACTTGATGTGCTAGGTCAGCAGTTCGTGGACTCCTACCTCAGTAAAGTCAAACGAGATCCACAGCTGCTGGTAATTGATTACTCTTTAGAACAAAGAAACAGGCTATAGGTTACCTTGAAATGATTATGTAAGCAAGTAATTGTCTATAGGTTACCTTGAAATGATTAGGTAAGCAAGTAATTGGCTATAGGATACAGTGAAATGATTAGGTAAGCAAGTAATTGTGTACAGGTTATAGTGAAATGATTGGTCATGTATGTTTGTATTCTATTTCAAGTATCATATTATTCGTTTGTTTTGTTTGTTTGTTGTTTAATGCCACACTCAGTAATATCCCAACTATATGACAGCGGTCTGTAAATAATTAAGTCTGGACCAGACGATCAAGTGATTGATATCATGAGCATCGATCCACGCAATTTGGATATGATGACATCAACCAAGACAGTGAGCCTGACCACCCTATCCCATTAGTCGCCTCTTACAGCAAGCATAGTCACCTTTTACGGCAAGCATGGGTTGCTGAAGACCTATTCTAACCCGGATCTTCACGGGTCCATTTACCTTGTAACGAATACAAACTAAATTCTTGTTAACATGAATGCAGCCTTGTCAGCTGAATCTCTCTCATCCCATCCTCTCCACACTCCTCTTCATCTAATCCCTACACCTGGACTATTCCACTAAATTTACCTTCGTCGTTTTAACAATGTGTAGTGGTTTTGGCATGTAGTTATTTTGGGAGACAACCCAAGAAAGACCTCATCATTCAGTGCCATGTGAACAGTATCCTACCTGGAAACATTACCCTTTGGGATTCCGGGTTAGAACAGGACCTTAGCATCTTTATCCATGTTTCCTATGCTCGTCGTAAGTTGGTGATGAAATGGATTGGCTGACTTGATTGCGTGTCATCACACCCAAACATTGTGGGACGTTGTTCATCATGTCAACCACTGGTTTTTGCTTGTTAAGAATTTATTATGTGCAGGTCATCGTCATGTTGCTGGAATATTGCTGTGTGTCATGTGGAACAACAAATGGTCAAAGCAGGGATCTGGAAATATGTTTTCGCCAATAGGACATTTGCATTTTGGCCACGCCCACCTCATATCTGAGGTGCTGGATCTTCACGCATGAATAACTGGTTGTTCATGCATGAATAAAAAGAATCAACACACAAGTGTCACTTTCATAACATGTATACATGATATATATACAATTTGTTAACAATTCGACGACACATAGATCTAATATGTACAATTTTAACCTATCAGGATGTAGGTTTTGCTAACTTGACTATTGAACGGTTTCCACTGTATAACTGTTGGTTGCACCTAGCCTTCCAGCGTGGCATGGTTGGTGTTGGGTCAAAGTCCATCTTTGACCGTCAAAGAAACGTTGACTGTAGAAAACAGGTGTGGAGTGGTATGACAACAGTGTTGATGTTTTATTCCAGGACCCGCCCAACATGTTGAAGGAAGAGAGACAGAAGCTGGTCGTTGAGGCTCAGTCCTGGTTGAACAGTCAGATGTACCGAGCTGTGAAAGATGTGGGGTACCAGAGGATCATCACCGGATCCCAAGCAGAGTATGTAGCTACGGTGCTTTTATTCTATGTAGGTCCATGGTGTAGTGGATGAGCATCTGCCCAGATAGGAGAAGGCCCATAGTTCGATTCCCGGCCACATCATTCCAGACGTTAAAAGATGGTACTTCTTCTTACCCTGTCTGGCACCTGGCTGGAGGATAAAACCAGGACTGGTCCGGCCAGAGTCAGTATGCCTAGTCTGTGTAAGCTGTCCCAGCCAAAAATTATTTAAACATTCTGTACACTTTGACACATGGCATTTTCTGATTTGTGTCAGATTGTATAATTCATGGCAGAAATATGCCTGCATTCAAAATTTGAGTGGGGTGGAATGGGGGACCTTGAAGTTTACCCCTATTGTATTTCAGATTCTGTGAAGATTCTGGGATAGAATAGTTTTTCAGCAACCCATGCTTGCCATAAAAGGTGACTATGCTTGTTGTAAAAGGCGACTAACGGGATCGGGTGGTTAGGCTCGCTGACTTGGTTGATGCATGTCATCGTATCTCAATTGCGTGGATTGATGCTCATGATATTAATCACTGGATTGTCTGGTCCAGACTCGATTATTTTACAGACCGCCTTCATATAGCTGATATATTGCTGAGTGCTGCGTTAAACAACAAACAAACAAACAAGCAATATTTCAATCTGGGGACCTCCTAAATATTTATCTTTAACATTTGGGAAATGACAAGGAACTCTTGACTTCATGCAGTCAATTTTTGTGTGCACAGCATTCTTAAGAATATGTGATGTCAATAAGGAAGGCCATCTTTATATTTTAGTGGTTCTTTCTTTTTCTTCCCATTAGGCTCTTACCTCTTGTGACCTAGAATAGGTCATGCTTGCCGTAACAGGCCACTATGCTTGTCATAAGTAGTGACAAACTGGATCAGGTGGTCAGGCTCGCTGACTTGGTTGATGCATGTCATCGTATCCCAATTGTGTGGATCGATGCTCATGATGTCAGTCACTGGATTGTCTGTTCCAGACTTGATTATTTACAGACCACCGTCATATAGATTGAATATTTCTGAAGGCAGCGTTAAACAACATACAAACAATCTCAGCTCTTTATTGCTTTTCAATACTAAGATCAGTTATCTTTTTACAGATTTTCAGGTTTAATGGTGATGTTTAAAAACAAATCTAATATCTCAAATATTCATTCCATTTGTGGCAATGTATACTGAGATCTAATATAGAAAAAAAATACAGTACAGTAAAAAAAAATCCAAACAGGAAATAAATATTTCCCGACTCCAGTAAATATGGTTAAGACAAACATGATGGTTGGTCAAGGTGACTTGTATATCACTGATAACAGGACCAATAGTGATGAAGAGGCTTTTACATGTTTGATGCTTGATTTTCCATTGCATTGAATGCAACTTTAAAATGCAATGGAAAAACTCCTCTGAAATTAAGAAAAAAAATGTTTTAAGAGAATACCAATTTTGAAAAAAATAGCAATTTTGTCTCAATTTGCCTGCCAAGGGTCGTTTAGAATCCAAGATAGATCCCTACACGAATCTGTACTCTCTGTCATTCGGCAGCCCCCACAGTGCCTCTGATGTAAAACCCCCATTCACTCACTTTTGAAGTTGTTCTCATGTTTCCTCCCCTAGTGATGAGCCTCCCCCTGGCTATGCTGAGTTCATGCAGCACACGTTCGGTGTGTTTGTGAATGGACTGGACAGACAGTGCTATCTACAGGAGATGGAACTGGCGGTAAGTGGGAGGATTTATATGACAACATTTTTGGACTAAACAGTGTGAAAAACCACAGTGAACAACAGGGGAATAAATCCCTCCCAACCAGCTCCTAGCTTCCCAATCAGACCCATGCCTCCCAATCAGCCCCCAGCCCCCTAATCACCTGCTAGCCTCCCAAATCAGCCTTAGCCTCCCAACCAGCTCCTAGCTTATCAATCAGCCCCATACCTCCCAATCAGATCCATGCCTCCGAATCAGCCCCCAGCCCCCAATCAGCTCCTAGCCTCCCAATTAGCCCCTAGCCTCCCAATCTCCCCCATGCCTCCCAATTAGTTCCTAGCCTCACAATCAGTCCCTAGCCTCCCAAACAGTTCCTAGCCTCCCAATCAGTCCCTAGCCTCCCAATCAGCTCCTAGCCTCCCAATCAGCCCCCATACCTCCCAATCAGCTCCTAGCCTTCCAATCACCCCATGCCTCCCAATCAGCTCCTAGCCTCACAATCAGCCCCCATACCTCCCAATCAGCTCCTAGCCTCCCCCCATCAGACCCATGCCTCCTAATCAGCCCTAGCCTCCCAATCAACCCCTAGCCTCCCTCAGCTCCTAGTCTCTCAATCAGTTCCTAGGCTCCCAATTAGATCCTTCCCTTCCAATCAGTACGTAACTTCCCTATCAGCCCCATACCTCACAATCAGCTCAAAGGCTCCCGATCAGCTCCTAGCCTCCCAATCAGCCCCTAGCCTCCCAATCAACCCCTAGCCTCCCAATCAGCCCCTAGCCTCCCAATCAGCCCCTAGCCTCCCAATCAGCCCCTAGCCTCCCAATCAGCCCCTAGCCTCATAATCAATCCCTAGCCTCACAATCAGTCCCTTGCCTCACAATCAGTCCCTAGCCTCCCAATCAGCTCCAGCCTCCCAATCAGCCCCTAGCCTCCCAATCAGCCCCTATCCTCCCAATCAGCCCCTAGCCGCCCAATCAGCCCCATACCTCACAATCAGGTCCTAGCCTCCCAATCAGCCCCTAGCCTCCCAATCAACCCCTAGCCTCCCAATCAGCCCCTAGCCTCCCAATCAGCTCCTAGCCTCCCCATCAGTGTCTAGCCTCCCAATCAGTCCCTAGCCTCCCAATCAGCCCCTAGCCTCACAATCAGTCCCTAGCCTCACAATCAGTCCCTAGCCTCACAATCAGTCCCTAGCCTCATAATCAGGTCCTAGCCTCACAATCAGCCCCTAGCCTCACAATCAGCCCCTAGCTTCCCAATCAGCCCCTAGCCTCCCTATCAGCCCCTAGCCTCACAATCAGTCCCTAGCCTCCCAATCAGTCCCTAGCCTCCCAATCAGGTCCTAGCCTCACAATCAGCCCCTAGCCTCTCAATCAGTCCCTAGACTCACAATCAGCCCTAGCCTCACAATCAACCCCTAGCCTCCCAATCAGCCCTAGCCTCCCAATCAGCCCCTAGCCTCACAATCAGTCCCTAGCCTCCCAATCAGTCCCTAGCCTCACAATCAGCCCCTAGCCTCACAATCAGTCCCTAGCCTCACAATCAGTCCCTAGCCTCACAATCAGCCCCTAGCCTCACAATCAGCCCCTAGCCTCACAATCAACCCCTAGCCTCACAATCAGCCCCTAGCCTCACAATCAGCCCCTAGCCTCACAATCAGGTACTAACCTCACAATCAGGTCCTAGCCTCACAATCAGTCCCTAGCCTCACAATCAGTCCCTAGCCTCATAATCAGGTCCTAGCCTCACAATCAGCCCCTAGCCTCCCAATCAGCCCCTAGCCTCACAATCAGCCCCTAGCCTCACAATCAGCCCCTAGCCTCACAATCAGCCCCTAGCCTCACAATCAGTCCCTAGCCTCACAATCAGTCCCTAGCCTAACAATCAGCCCCTAGCCTCACAATCAGCCCCTAGCCTCACAATCAACCCCTAGCCTCACAATCAGCCCCTAGCCTCACAATCAACCCCTAGCCTCCCAATCAGGTCCTAGCCTCCCAATCAACCCCTAGCCTCCCTCAGTTCCTAGGCTCCCAATTAGATCCTTCCCTTCCAATCAGTACGTAACCTCCCTATCAGCCCCATACCTCACAATCAGCACCAAGGCTCCCGATCAGCTCCTAGCCTCCCAATCAGCCCCTAGCCGCCCAATCAGCCCCATACCTCACAATCAGGTCCTAGCCTCACAATCAGCCCCTAGCCTCCCAACCAACCCCTAGCCTCCCAATCAGCCCCTAGCCTCCCAATCAGCCCCTAGCCTCACAATCAGCCCCTAGCCTCACAATCAGTGCCTAGCCTCACAATCAGCCCCTAGTCTCACAATCAACCCCTAGTCTCCCAATCAGGTCCTAGCCTCCCAATCAACCCTTAGCCTCCCTCAGCTCCTAGTCTCTCAATCAGTTCTTAGGCTCCCAAGTAGATCCTTCCCTTCCAATCAGTACGTAACCTCCCTATCAGCCCCATACCTCACAATCAGCTCCAAGGCTCCCGATCAGCTCCTAGCCTCCCAATCAGCCCCTAGCCTCCAAATCAGCCCCATACCTCACAATCAGGTCCTAGCCTCACAATCAGCCCCTAGCCTCCCAACCAACCCCTAGCCTCCCAATCAGCCCCTAGCCTCCCAATCAGCCCCTAGCCTCCCAATCAGCCCCTAGCCTCACAATCAGTGCCTAGCCTCACAATCAGCCCCTAGCCTCACAATCAACCCCTAGTCTCCCAATCAGGTCCTAGCCTCCCAATCAACCCTTAGCCTCCCTCAGCTCCTAGTCTCTCAATCAGTTCTTAGGCTCCCAAGTAGATCCTTCCCTTCCAATCAGTACGTAACCTCCCTATCAGCCCAATACCTCACAATCAGCTCCAAGGCTCCCGATCAGCTCCTAGCCTCACAATCAACCCCTATCCTCACAATCAGCCCCTAGCCTCACAATCAGTCCCTAGCGTCACAATCAGCCCCAAGCCTCACAATCAGTCCCTAGCCTCACAATCAGCCCCTATCCTCCCAATCAGCCCCTAGCCTCACAATCAGCCCCTATCCTCACAATCAGTCCCTAGCCTCACAATCAGCCCCTAGTCTCACAATCAGCCCCTAGCCTCACAATCAGCCCCTAGCCTCACAATCAGCTCCTAGCCTCACAATCAGCTCCTTGCCTCACAATCAGTCCCTAGCCTCACTCACAATCAGCCCCTAGTCTCTCAATCAGCCTGAGGCATCATGTTCATGGTTCGGTGTCCTTTTGAATTAACATGATAAAGTGCATTGTTTATTGTTGGACAGCCTACTAACCCTAATCACTTACTCATGCCATAAGAGCATGACTCTTATAGGCTACATGCTTCTGTAGGGTTTGCCCATGGAGTTTGAAGTGATGTGGATGGGGAAAGATTGCTGAACTCTTCAGTCAGGCTTCTGTTATAGCACAGGGTACGTGGCTTAGCTGTCTGAGGTGTTGCAATTTTATGTGCAGAATTGATTCCCTCAGGGGTGCCAGAAACCCGTGACCATTGATTTGAAACCCAGATTTGCCCCAATTATGTTTCTGTTTGTCAACACCATGCCTATACAAGTGGGTTTCACCAAAGTGGAAAATATCTGCATTTTCTGCACATCAAGCTGACACAACGTGATATAACTGAAATATCGTTCACCGTGGTGATAAACCAAACTCACGCTCTCTGTTACAGCACCAGAAGCAGAAGGAGCTCCTGAACAAGAGGAAGGGTCTGAGGGATGCCATGTACAGACTGCCAGCGCCAAGCAGGTTCAAGCCAGCATCCTCAGCAGCATCCTCCGCCACCAGCAAATCCTCCAAACCATCCACAGGTCAAATCAAGTGTAAGTTTAGTCTTCCCTGTATTTAGTGCTGCAGTCGCTAAGTAAAATTACAATGAAGTGTGTGAGGGTTGGGTGGGTGTATATTAAAACTATTCACAAGTTAATTTTGTTTTTCAGTTATTGATCGTCAGTGAACAAACTTTGTTAAGAAGTCAGTGATTCTAAAATGTTTTCAATAAAAGTTACAAGACAAGTATATTCCCTATCTTCACTGCTGTGTTCTGTACACATTTGTGATAAACACAAGAAAATAGGGACTGTCATGTACATTTTCTGTCTTGGTAGGGGGTGCTTATAAAGATTACTTACAGATTGGTCAAGAAGTTGGTTAGTAGGGCTGTAACAATTCACCAATACCTATGATATCATCGATACTTAGGTTCACACAATATTTGAATCGTCAGTTTGTGAGATTGCGATGCTCTATAAATAGAACAGAAACAATAATAGAGTTACCTCCCATAATGGCAGAAGTAGCATAGCTCAGCCAGTAGGAATGGCAGATTACAAGTATGTGGACGTGCTGAATAACTGTTACATTTAATTAGCATCCATTCATTTAAACCTGTTTTGTTCCTGGGAGTTTCTTTGTAAATGTTTCTGAGATAACATTAAATAAATGTATGAAGAAAGAGGTTTTAGAGCTGTATTTAACTATTTTCATCATTTCTTACCCTTTGATGTGGTGTATCGTGATACCAGTAGTATTGTCAGTCCGTAACATGATACAAATCGTACCAGGTGATACTCATCTCTATTGGTCTGGGGCCGCTTATTGGAGCAAGGCTCTCAACACAGCAAATACTGTGGACACTATGGTTTGTTATCAAATTGTCTTGTGCTGAAAGTATCTCTGTAAATTTGTACATGTTGAATCTGAGGACTTTACTGTTTGACTATGGAAATTCCATGGTAAGATTTGCCCTCAAGACAGTGAGAAAGAGTATTGAATGGCTACAATGACTGATAACAGAGTTTCATGTTGGCTCATATTCTAGTACACACCTGATTGTCATCCAAAATTTAAGGGTGATGGGGTAGCGTAGTGGTTAAAGCATTTGATCATCATGCCAAAGACCTGGGTTCTATTCCCCACATGGGTACAATGTGTGAAGCCCATTTCTGCTGTCCCCTGCCATGATATTGCTGGAACATTGCTAAAAGCAGCAAAAAACATACTCACTCCAAAATTTAATTGGGGCGGGAAGTCGTGGATATCGATGAGATCAAAACTTATAAATGCATGAAAATGTCCTCTGCCATGTCTCCAGCAAAATCATTGGATTAGGGACAGACTTAGTCCTGGAAAGACCAACTCCCAGCTGAGATTTTGTTGAAAAAGTTTTCAGGTTCTTCTTTGTGTTTTCTTCCAGCTATGGTGCAAAAGGTTGAAGGGGACCCACCCCCATTGTGGGGAGTACAGAGTGATGGTCTGGGAAACTCCATTGTGGCCATTCTGGAGCGAGATCCACGCAAGTTTGACCACGTGGCAGGCCGCCTTCATGGCCGCCAGTTGCCAGGGAAACTACGCTCGTACATGTGGGCAGATGTATTGTTCAAAATAGAGAGGAAGAAGATGAAAGAAGTGTAGGTCTACAATACTGAATTGTAATACTGAATTAGAGAAGAGCCAACGAAGTTACAGGGAATTACGGATTATCTGTCCCGAGTGTATTAATCATGTTAATGGTGTTAATCTTGAGCCCTTTGTGAGGCACTAACAGCATTCAGTCACGAGGGACAAATAATCTGTCATCCTAAGTTCCGAGTAGGTTTTTCTATATATTTCTCATTCACATTTTTGGGGAGAAAATGAAGAAAAAATGTATGAAATTTCAACCCTACTGAGAAACTTCATTGAATATTGTGACCTCATGAACAATGGATGATGTCATATTGTGGTTTCCTCCACAGGGAATCAAAGTGAAGCTTCAATTGTCCAATCAGCATTGAGGATCACTAAAATGCATATGTGCAAATATTGGAAAGTTATTACACACAATCATTCTACCCTTGTACTATTTCTAGTTATATCCGAATGACCTGTCATTTATCCAGTCTTGGCCATTTTGGCCCATACACCCCTTAATTATTCAGCAGAAATATGTTTCAGTTCTTGTCGTCACTGATTATCTGTAATTGCTGAGAGCGGCATACACAACGAACTTATCTTCTTTAATGATTTTCAACTGATTTTACTCTTGAACTTAACCAACCCGTGAAGATCCAGGGTAGAATAGGTCTTCAGCAGCCCATGCTTGTCGTAAAAGGCGACAATGCTTGTCTTAAGAAGTGACTAACAGGATCGGGTGGTCAGGCTCACTTACTTGGTTGATGCATGTCATCATATCCCAATTGCATGGATCCATGTTCATGATGTCAATCACCAGATTGTCTGGTCCAGACACGCTTACTTGCAGACCGCCGTCATATAGCTGGAATAGTGCTGAGTGCGCATTAAACAACAAACAAACAAATAAAACAAACTTGAACTTTACATGAAGACATTCACTTTGTGAGAAGAATGTATGGTGTATGGTGTCTTCAGAAATGCCATTGTCCCGTTACAACACTGCCCCTATGGCTTCTCCAGGTCAGAACTTGATTGAGCCACATGTATTTTGCTCTCAGGTATGTTGAGAAGATGATCCGAGAAAGATTTGCCCATGGTGTGACCCGAGGGCTGAGTGAACTGAGGCTGAAGCGAGCCACACAGTCTCCCATCAACGGCCTTATAGAGAATGCTACAATTGAGGTCAGTCAAGATGAACAGTGATTGATGGTTCTTGTTTCCATATGTTTTTGACCTTCTGCTAGACATGAAAATATATTTCAATGACTCATTTTTTGCTTGTTTAACATGTGATGACAAGATAGTCTGGATTTTGTTGGAAGTTGATCATACCCAGTTTGTAAATGCTACTCAAAGATCTTATCAGCAATCTTACCAGAATATTCTTCATGTTAAGTGTTAATTGTTTTGTTTCAGACATACACCAAGACAACATCCATGGTGAACCACAAGGAAGCCAACCATATGAAAGAGACTGCTCGTGCTCTGAACGTTCTGTATGTGTATGACCGGAGCTATGAGCCCTACCTCATACACTGGCTCTTCCCTCTACAGATCGCCTTCAGAAGCCCTACGGGATTACTTGATGACAAAGGTGGGACAGTCATCCCCAGTGTACAGGCTTGTAGGTTAGCAGGCTCATGTGGGGACTCGTAGCAGGCTCATGTGGGGACTCGTAGCAGGCTCATGTGGGCACTCTTAGAAGGCTAATGAGGGGACTCTTAGAAGGCTCATGTGGGCACTCTTAGCAGGCTCATGTGAGCACTCTTAGCAGGCTCATGTGGGGACTCTTAGCAGGCTCATGTGGGGACTCGTAGCAGGCTCATGTGGGGACTCCTAGCAGGCTCATGTGGGGACTCGTAGCAGGCTCATGTGGGCACTCTTAGCAGGCTCATGAGGGACTCTTAGAAGGCTCATGTGGGGACTCTTAGCAGGCTCATGTGGCCACTCTTAGAAGGCTCATGTGGGGACTCTTAGAAGGCTCATGTGGGCACTCTTAGCAGGCTCATGTGGGCACTCTTAGCAGGCTCATGTGGGCACTCTTAGAAGGCTCATGTGGGCACTCTTAGAAGGCTCATGTGGGCACTCTTAGCAGGCTCATGTGGGCACTCTTAGAAGGCTCATGTGGGGACTCTTAGAAGGCTCATGTGGGGACTCGTAGCAGGCTCATGTGGGCACTCTTAGAAGGCTCATGTGGGGACTCGTAGCAGGCTAATGTGGGCACTCTTAGCAGGCTCATGTGGGGACTCTTAGCAGGCTCATGTGGGGACTCTTAGCAGGCTCATGTGGGGACTCTTAGCAGGCTCATGTGGGGACTCTTAGAAGGCTCATGTGGGGACTCGTAGGAGGCACATGTGGGCAGTCGTAGCAGGCTCATATTGGCACTCTTAGCAGGCTCATGTGGGGACTCTTAGAAGGCTTATTTGGGGACTCTTAGCAGGCTCATGTGGGCACTCTTAGCAGGCTCATATTGGCACTCTTAGCAGGCTCATGTGGGGACTCGTAGCAGGCTCATGTGGGCACTCTTAGCAGGCTCATGTGGGCACTCTTAGCAGGCTCATATTGGCACTCTTAGCAGGCTCATGTGGGGACTCGTAGCAGGCTCATGTGGGGACTCTTAGCAGGCTCATGTGGGGACTCGTAGCAGGCTCATGTGGGGACTCTTAGCAGGCTCATGTGGGCACTCTTAGCAGGCACATGTGGGCACTCTTAGAAGGCTCATGTGGGCACTCTTAGAAGGCTCATGTGGTCACTCTTGGAAGGCTCATGTGGGGACTCTTAGCAGGCTCATGTGGGGACTCTTAGAAGGCTCATGTGGGCCCTCTTAGCAGGCTCATGTGGGGACTCTTAGAAGGGTCATGTGGGGACTCTTAGCAGGCTCATGTGGGGACTCTTAGAAGGCTCATGTGGGCCCTCTTAGCAGGCTCATGTGGGGACTCTTAGAAGGGTCATGTGGGGACTCTTAGCAGGCTCATGTGGGCACTCTTAGCAGGCTCATGTGGGCACTCTTAGCAGGCTCATGTGGGGACACCAGGTTAGAATTAGTCCCCAGTAACCTATGCTTGCAATGACTTAACTAATCGGGTGGTCAGACTCAGTGACTTGGTGTGTGAACGTATTGGGACGGTGTGGATCATTGCTCATAATGTCAATCACTGGTTTGTCTGGTCCAAACTATTATTTCCAGGTCGCCCTCTTATCATGCGTACAGCCAGAATATTAAACATATTAAATAACAAAGCATAGAAGGGTTCAATATTGTAAACTTATTATCTATTATTATTATTATTATGATATTGCTGGAATATTGCTAAAAGCGGCGTAAAACCATACTCAGTAATATTTCATAGTGCCATTATCACTGTTTCAATGAAAGGAAAGACAAGTCGAAATCTTATTATATATTATGAATTGTGTTGATAATTAGAGTTGGATGTCTTTTAAGCACTGCTGCTGAAATTGGATTGCATGAGAGCATTAGGCAACATCATTGAAAGAGGAAGCATTTAGAGAGATGTGTCAACTGGTATTGTTCATATTAAATACACAGTTCTGTAATCATTGTTTCAATATATCATGCCAGCCTTTTTATGCAACATAAAGGTGTTGCCATCTTGGCTCATGGATCCAACATCCCTAAAAATTGTGGAAGAGAGATACAACATGAACTTTTTTATAGTCTGCTGAATGCATGGGGTAGCCAAGTGGTTAAAGCGTTTGCTCGTCAAGCTGAAGTCCCGGGTTCGATTCCCGACATGAGTACAATGTGTGAAGCCCATTTCTGGTGTCCCCTGCCGTGATATTGCTGGAATATTGCTAAAAGCGGCGTAAAATCAAATTCACTCGCTAACTCACTCACTCAGTCACTAGGGCAGTCAGAATATTGCAGGAACATTGCTAAACTATATTCTCATTCACTCACTCTGTCACTAATAGTGGAAGACTGTCCAATGTTTGTTGGATAGTAATATATCAGAACATGAACTGTATCAGAAATAATACAAGTGATCTGTTTCAGGGGAGCATGTGTTTGAGCTAGCGATGTACCTAGACCTGCTCAACACCAACTGTTTCCCCAAGTGGCCCCAGGTGTTTGCAATAGCGGAACAGGTGATGAACACACTCCAACAGGCCGACCCAGAGTTGCATACTCACCTCACCAGCATTGCCAAGAAGAACTTCAAAGTCAACCCCAAGGTAGGCTTCCTTGTCAGTTCTAACAGCAGTGAGTGGGGAAGTGGGGTAGCCTTGTGGTTAAAGCATTACACCTCCTCAGCATTGCCAAGAAAAGCTTCAAAGTCAACCCCTAGGTAGGCTTCCTTGTCAGTTCTAACAGCAGTGAGTGGGGAAGTGGGGTAGCCTTGTGGTTAAAGCATTACACCTCACCAGCATTGCCAAGAAAAGCTTCAAAGTCAACCCCTAGGTAGGCTTCCTTGTCAGTTCTAACAGCAGTGAGTGGGGAAGTGGGGTAGCCTAGTGGTTAAAGCATTTGTTTGTCAGACTGGAGGCACAGGTCAATATCAATCTTTGGATTGGTCCAGATTCGTTTTTTTACAGTCCACCATCATAAAGCTGCAATAATGCTGAGTGCAGTGTTACAATGTTAAAATATCACTGGACTTCAAAATTCAAATTATAAACAAAATACATGTATACCAATAAGTGTTACTGTAAGCCTGACTTGCCTCACACAGGAGTTCCTGGTGCAGCTGATCCATGAGGAGAAGTCCAAGGCCGAGGCGCTGTATCAGGCTACCCCCGGCTCACTGAGGACAGACATCACGGCCACTGAGCTGCTGGCTAACCCGCTCATCTTCTTCCGGAGATGGATGGGCGAGGTGAGCACAGCATCCAGCATCTTCAGGGAGACACTTGGCACCTCAATAGTAGTTTTGGTTTCAACCATGATATTGTGAAATTTTTGCTTTGCATCATAGACAAATATGGTACTGATGTGTGTGGGGCCCAGCTGTCGATGTCGCTGCAATTCACTGTTATCAGGCGGGTCAGAAACCTATCGTTGTTGGTTTGAATCCCAGATTTGCCCTGATGTTTCAAGGTTTTTCAGCACTAACTCATGCTCGTGATTTTTACCATAGTGGTAAACAACTAAGACCTACCTCACTACAGGCTTTCTTCCCACATCAGGCTGACATGCCATGATACAACTTGAATACTGTTCAAATTAACATTAAACCCAAATCAATAAGTCCCTCCTGTATATTCATTGCAGGGTTTTGTGAGTGTGCTGGACACACCAGGAGTGTACATCTGGGATCAGTGCTTCATGCAGGACTCACTCACTCACTCACTCACTCACTCACTCACTCACTCACTCACTCACTCACTCACTCACTCACTCACTCACTCACTCACTCACTCACTCACTCACTCACTCCTGTATGTTCATTGCAGGGTTTTGTGAGTGTTTTGTGGGATCAGTGCTTCATGCAGGACTCACCCACTCACTCACTCACTCACTCACTCACTCACTCACTCACTCACTCACTCACTCACTCCTGTATGTTCATTGCAGGGTTTTGTGAGTGTTTTGTGGGATCAGTGCTTCATGCAGGACTCACTCACTCACTCACTCACTCACTCACTCACTCACTCCTGTATGTTTATTGCAGGGTTTTGTGAGTGTGCTGGACACACCCGGAGTGATGTACATCTGGGACCAGTGCTTCATGCAGGGCTGGCGGGACTCGGTGCTCCTCAACACCTGCCTGTCCCTGGTGGAGCTGCTCAGACACAAGTTCATGAAGGCCAAGGATTACATGGACATGAAGGAGGTAGGGTACGACATGGGAGGGGCAGGTGTTGAAGTTTATCATCCAGATTTTTCAGAGCCTAAATGGGGTTATGGTACAACATACAATGGAGATTTGGGGGGTGGGGAGTTGGGGGTACGTTAGAAGGATTTGTTTATAAATTTATCACCTAAAATCGTCAGAACCTGAAAAGGGTTTGGGTATGGTACAACATGGGGCACCTAGACTTTTCTGTAAATGACCGATGTAGTTCAGGAAATAGGTTGATTTAGTTTGTTGAATTCATATTTCAAGGTTGATTGTCATATTTTTTACAGGTAAATACACTCAGATTGTGGGTTATAAATTCATTGCCTTATGGTACATAAAAGTAAGTTAATTGTGACAAGCTTTCGTCAGAATAGGTGAAAACAAACTGACTGCTTTTTTCCCCAGGTGTTCCTGAACGAACCCTGCAAGCTGTACACCTGTGACCTCCAGGCTGCCTGGATACATCTGGAGAACGCCAAGGACCTCAATGACATCCCCTACCAGAACAGACAGAGGCCTGTGTAAGTCACTCGCCCCCTGGAGGGTCTGGGTCGCTCGCTCGCTCACTCACTCACTCACTCACTCATTCACTCACTCACTCACTCACTCACTCACTCTATCACTCTATCACTCACTCACTCTATCACTCACTCACTCTATCACTCTATCACTCACTCACTCACTCACTCACATCCCCTACTAGAACAGACAGAGGCCTGTGTAAGTCACTCGCCCCATGCATGGAGAGTCTGGGTCACAAGGTCCCAGTATGCTGGTCATAGGAGGCGACCGGGTTGTCAGGCTTGGTGATTGTGAGTTGTCATACCCCGACAGCATGATATGTTGCTCATTATATCAACCACTGGTTTGACTGTATACAGCTGTCGTGTTGCTGTAACATTGTGTAACAAGTGTTGCATAAATAATAAAAACGAATGAATTGACAATGCCATTTAGAAAGGGGACAAATGTAACAAATGTTATATTTGGGATAACACTTTCTTAGTGAAGTACAGATTCTCGTACTTGGGTTGAGTCCCAGACAGAACATTAACCTCAGAAAGGTTAATGCAGCTCCAATTATTTGAGTGACAATTTGTTAGCGGGAAAGTCTTTCCTCTCAAGTGTACTTTTGTTTAATAGTGAATTGGTCCTAAATGAATTGTGGATGAGTTGGATTTAACAATTTGTCCGTGAGATGTATATGTCCCTTGTTGACCGAGGATGTTCCAGTTGTATTATATTTACAAATAAATGAACTATTGTGTCTCAGAAAATACTAAGAGGAAGAATTTAAATTAAAACTAGATTTGGATAGATAGTGTGGAGGAAACAATTATTTTCCAAATTAATTTCACTCAATATCGATGACTATTTACTTGTGTGTGTGTATGTGTGTCATACTGTGTTAGAAATGACTATTCCCTCCTTCCAGCACACTCAATATCGATGACTATTACTTGTATGTGTATGTGTGTCATACTGTGTTAGAAATGACTATCCCCTCCTTCCAGCACACTCAATATCGATGACTATTACTTGTGTGTGTATGTGTGTCATACTGTGTTAGAAATGACTCTTCCCTCCTTCCAGCACACTCAATATCAATGACTATTACTTGTGTGTGTATGTGTGTCATACTGTGTTAGAAATGACTCTTCCCTCCTTCCAGCACACTCAATATCGATGACTATTACTTGTGTGTGTATGTGTGTCATACTGTGTTAGAAATGACTCTTCCCTCCTTCCAGCACACTCAATATCGATGACTATTTACTTGTGTGTGTGTGTGTGTGTCATACTGTGTTAGAAATTACTCTTCCCTCCTTCCAGCACACTCAATATCGATGACTATTACTTGTGTGTGTATGTGTGTCATACTGTGTTAGAAATGACTCTTCCCTCCTTCAAGCATACACAATATCGATGACTATTACTTGTATGTGTATGTGTGTCATACTGTGTTAGAAATGACTATCCCCTCCTTCCAGCACACTCAATATCGATGACTATTACTTATGTGTGTGTATGTGTGTCATACTGTGTTAGAAATGACTCTTCCCTCCTTCCAGCACACTCAATATCAATGACTATTACTTGTGTGTGTATGTGTGTCATACTGTGTTAGAAATGACTCTTCCCTCCTTCCAGCACACTCAATATCGATGACTATTACTTGTGTGTGTATGTGTGTCATACTGTGTTAGAAATGACTCTTCCCTCCTTCCAGCACACTCAATATCGATGACTATTACTTGTGTGTGTATGTGTGTCATACTGTGTTAGAAATGACTCTTCCCTCCTTCCAGCATACACACTATCAATGACTATTTACTAATTTGTGTATGTGTGTCATACTGTGTTAGAAATGACTCTTCCCTCCTTCCAGCACACTCAATATCGATGACTATTACTTGTGTGTGTATGTGTGTCATACTGTGTTAGAAATGACTCTTCCCTCCTTCCAGCATACACAATATCAATGACTATCTACTAATTTGTGTATGTGTGTCATACTATGTTAGAAATGACTCTTCCCTCCTTCCAGCACACTCAATATCGATGACTATTACTTATGTGTGTGTATGTGTGTCATACTGTGTTAGAAATTACTCTTCCCTCCTTCCAGCACACTCAATATCGATGACTATTACTTATGTGTGTGTATGTGTGTCATACTGTGTTAGAAATGACTCTTCCCTCCTTCCAGCACACACAATATCAATGACTATTTACTAATTTGTGTATGTGTGTCATACTGTGTTAGAAATGACTCTTCCCTCCTTCCAGCACACTCAATATCGATGACTATTACTTGTCTCAGAAAATACTAAGAGGAAGAATTTAAATTAAAACTAGATTTGGATAGATAGTGTGGAGGAAACAATTATTTTCCAAATTAATTTCACTCAATATCGATGACTATTTACTTGTGTGTGTATGTGTGTCATACTGTGTTAGAAATGACTCTTCCCTCCTTCCAGCACACTCAATATCGATGACTATTACTCGTATGTGTATGTGTGTCATACTGTGTTAGAAATGACTCTTCCCTCCTTCCAGCACACTCAATATCGATGACTATTACTCGTATGTGTATGTGTGTCATACTGTGTTAGAAATGACTCTTCCCTCCTTCCAGCACACTCAATATCGATGACTATTACTTGTTTGTGTATGTGTGTCATACCGTGTTAGAAAGTGACTATTCCCACCTTCCAGCACACACAATATCAATGACTATTACTTGTGTGTATGCCATGTGTATGTGTGTCATACTATGTTAGAAAGTGACTATTCCCTCCTTCCAGCACACTAAATATCGATGACTATTAACTTGTGTGTGTATGTGTGTCATATTATGTTAGAAATGACTTCCCTCCTTCCAGCACACCCAATATCAATGACTATTTACTTGTATGTATGCCATGTGTATGTGTGTCATACTGTGTTCCAGCACCCCAGTGACAAGCAGATCTCCCCCATTGGCCCCCACCCCTCACCCCGGTCTGCTCCACCCCTGCGGCATCAAGGAGATCAGGATAAGGCTCATCATCCCAACAGAGTCTGTCAGCAGGGTAAGCACATCACACAAGCAAAGTCGCTTTAACTGACACACATTTTCACATTTCTACTTTTCAACGTCCATCCTCTACTGCACTGTGAGGGTGCTGGGCTGGGCCAGTCAGCATAGGCACCAGAATTTGCTGTGCAGAGTTGCATCCCTTTGGCATGCGGGTAACTGAGATCGGGGGAACTACAGGAATGGATCTAAGGGTTAGTGTAGGTTTTCCGAAATGCGAAACCTGGGGATATAGAGGATGAAGAGCACCTTGTAATGCTGTTTCTAGAAGCTGGTGATAAATGCACACTTGCACCAGGACACTGAACAAACACATTGATATAGATGAGCATTGCCTGGTGCACTATACGATTCATCAATTAAACCTGGGGATTCAGAAACTGACAAATGATTATCAATCACAATGAAAATGATTTGATCAACCTCTAAATTATAACTGCTGATGAGATAGGGTCATCAATTAAACCTGGGGGTTCAGAAACTGACAACTCATTATCAATCACAATGAAAAGGATTTGACCAACCTCTAAATTACAACTGCTGATGAGCCAGGGTCCTGCCCCACAAACACTCTTAGCACTATGACCATAAGAAGCCTTTGTGTAAGTATGGCAGTTATAATCACCTCATCGTTAAAATAACTTTGTGGAACGGGTCCTTGTCATAGTGAAACGACAATTATGGAGTTCAAAGATGGATCAAATATTCTTTTTGGCACACTAAAATTCTTCTAAGAGAAAACATCTAAATGAGCATTTTATGAGCCTCCCTGGCACATTTGGAAAGCTATGTTAAAAACAAATATTAACCCTTGATATTTCAGGAGCCCTGGCTGGCTAGTGTTGACCCGAACCACCTTCGCCTCTTTATCGTTCTTTACTTCGGAAGTGTCAAGCTGCGGTCCAGAATGTCACTACGAGCTATTGAGGTGACAAGCTTCCAGAACGATGCCTACGGCAATGCTGTATATGAACTGCTGCTGCCTATTGAGAAGTTTGTATTTGAGAACCTCGACCTCTCCCAGTATGACGTGGAGCGGGAACTGGGAGCAAACCCTTACGCCACTGTCAGGCTGGAGTACCACAGACCAGAAGTCATGCAGGGTAGGCTGGATTTCTTGTTTTCTCTTTTTCTTTTTATGTTGTTATATTATTACTTAACTCCATTCACTCAATCCCATGATTGTCATATTTGTAATATACTAAGTTTCCCATAACTGCAGTGAGTTGGGCAATCTTTGATCGCTTCACACATGATTTCGCCGAAATTAATTAAAACAATATTAAAAGGAATTTTGAATAAAATTAATGAAATAAGTTACATACATAAGTCCAGATATACAAAGAACACTTTTTGTAACCAGACAGTGTAATTACATGATGATTTTGCGTACTTCAGTATGGATTTGTTGACATGGTATTTCCGGTGTTACGCGCTCACGGTAATATCTTTCCATGGGGAAAAAAACATCCAAACTCATTATTTCGTGTATAATGCGCACCCCCTTCTACACAGCTGTGCTTTTTGGGAAAAAAAGTGTGCACTATACTCAAGAAAATACGGTACTCAAAAGAAGTTAAGGACCACCAATTCTTTCATATTACTACAGTTAATCTGTCATGCCATGAGTGTTACCTGTACACTCTCCCGAAAATCATTTGATACAAGGACTGCACTGGCTTTTACACTTAAATAAGTTTTTGACAGAATTTTTTTTAAATTTCCTTCATAATTCCTTAATTAAAGAATTACTGAAGTTTCCTTCGCCAATTTTAGTCTTTCATTTTTTTTTAAGAGAGACACCTTAAGTTTTATGTTATTTGTTAATCTCCAGAGCTTGTTATTTCACAAACATATCCTGAGTGATATCTTCCGACGTGGTGAGCTATGTCTGTATGAAACCTGGGCTATCCGTGTCTGCAGGTAAAAGTCCAGTGGCTGTCGGCTGGGCTCGAGTTCCTCTGTTCCGCCAGGGAGCGCCAAGTGGGCGTGTCTCAGCGGACCAGGCGTGGGTGCTACTTGCAGGGGATCATACCTTCAAACTCCACCCAGGGGACACATCGGAACCTTTCACCACATCCATGCCAAAAACACCCTCCGAGAGGGGCGAAAGTAAGCCCCGCTTATACCCCTGTTTCTGAACAAATGTAACTCAATTCTGTGCAGATAACAAACAGAAACGTTCAGTTACAGGGTGAATTTTTACAATGCAAATGCCCTGGTTTAACGCAAACATTATGAATATGTACTAAGACACTTTGAAAACCCAAAGTGGATTTTGACTCTTGATAAACAAGTGACTTGAAGCTTATGTCCAGGTATGGATTCAAACTCAGACAACATTATTGCAACGTTGACGGTCTTCAGGCCTCACTATCACATACCAATTTCTTTGAGAGAGAGAGAGAGATAGATAATTATAAATATAATGACCCGATTTAGTCTACGATAACCCACTTTTGTCCTCCATGACCATTATGACAACATTTAGGAAAAAGGGTTAAGAATTATTTGCCTTTTTTTCAGGTCATCTGATTGGCTATGGCTGTGAACTCTCTGCTGTGGTGTATGACCCACGTAACGAGCCAGCTGACACCCCCAGGCCCCCCCCGCAGGTTCCCCCAGTCGACACAAGGCAGGCCCCACGTCACATACCACGCCACACCCCCAGCCTCACCCCACGCCACACCCCCAGGCAACAACCATCCAGGTAACAGGAGTTGCATATGTTATATCCATGCTGTGAATGTGTATAAGTTGTGTCTTGTATATATGAGAGGTGTGACTATACTGTTTGCCCGATACACTGATATTTTATCCAGTTTATGTATAACATTGCATGCATGTTGGGATCCTGGGTTAGAATATGTTCCAAGCAAGCGTGGCTGGTCGCAAGAGGCGACTTGATGGATCGAGTGTTCAGGCTGGGTGACTTGGTTGATAATGTGTCAGTGTTCCCTGACAATGTTGGTCGTTGCTCACAGTATCAATCACTGGATTGTCTGGTCCGGATTCAGTAATTAAAGGCTGTCATCATATAGCTGTAATATTGTTGTTCATTAAAATCAGATCTTAGTTCTCACTAGCGCTAAACAAAGATCTGAGGACATCCCATTAGGGGTCATGTCAGAACGACCTTTCAACCGACCACTCAGAGCGTTACTTACCAGATCATGAAAGTGACAGTCGGAATGTGATTTCTAATCATGCAACCTCGAAAATGTCAACACGGGGTATTCCGAACGATAGGCTTAACGACTGAATCCATACAATCTAGACCATCGATTAGCCATTCCAGAATGTTCTTTTGATCAGGTTTCAATTTTATTATCGACAATTTGTCAAAATGTTTCGAAGTTTAGTCGCCTATTTGAAGTTAGTGCTGTAAAGCACAAGAAAGCTGCCTACTGATTGGCTAATGCCAGCTTCTTGTCAGTCATTCCACTGGTAGGTCAAAGTTCGCGCAAGGTCAGCATTGAATTTAGGTCATGACAGAAGCTTTTTTGATGGACCATAATATTTTTACTAATTTAAACTGAAATTTATTTCATGATGTTATTTTACCTGATACTGCCCTTTAGATGGATGCAGCATATTTCCTACATGATATCAGATGTAATGTAATTTCACACCTAGTTATTCTGACCAAGACATTCATCTTTATGAATTGCAGTGCAGTATTCTCTTACATACTATGCACACTACCCCAGATAAATTCACCTGTGTAGAGTGAGTGAGTTGGGTTTAACGCCACTTTTAACAATTTTCCAGTTATTTCATGGCGTGTCAGCTTTATGTGGGAGGAGAGCCCAAAGTGATGCAGGTCTTAGACGTTCACCACTTTGGTGAAACCCACGAGCACGGATATGGTGCTGACAAACCTAGAAAGATAATCAGGGCGAACTGGGATTCGAACGCACAATCTTGGGTTTCTGGAATGCCCAAGGGACGCAACTCTGCACAGTCGTCAGTCGTTTTTAGAAGGAGGTGTGCATTATTTACACAGCAGCGATAGAAATTGTCACTGGTCCCACAGTCCCTGCCAAGCTGCCCAAGAGTTGCGGTATACATGGTATAAGGCGTGGAAATGTGCCTTTTCTAAAGGTTTGGCTACATGTTTTCCTAATAAGGACCAGTGGGCTAAACATATTAGTTTCTATTGCTGCACAGACAATGAGTGTTTATTTATAAACCACAAAAGAAATACATTACCATGAGAAATAGCATGTCAACAAATCTGTACTTCTGTTTGTGACTCTATCTGTTTACAAACAATGGTCAGTGTATTTCTGGCCATGTGTTTGTTCTCTATTTCATATATTTTATTTTTTTAGAATACTTGAATCCTTCTTATAACATAATGACAAGCATTACGTGCTTTAATCCTGTTCTGCCTTGGAATCCCAAGAAGGGCCTTTGATAAAGAACATGAAAGTCATTTTTTTAAATATTTTTAAATAATCAAGGGTCATAATGATAAAAGTCAACTCATAACGATAGCCTTGCCTTTTATCATTATGATGGCGACACGCTATTGTTGTTGCAGTTTATTCTGAGCCAGGATTTCAGTGGCCATTTTGAATGTGCATTTACAAATGTACAAACTTTTAGTTATTATGCCAAATATCACGATTATAAAGGAATTATATATCAACGTCAGATCTGTTGATTCCAGAAGTAGAGTCAACAGATTTTCCTAATTTCTCCGTAACATGTACAAGCATATTTTTTTACCAATCCATGGATATTGGGAGATAATTTGAAAGGTTCTGCTTTACTTTTGTAGACAGACACCAAAGAAACCATCCCCACCAGTCATCCCAGACCCCACGTCACCGTCACCACCCCCTTCTGAGACCTCGCCCGAGCCAGACAAGCCCCCCACCCCACCTGACCTGGATGAAGACTTTGAACCCTGGGTGGAGCACCAGCCTAAAGCTGCCAAAACAGATCCAGGCCCCACACCCAGCGACAACAACAAGCCATTTGACCTTTATGTAGATGGTGTGAGATTCATTCCAGACAATGCTTCAATCATAAAGGTAAGTAGGTGAACATTGTCAATATCTCATTGGTTTGTATGCACTATGTTCTGGTCTTCAATCATTCTCGAATACTTTCGGCCCAGGTGAGGTGAGGTGAAATGGGGTTTAACATCGCATCCATGATCATTGCACTTATATAGCGTGCGTGCTTGTGTGCGTGCGTGCGTGCGTGGCTGCGTGCGTGCGTGGCTGTGTGCGTGCGTGCGTGCGTGGCTGCTTGTACTAGTCCGGACTGATGCCGATTTATAGTGCTAGCTCACTTAGATACGATGCCTCAGACTGGTCGGCTCGGAGTGGGGTTTTCATGTTAAACTGTGCACACATACACACACATGTGCACACACACATGTGCACACACATGCACATGCACACACACACACACATACAAGAACAATAATTTTGGATGTGACGTTAATCCTATTTCACCTCACAGCACCCCTTACCCATGTTGTTTTTAGTACGAAATATAAACAAAATTGAGATGATTAGGTGTTTTGTAGTCTGACCTCTTGTTGCTATGACATCAAATTGAGTAACAGATTGCATCATGTTTTTAACCCCAGTGCATTGTCTTGACCTCACATTACAGTCAACCATAACAGCTGAAGAAAAGAATGAATTTTTTTTTTTCCTTTTATTGTTTTTAGAAAGACACACCTGTTACATAAATGGGCTTCCGCCCAGGGTAGCAGAAAGCCCATGACATAAAGCACAACTTATCAGTACATCTTACTTTGTTGTTTTTTTTATACAGAAAATAACATACTTCTCACTCACACATTCACTCTTGTTTATATATCATATGAAAAGAATGAATTTATTTGTTAGTATAAAGCTTAGGGTTTCCTGTGAGTTTTCTGAATTCGTTTTCTTCAGAGCTTATGAATAAAGGCTTCATAAACACTTGTAGGTGACAGGAAGAGTTCTCCGAACCGGTGATCTGAACGACTTGTCTGACATCTTGGCTATTCCTGACCTTGAGAGTCCTGCGCGGTCACCACTGTTCGGCTACAGACTGACTGTCAACCCAGACAGCAAGACCGCTGACCCCAACATGCTTGTCCTCCTGAGGGTGTACACTGTTGACATCGTGACGGAGAGGATTGTCGTCGTCGGCAGCTGCCTCCTTGGGGTGTTCAACGTTGTAGGGATGAACAAGGTAGGAGTCATGTGGGGATTCCTGGTTAGAATAGGTCTCCAGCAACCTATGCTGGTCAGATCAGGTGATTTAGTGGATCGGTGGTCCGACTCAGTGACAGTTGATTGCATGTCATCTAGGAGGGCTGGGACGAGTCCTCAGGAGATGTCTCAAAATGTCCGATTGGGAACATTTTTAGCAAAGCCCTGGCAAAGCGTATTTAGATACACTTATTAAACAATCTGGTCATTCATACACTGACGTTGAATTAAGTTATATCTTTATTCAACCATAGGAATATTCGGGAGGAATGGGTGCAGTCAGAAAGAAATGCAAACATTAGTGACTTGTAGTGTAACCATAGAGTTCTAGATAATATCCCGTGACTAACCACGGGTCCAGGTAGTCCTGTGGGTACCCGGGTCCTACTCATAGTATAGTTGCAACAAAATACCAGAGGTTTGAATAGCAGACTGTCAATCAAATTAATCACTGTTTTCATTGTTTTATAATTTAAGGCAATATTATCTGCACAACAAACAAATAATTAGTCTTGTCTAAATTACTCGTAAAGATTAGTGGAGTGTCACAAATTTGTTGTGTATTAGGTGCTCAAGAGATTTTGCCCATGTTTTTTCAGGGTAAATTGCGAATTGGGGGACATCAGTTGAGACTAAGGTCGGGAATGCCGGACACCAAACAAGGTGTGAACACCCTGACCCCAGCCAGCCTGGACTCCGCCCCCATCATCCCGGGCTGCTCGCTACTGGTCAGGTTGAGGCCACACAGTCCGGTAAGATTGCACTTGCTGTTGTTACTCAATCAGTCACGTTTGTGGTTATCATCATCATCGTCGTCATCATCATCGTCGTCGTCTTCGTCATCATCATCATATGTATATTTAGATTCATCAAACCCACATGACAGGCAAAATCATGCTCCAAGTACTATATGATTACCCCGGTCAATGGATCAGTGTGCAGTAGATTTACATTCTCATCTCCCTGAGGATTATACAACCCATGCTTCCTGTAAGACACTAGAAGTAGAATGTTAACAGTCACTTTTCTGGTGTCCCCTGCCATGATATTGGTATAAGCGGCATAAACCCAAATCATTTTCTCACTCACTACTATCACCTAATCGGTGTATATGATTTCTTTCAGGAGCCAGTGGATGCCCCCAAGTACACTGTAGGCTACTACAGGTCTATTGATTGTCACCCCAATGTGTCGGAGACACGCATCTTCCAGAGTTACGAAGACAACATGAAGTATCCGAAAACAGAAAGAGACATGGTGAAGAGACTACAGACCATGGAGGGTATTACAGAAGGTGGGACACTTGAAGCTTGGGGAATCTAGGTGTACCTTGTGTGGTGGGACACTTGAAGCTTGGGGAATCTAGGTGTACCTTGTGTGGTGGGACACTTGAAGCTTGGGGAATCTAGGTGTACCTCGTGTGTTTTTATATTCTTCAATAAGAACGCCCATAAAAACTGTAGATGATGTCACTTGAGGTTTATTGGAATCTTTTACTTTGAAATCCAGGTCGGAGTGATGTAAGCCTGCTGAGCTGGTTGAAGGATCGTCTGGACATGAAGAAGCAGACACCAGCCGCCCAGCCAGCAACCAACCTCAGCCTGTCTCGATGTGTGCGCTACAGAAACAAGATGGGGCTGTTTGTCAAGATGAACCAGGCCTACGGCATGCCAGGTCAGTATATTTACCTTCTTGTACATCAAAGTCTAAAGAAACTGTATGAAGACCTCGTAATCAGCTACATTTTGTTCCATTTATCACACCAGCAGTGTTTGAAATTAAGCATGAAAGTGTAGGTGCCAGCCCAAAAATGTTTCAGTGAGTGAGATTTTGTTTTATAACCATAGTCTAGGGGACAGAGGCCCCATTCAGGTCCTGGGCAAAGCCCGGTTGGGGATCTGAGGAGCTGACGCCCCCAGTCCGAAAATGATTTTAACCATTCGGAGCAGTAGTTTGGAGCGCTATGGTGTATTATAAATTGTCTTTTAATGATTTGTTTGATAAATGTGTGAGATTTCCTGTAGAGATCCTGAGGGTGTGATCTTTATTAATATGCATGAGTATTCCACCAAATGCGTGAGTTGATAGGTAGGTGAAAGTCAAAGGGTCCTTATCATAATCCTGATGCTAAAAGTCAAAGATTTAGTAGGGTCTCTAGATTCAAATACTTCAGGAATAGAAATGACACCCCTTTTAGGAGTAATATCGACCCCCTTCCTGGTTTCTGGATCGTTGCAATCCTGAAACCCCTTATATTTTATCTTTCAGAAGATTACAATAGTGATGATTTGTGTTCATCATTAGTCCTGCACTTTTCAACACTAGTTTCCTGATGTTGATGTTGTTGGCAATGTATCTGTCCTGATGTTGATGTTGTTGGCAATGTTTCTGTCCTGATGCAGATGACCGAGTGATACAGTGCTTCGTACGGGTGACCCCCGGGCGCAAGGTACAGGGGATGAGTGCAACCAAGGAGGGGTACGGCAAGGATGAGAAGTTTATCACAACAAAACATATCCCTGAGAGTTATCTCCAGGCCCCGGCATGGGCTGATGAACCACAGGTAAGGGGGCGGTCAGGTAGCCTAGGGGTCAAACCATTCACTCGTCATGAGAGTTATCTCCAGGCCCCGGTAAGAACCACAGCTAAAGGGGCTGGTTGTTTTAGGCCAATGGTCAGACCATTCACTAAAGAACCACAGCTAAGGGGGTGGTTGTTTTAGTCTAATGCTCAGACCATTCACTGAAGAACCACAGCTAAGGGGGTGGTGGTTTAAGGCTAGTGGTCACACCATTCACTGAAGAACCACAGCTAAGGGGGTGGTGGTTTTAGGCTAGTGGTCACACCATTCACTGAAGAACCACAGCTAAGGGGGTGGTGGTTTTAGGCTAGTGGTCAGACCATTCACTGAAGAACCACAGCTAAGGGGGTGGTGGTTTTAGGCTAGTGGTCACACCATTCACTGAAGAACCACAGCTTAGGGGGGGGTGGTTTTAGATTAGTGGTCAGACCATTCACTGAAGAACCACAGCTAAGGGGGTGGTGGTTTTAGGCTAGTGGTCACACCATTCACTGAAGAACCACAGCTTAGGGGGGGAAGGTTTTAGATTAGTGGTCAGACCATTCACTGAAGAACCACAGCTAAGGGGGTGGTGGTTTTAGGCTAGTGGTCACACCATTCACTGAAGAACCACAGCTAAGGGGGCTGATTGTTTTAGGCTAGTGGTCAGACCATTCACTTGTCATGCCATAGGCTCAGTTTTGAATCCCCACATGGGTAAAATGGGAAGCCCTGTCAGGTGTTCCATTCTTGATGAACTGACTGGCTGACACATATAGCTGACATATTGCTGAGTGGTGTTAAACAACAACCAAAATAAACTGGATAAAGTGGGCATGATCTGTGACTTGGTAGATTCTGTTTCATTGCTCCCCGATGAAGTTGATGTTTGTTCATGGTCTCTCTAGCTTGCCTGATCCAGACTCCATTATTTACAGGTCACACTGACATAGCTGCAATACATTATTTCTGACTACAGGAAAAACCTTCCACTCACTCCCGAGCTGAACCTTTTCCTTTTGTTTGTCCCCCAGGAGCTGCACCCATTCTACGACCAGTACAGTTGTCTCATAGTGCAGGTGTTTGGTCTGAAGATGGTCTACAAGATGAAGCCAGACCACAAGGCTCCAGGCAAACTCGTCACCCCAGAAGGAGGAGAGCTGGATTTGGATGAGGACAGTCTACTGGGTTGGGCAGTAGTGCCTCTGTTTGACGGGTCAGTTACTTTACAGTAGAGACATAAAGCATCTCACCTGATGAGTTGATAAAAGTTCAAAACTACAGGCCTTGCCAGGGAGTTTTAGACTTTCAACAATGAGTGTTGATATATTGGATATCAAAAGTCTTGGGACATGCTAACCAGCTTCAGTCGCAGAGAGATTACTGATGTCATTTGATTGTGTTGTCATGGTAACTGATGACATCACAGTGGTGACTACTTCATTGAAATTTTAGAAAATGAAAACATTTCAGGTTATTTTGTTTCAGATGATCCTTTGATGTTTGGTGTCAAATTCGGGTAGAATTTCAATGATTAATACAATGAACAGTCATTCTGTCAACAAATCAATTACTTTTCAAGTGCTTTGTTAAAAATCAAAAATAATTTAGGACAGATCAAAGTAAGGACTTTCAAGATAAGATTTAAGTACTTTCCAAGGCTTGTGTGAACCATTTTCTGTCCCCATCTATGACCTGTGTTTCATTCCACCCAATGAAGCCCTACTGATCACAGGGGACTGACCCCCATTGCCATGAAACAAAATATCAAAAGCAAGCCCAGATCCACAGGGTTACACAAGAAACAGGGATCTTGCATGTTTGTGCTTTTTTTGAAAACAGAATGCTTCTAATACTGATACAGAACAGGTATTAGCTGAACTGCCATCTTGTAAACAGATTGGGGCGGTCGGGTAGCCTAGTGGTTAAAGCGTTCGTTCGTCACGCCGAAGACCCGGGTTCGAATCCCGACATGGGTACAATGTGTAAAGCCCATTTCTTGTGTTCCCCGCCGTGATATTGCTGGAATATTGCTAAAAGCGGTGTAAACCAAACTTACTCACTCACTCATTGTAAACAGATTAGATTAATAGGACCATTCTGTGACTTGTGACTTTAAACTTACAGTTAACCCTGGATATGAGGTATGAGCTAGAGTTCTGCGAAATGTGTCTGATTTGATATTTGGTTTCAGTTTAGTTTATTTTTGAGATGATTGTGATGATTTCCTTATGTACAAATACATCCCAGTGACACAGGACTATCTTTGATAATAAAACAAGCATGTTTTCAGAATATTGGTAACTAAGTGACAACCTTGAAAAGTCCATGAATTTCACCCTTACATTTCTGTATGTACGAAGAAAAATGTCTCTGTCAAGAAGAACAACATGTGAGTGTTTGAATGATGGTTTCAGGAACTCAGTGCTGAACGGGACCCACCGTGTTCCGATACTGAAGGGGAAGCCGACGGAGGAGGTGCTGGACCAGCTGTCTACATCCTCCGCAGAGGCCGTGCTGGACGGACAACGCTGGGATTCTAGCAACGCCTATGTGAGATGATGAGCTTTGTGACGGTTCCACATATTTGATTCCATAGATGACACTTTTTCAAATCTGAGTTTTGTCCCATTTCAGTTATATATCCTAGTATTGATAATTTTGTTGTCTGAATCACTGCTATCCTTTTCTAGAAAGACCTTTAGCAAAACTTGTTCTTCATTATCACTGGTTTCATTGTTAATACATTCATCAGAATCACCGTTACCATTGTGCCCATTCTGAACTGGGTACAGTGACTTCACTCATTGTGTAGTGATGTCATTATTAGGCTTCACTACCGAAGTTCTAAAAAGCGAGAGAAAAGTCCAGGCACCTTTAACCCTAAATGTCTATACATGAGCGATGCAGTGTATTAGATGTGTAAAATAATACTTCAGCCAAATGTTTGGTGTTCCATGTTTGTGAGGAACTTGTCATTGAAAAAAGGACCGCCTCCGTGGTCTAATGGTAGAGCGTCCGCACGGAGAGCGGAAGGTCCGGGGTTTGATCCCCAGCCGCGTCATACCAAAAGACGTTAAAAGATGGTACTTGTTGTTACCCTGTCTGGCGCTCGGCATTAAGGGGCTAAAACAAGGACTGATCGGCTCGGAGTCAGTATGCTGTGTCTGAGTGGGGTATTCATGTTAAACTGCGGCATGGTATCTCAGTGAGCTAGCACTAAAAATCGGCATCGACCGGACTAGTACAAGCAGCCACATACACTTGCATGCACGTGGCTATATAAGTGCAATAATCTTGGACGCGACGTTAAACCCAATTTTACCACCTCACATCATTGAAAAAACAGGCAAATTTGATTGTTATTTGTTCCTGTCTGAATTTGGCATACATTTTGCCACAAAGTAGGGACTGCGGTGATCGTGGATTTGAATCCCAGTTGGCCCTGATTATGTTGCTAGGTTAGTCAGCACCATATCTGTGGTCGAGTTTTACGAATATTATGAACATCTAAGACCTGCATCACCTCAGTCTTTCCTCCTTAAACAAGCTGACATGCTGGGATATAACTGAAATACTGTTCAAAGCAGCATTAAGCTCAACCTACTCCCTTACTCAGCTTATAAGAACTGTATCAATTTGTTCTCCATTTTCAGGAAGCTGGTAGTCTCAAGGTCACAATTTGGGATGGACACTACGAATTTAGAGAAATTCCAGAGATGCCAGTAAGTTGAGCTCAGCGTGTCAAAATCTGAAATGAAAATGCTGTGATCATCTCTATGATGCCTTTATGCCAGGTTACCATCATGACCCTTGTCTTGATTTTGGATAACACGAGGTACCCAGTAATCTATGCTGATCATAAGAAGTGGATAAATAGTTTGTTTGTTTATTTGTTGTTTAATGCCGCACTCAGCAATATTCCATATATATGACGGCGGTCTGTAAATAATCAAGTTTGGAACAGACAATCCAGTGATTGACATCATGAGCATATATCCACGCAATTGGGATACGATGACATGCATCAACCAAGTCAGCGAGCCTGACCACCCGATCCTGTTGGTCGCCTCTTACAACAAGCATAGTCGCCTTTTACAGCAAGCATGGGTTGCTGAAGACCTAGTCTACCCCTCGATAATAGATCACCTAGTCTGGCTCCATGACTTTGGTGATGTTACTCATGATATCAACCACAGGTTTGTCTGGTCCAGATTAGTTTATGTAAAGGCAACCTGAGTGTGGCATTAGACAAAAAGGGGGGTGGTCGGGTAGCCTAGTGGTTAAAGCGTTCGCTCGTCAAGCCAAAGTCCCGGCTTCGATTCCCGACGTGGGTACAATATGTGAAGCCCATTTCTGGTGTCCCCCGCCATGATATTGCTGGAATATTGCTAAAAGCGGCGTAAAACCACACTCACCGCCACATTAGACAAAAAACAAACAAAAAACAGAATTGTAATAGCTTTGTTTGTTGTTGAAGGCAACACTCTGCAATATTCCAGCTATATGATCACTGTCTGTAAATAATCAAGTCTGAACCAGACAATCTTGTGATTGATATTGTGAACATGCTGATGATGCTGTCAGGGTACAATTACATGATAAGACCATTCTGTGATATGAATCCAGTTATAAAAAGATAACTTTTTGTCCCCAGGTGTACGAGAACCTGTTGGAGAAGGTGGGTGACATCATCGCCTACCGCGAGGCGCAGCAACTCAAGGTTGGCCGTCACCTCAACAGCATCGTCATAGAGGCCCTGGAGCCAAAGCATCGCAAGCAGGGCATTAAGGGAGCCGTGTACAAGAAAGAACTGGGGTTCTTCGAGGATCTTCTCACAAAAAGATTTTATGATCTCATGGTAAGTTGCTTGATCTGGTTGTGATCTGTTGAGTGTCACTTGCTTGTGTTTGTGGGTTTCACAAAGTGGTCAAAGTCTATGACCTTCGTCACTCTTTCTTTGCCTGCAACAATAATCTGCGATATATATCTATGTGCTATTCTAAAAGGATTTAAACCAAGGACACACTCACTCACTCACTCACTCACTCACTCACTCACTCACTCACTCACTCACTCACTCACTCACTCACTCACTCACTCGATGGGCCCAAGCAGCAATCAAATTGGTTTGTTGATTGCATGTCATTTTATCTCAATTTTATAGATCGATGCGCATGATGAAAATCACTGGATTGTCTGGTCTAGACTTGATAATTGGTGTAACAATACGGCAGTACAGTATTGTATCGCGATACAAGGCCCACAGTACAATACATTGATTTACAAGCCCCGTATTGTGATACATACGATACCTTTCATTACAAGTTATACGGAGGGAAGAAAATGTGAATAGTATTAGAAACTGTTCAACCATCAGCTTTGGCAGATTCTCTAGTATTTCATGATTTGACATAAATAACATTACATTCACAATAACAATATGTTTCTGCCCTACAATATCCCAACTTTGATCTCTGAAATGTAATAACAAATGATTTAGGGTTGTGATTCATCTGAAAAAAGAAAGAATATCAACTTGGGAAATAAAAGTACTATATTGGGATACGAATCGTATCACACCCAAAGTATCGGGATACGTATCGTATTGCAACTCCACTGTATCATTACACCTCCAGACTTGATTATTTTCCCTCTGTCCGAAAAAAGCTGGAATACTGCTGAGTGCAGCATTAAACAAGAATAAACACTCCCTCACTCGCTGATATTGTTAACTTGCAGGAGAACGCTCTGATGACATCTGGCATGGGACCATTGTGATAGAAGAAGGCAGCCATACGAGTTCTTCCAATTGCCGTGGATCACATCCTGATACACTATGGACCATGGTGATATAGAGAAGGAGACAGTCCCAAGGATTACCTCCATGTATTATCATGATAATAGGGCCACCTCCCACCTGACGGCCGGCACAGGGCTGCCATTAATCATAGGCCTAGGGATGGGCAGCACACTGTCTCATATCTGTAAGTACGGTAGGGAATACTTGGGTATGGAGAATAGCTTTGATCATCGTAAAAACAGGGTCTTCATACATTACTTTGCATTTCACCTGGCTATACATATATTTAACATTGGTAGAAAGCTTGAACCGCTCTGCAGTTCAACATGGGAGAAAGGTTGTACAGTAGGAATGGTCATATTATTTTAACTGGATGGTTAGATCATTGACATGTATGCATTGTATTGTAACTGACTGACTGAAGTTCTTATCTGTGTGTGTGTTTGTGTAGGGGAGGGGAGGGCTGTAATATTTTTTCATAAATTTTGTTCTAGAAAATACTTGGGGAAAACGTGTTTGCCTCAATTCCAGCTTCTCGTTTGGGAGAAGAAAGTTATTTGTCTTGACGCAGTGACGGAAACTAGCACCCCGGCTGTAACACAGCTGAAAGTCTTTGATGGCATTAACATAGATATAGTGTGAGATACCAAGTCGTGAGAGTCAGCTACCTAAACTGTTCCTAGTTCATGATGGGACAATGTCTAAATCTTGTATGAACACTCCGCTCATAGAACAATTGTGTGTCTTACGTTTACCTCAGTAGTGTACTTAAAATGTGTGGAACTGACCATGATGTTTCTTCTCCTGAGAAGGTAATGAGAGTGAATACACATTTAACACTGGCTGTCTTAACATTGCAGGCTAACCTAAATTGTTACCAGAATATGTTTACATTAAGTCGTCAAACTACAACCAATATTACTTTTAACGAGTCAAAGTATCGCAGTTATAACATATGTTTCCATTCGCTGTCAACTAAGGTTCTTTTCAAGGTGTCAATAGCGGTAATATGATCGTGGTTGCTGTAAATAACAGTGAGTTGGTAAAGCAGACCTTATGGAAGGGGGCAAACGGAAGTTGTAAGTACCGGATGGACACCGAAATTAATGTGGATATTATTGAATGAAAGGTTGATTTAAATTAATAAAAAATATCACGTACATTACATACATGAATCCAGATATACAATTATACACTTTGTATTACTGGTGGTATAATGACAGGATTACCTTGCGTAATTCAATTTGTTGATATTCTATTTCCGATGACAGATCTAACGAAATGTAGTTTTAGGTTGGGGGGCTTACCTACCACATGTAACATTTTGATGCAGATTTCAAGGAACAAGTTAATACCTTGGCTTATCTACGAGATCAGCTTTTCTTCATCATATATGGTAACATTGTACACTTGGTGAATTTCTATTAAATGTAACCTACAGGTATTAACTTCTATAAATAAACTTCTTGGTGGTAATTAAGCGGTTTGAAAACATATCAGTTTTTTTGTCCATGTTACTTAAAGTTTTGTTACTGCCGTCAATGAGTGTTCGATGTTTGTTCATGTTTCATGTGTCTGGAATGCTTTTACATAGTGGAAAATTGCCTGTGCCAGCCAAGGTATATACTTGGTCAAATATAAGTGCTATCTTGTTATATTGTAAGACGGAGAGACTAGACGGTTTGTTCTTGTATTTCATCTTCATTGACAATTCAAGGGGCACGGGTGGCCCAGTTGTCTAAGGCGCCACGATTCGCTGTGCAGGGTTGCGTCCCTTGGGCATGCCAGAAACTTATGATTGTGGGTTCGAATCCCGGTTCGCCCCGATTATGTTTCTACGTTTGTCAGCACCATACCCGTGCTCGTGGGTTTCACCGAAGTGGTCAACGTCTGAGACCTGCATCACTTCGGGCTTTCCTCCCACATTAAGCTGACATGCCGTGATATAACTGGAATACTGTTAAAAGCGGCGTTAAACTCAACTCACTCACTCACTCATTGACAATTCACTTGAACGCCATTGTCATACATTGAGGATCATTTGCATCAGTGTTGTTATTTTTATTTTATAGGATTTATTAGAATCATCATCATCGTCATATTATTGTCATGACATCGGAACAATATTCAGAACATAATCACTACCTTCATGAGAATATCATTGTTTCCTATTGTTTGGGGGCACTTTACTTAATGTAGGGCAGTGGCTTTGATGAGTTGCAAGATTATCTGGTAAATCATATCCATGTAACAAGAGCAAGACAATGTATTGTTAGTTGTGTACATGCTGAAGGCATTATGGATGGAAAGATTGTAGTTCAATACACATTAGCAATGTTACAGCCACAGTCTTTGTCTGGACCAGAACATGTTACCAAGGGCAACAATCCATCCTTGAGATGATGCACAAGCACAATCTGCGACTAATACACTAGTCCCAAGCCCAAGTCTAGTAACATTTCTGTCACCCTAGTAAGCTATGCTAGTCTCACATTAAGGGGGAGGAGGGACCTGGGATTTATACAAAAAAATAGATTGTCCCCGAAAATGCTTGAAATATTATTTTTGCATCAACTGTTGAAAGAGAAGAAATGTCTCCATAAAAAATACATTGTTGGGAGAGGATTTTTTTTAAATATTTAGGCTCTTGTTTTGCAGTTGTAGCAGAAAGATATCTCCAATCAAAATCCCTGCCCCCAGAATATTAAGTGGTCATTCCTTTAGCTATAGTGCATTTTGTAAGTGATGTTATTAGTTGGTGTGTTTAGTGCAGTAGACTGTGGTTTCAGTGTCAGTGATCAGTGCTAGACACATGTTTTCAACAATGCCTTGAGTCTTCAATGGGTGCTGGTTCACAATGGATGTACGAGAGAATAAATATTAAGAATTTAGACATTATTTTGGTATTCAGTTAGTTATATTAATAGACTGGTCAGGATTCCAACATGTTCTATTGATAGCTAGTAGTCAAATACCAAAGCATTTTGTCAGTATCACATCACATGACGATTTATTGTTGGTAAAGTGTCATATGTTTTAGATATATAAAAGTTCCTAGGATTATTTTTTATGATCATAGTGATTTTTACTGTCGGCAATGTTAAAAAAACTTGTCATTCTGATTTTATTTTGTTTCTGAATTTTTGTTTTGTATTAATATCATGTCCATTTTGCAATGTGAACTTGTCAATATCACATCCATTTTGCAATGTGAACTTGTCAATATCATGTCCATTTTGCAATGTGAACATGTCAATATCATGTCCATTTTGCAATGTGAACATGTCAATATCATGTCCATTCTGCAATGTGAACATGTCAATATCATGTCCATTTTGCAATGTGAACATGTCAATATCATGTCCATTTTGCAATGTGAACATGTCAATATCATGTCCATTTCACATTGAACATTGCTTAGACTTGTTTATTTGTGGCAACTCAGCCTCATAGTGAGGCAGTGATACGTAGTGCTGTAGTGTTTATGAATCTTATGTTTTGACTTAAAGCTGTGATCTTATCTCCTACTGACATATAGCAGTTCAATATACGCCATTGTAATTTATTACACCAAACCTTGATAAAGTTCAAATCCTTGCCAATTGTAAAGTATAACCACAATTGTGACAGTGAAATCACTGTGGACACTGTTCATATCACAACATTGTACATTGTTCCCAAATAATAAAGTATTATTCAACACCCGTGGTGGATTTGTGTCGTCATACCTTTGTTTGTTGTTTAACGCTGCGCTCAGCAATATTCCAGCTATATGACTGCGGTCTGTAAATAATTGAGGCTGGACCAGACGATTGACATCATGAGCATCAATCTATGAAATTGGGATACAATGTCTTGCATCAACCAAGTCAGCAAACCTGACCATCTGATCCTGTTAGTCGCCTCTTATGACAGGCATGGGTTGCTGAAGATCAATTCTAACCCAGATCTTCATGGGGTGCATTCCAGCTATATTGGTCTCAGATTTGATTATTTTAAGGCCACCATCATATAGCTGGAAAATGGCTGAGTGCAGCATTAAACCCAAACCAAAAAAATGGTAACAAGAGATTTGTTGTTTGTTGTTTAGCAGTAATCCAGCTACATGGGGTCAGGCTGTAAATAATTAGTCTGGACAATCCGGTGATTGCTATTATGATGATTTACGGATGCAGTGGTGTATCCGGTGACACATTGTATGCACATTACCTACCATGATAACATGTTGATAAAGTTTTTTAAGCAATATTATTAATAACGGTGTACATATAGTGTTTGGGTAAGACCCGCCCGCCACACACACTTTCACACAACGAAATTGCAAGTGGAACACCCCACCCCCCTCCCCCTTTTTTTTTAAAATCCCGGATCAGCCCCTGCTATGTCATCTGGTTACAATGACAACCAAATTGCCGAGTATGGCCACCTTACAACACGCATATTCTAACTCGGATATAATAATAATACCCAGGTAATTATAATAATAATTATAATAATAATAAGTGCATTTATAATGCGCCAGATTCCATTCACCAAGTGGATGCTCAAAGTGCTACACTATTATTACCCCGGTCAATGGATCAGTGAGCACCCAATTTTCATTCTCCGCTCCCTGGGGAGTATACAACCCAAGCTGCCTGTGAGACGCTAGAAGGTTAACAGTAATCATCTCATCCTACCGGGTACCCACTCACTGCTGGGTGAACAGAGGCACATTTCGAACAAAGTCACTTGCCTAAGGAGACACCACATGTGGTGCATGTGCTTCAGTGTGGGGCAGGACCGAGGCCCTAGAAACTCTCAGGAGTCAAGCTGCTTAACTTGGTCACCCATCCAACTACTCTCTGAGACCGACGTTGCTTAACTTCACCTGATTTGTGATCTGTGCGCTGTGCACAGGACCACGTGCCACCACAAATCACACGGGTCTAGTGCAGTGCCGAGTGGGAACTGCGTTGATAGAATCGTCCTGCAGTGCAAACATGCCAGCATCAGCCTTTCACATGTTTACATACCAGTAATCTTGATGATCCTCATTTATAGCTGACAGTCAACACACTCTATTAACCATAAAAACCGGAATGGGTTATTGCAAGTTTTATTTGTAATATCTTCATATTCATCAAAACAAGACATCACAGCTCCGTATTCATAAATTGTTTCTCACAAATATATACATTCAATAATCATCACTTATAACATACAAAGGAAATCAGTGTTAACATTTTGGCCTGAACATCTTAAAGTGTCAGGGTTTGGTAAAGTGGTCATATTCAAAATCTGAGGTTTTAACCTAGTCCACTTTATCCAAATTCAACCATGACATTAAAAGTTTCCTACAAACCTCACAGGCACCTTTTTAAATAAATAATAAAATCCTTGTGGAACAGTTGGTGAAATTGATAGGAAGATAAACCTGAAATTGTGTCTCAAGAATCATGTGTCGTGTTAACCTGGCTGGTTCTGTGACCATCACTGTTAGCCAAGCTCATGGATACATGATCTCAAAGTGGTGCCTTTAAGACAGTTATCATTTACAATGCTGCATGTCATCTGTATGGGAGGGTAGGACATCTGATGAACCCAATTAATACTTGTCCTGAAATATTTTAGATCTATTTCCATAAAAACACAAAAATATGACACAACTGATTAGGGCTGGGATGGGTTACTCGGGTACCTTGGTCGGGTGGGTACTGAGTAGGACCTGGGTACCCGCAGGACTACCTGGAACCGTGGTTAGTCATGTGATATATTGTTTAATGACTCAAAGTATCTAGAACTCTATGATTACACTACAAGTCACTAATGTTTGCATTTCTTTCGGACTATGCACCCATTCCTTCTGACTTTTCAAATCTTTGACTAAAGATATAACTTGAGTCAACTTCAGTGTATGCATGACCAGATTGTTTGAGACATGTATCTAAATATGATTTGCCAGGGCTATGGTAAAAAAACGCCCAATCGGACATTTTGTACGTATCTCCTGAGACCTACAGTGGGTACCCGGGTAGGGTCGGATAATAAGGGGGTGGGTACCCGGGTAGTAAATTCGGACTCGTCCCAGCCCTACAACTGATTAACATCTTCTGCACATGATTCAGCACAATGTCAATGTTTACAATGATGTCACAGGATATGTCACTTTGTCAAAATATGCATAGGTCTGTACAATTCATAACATTCACTACCACTGCATTTTCACATACCTGTACAGTGTATATATACATGATTAAGTTGATGTACATAGATATTTACAAAACGCTTTTAAAAATAATATTAACATGTTACAGGTATAAATTCTATCTGTAGAAAATACAATATTACATATTTTGATAAGGAAATATTTTTCTTTCTATGATACACAGACACGATTCTCATAACATGTGAAGTGTTTATATCTGACATTCATGATTATCCCTATCCAAAGTTGAGTGGTATACTCAAACAGATACAGTCATTGGTGGTGCAATATTGTGCATAAAAAACCTCTGCCTGTTAATATTTATACAATTATACACAAAGGCACACATTAAGGCATCTTCTGCTTCAAACATTACCACTGGTAACCAGACAATTGAAGCCTACAACATTGTACAAACTCATGGTAAGTTTTTCTAAAAGTTAATGGCAAAAAAATATTTGTCAAAAATTAATCACCATACTTCTCTCAAGGCTTTCATTTGCCCACTTGACAACATATCTTCAGTGGAACCTTCAAAATCGAATCATTTTGTACAAAAGATAAAGGTATACAATTTGAGCCTGGAGGTGTCGGCCATGTTGGTCTAGTCCTGTTCCTTGTCTCTCTGCTCCTCCTCCTCCTTCAGGGAGTCCATGGCCGTCTTCCAGTGGTGCAGCCTCACCGACACATGCACCTCTAGGGGGGGAGGGGGGACATCCTCTCCCTCCTCTACTGGTGGGGTGGGAGCTGTAGCCTTGCCCTTCTTGCCACCATCTTTCTTATCGGCGTCCTTGACCTTGCCCCCTGCTTTCCCTGCATCTTTAGAAAGGGAGATAACTGAATGAGCAAAAGCATATTTTACATGGATAACTGTAACATTAGAAGCTATAAGTTAACTTTTATTATCTTTATTACTGAAACAGTGATCTTTATAACCAAACAGGATAGGAACAATGACTTTTACTATTCCGTTACTATTACTAGTCCAAGCAAGATATTACTGGCCATGGGATTATCCCAGGTAGCCTACCTTTTCCTTTGTCCTTCTTGATTGGTGAGGGCGACTTTGTGGCCTTCTTGTCTTTGAGATCCTTGTCCTTCTTATTCTCCTGTAGAAAGTGAAGGAGCAAATATTATATATTGCTGCAATCTCACTGTGAGTGAGTGAGTATGGTTTTACACCGCTTTTAGCAATATTCCAGCAATATCACAGCGGGGGACACCAGTAATGGGCTTCACACATTGTATCCATGTCAGGATCGAACCCAGGTCTTCAGCGTGACGAGCGAACGCTTTAACCACTAGGCTACCCGACCGCCCCTCAATTTCACTGTGGCAAGTGTTGTAGTTGTATTGGGCGCAACACAAATCTACCCCAGGTACCTTTCTGTTAGGGCTCGGGTACCCGGGTCGGGTGGGTACTGAGTAGGACCCGGGTTCCCACAGGACAACACGGACCTGTGGTTAGTCACGTGATTATATTGTGTAATGGCAAAAATTATCAAGAACTCTGTGGTTACACTTTAAGCGATAAATGTTCACATTTCTTTCTGACTTTGCGCACGTTCCTTCTGACTTTATATGTTTGCATAATGATAAAACATCAGTCAACTTCAGTGTATGCATGACCAGATTGGTTTATACATGTATCTAAATTTATTTTGACAGGTGTATAGTCAAACTATTCCCAATCGGACATATTTTACGTATCTCTTGAGACCTCCCGGGTAGGGTCGGGTAATAGGTGATTGGGTACCCGGGTAGTAAATTTGTACTCGTCCCAGCCCTTTCTGTATACATGAAAGTACCCTGGCTGAAATAGTAACACAGGTAGTAGCCTATCTGACCATTGCGCTGCACTTAAAGGGAGACTCTGCTCCACACTCTGTTGCCCACTTCCAGTCTAGATCTAGACTTAGTTACAATCAGATCTTTTACTCAGATACCATTCCTGTCTGCATGAAGATCTGACCTCAAATGAAGGTCACGTCAGGTGGAGGATGTATGAGTTCTTGAGTCAGTCAGATTTCAGATATCTAAAACAATTCAGCTTCTTTACTGTGCTGCCAGAATACCGTCTTTACTCTCAATAGTACACTATTTTGATGTAGATGCCATGGCACTCAGAAACGGCAGGTTTATAAACTACCCACAACAACTTCATAGCGCGGCTTGATTTTCATTGATTTCATTGAAAATAATCATTGTAGAGTTTTTCTGAATGCGTCACTCATTCGTACCAAGAATTTAGAAGCATGGATGATGATTGGCTGATTTAAAAATTCACCTGACATGACCTCCTTTGGAGGTGTCCTCAAGTCTTCATGCAGAGCAGTCTCATTAAAATCAGATCTTAGTTCTTGCTACCGCTAAACAAAGATCTGAGGACATCCCATTACGGGTCACGTCAGACCGACCTTGTGCAAACTTTGGGCCGACCAATGGATTGACCAATCAGAAGGCAGCTTTCTCGTGCTTTACGGCACTAATTTCAAATTGGCGACTACGCTTCGAAACATATTTTGACAAATTCTCGATTAAAAATTTGAAACCTGAACAAAAGAACATTCTGGAAAGGCTAACAGATGGTCTAGATTGTATAGATTCAGTCGTTAAACCCGTAACTATTGTTCAGAATACCCCATGTTAAAATTTTCGAAGTTGCATGATTATAAATCACACTCCGACTGTCACTTTCATGATCTGGTAAGCGACTCTCTGATTGGTCGGATGAAAGGTCGTTCTGACATTACCCCTAATGGGATGTCTTCAGATCTTTGTTTAGTAATAGCGAGAACTAAGGTCTGATTTTAATGAGACTGCATGCAGAGAGGTATTGTATCGAAGTGAAAGATCAAATAGGACTGGACCTAAATAGCGCCATATGTGAAATTGAAACACTTTCTCAGTGTAACTACAGTAATAATTAACTGCTAGATTCATCTTCTTCATCAACTTTAAGATAGCAGAATTAGAACAACACCTTTCGAGGATTGCCACTAAGCTCAGGCATACTCCCTCTTTAAGTGACTGGGCAAGTCAGTAACCAAGTCTGGGTCAAGCCACAGGAGTCCGTATCTAAAAATAGATGCCCTCATGCATATTCATGACCATCTGTGGAGATGGTCATGAATATGCATGAGGGCGTCTATTTTTAGATACGGACTCCTGTGGTCAAGCACACCACGTAGATGGCAGAAGCAACAGTCCACTCTGTCAAGTTACCATAAGGCTGTTATGATTAAGGCTGGGACGGGTCCAAATTGACTACCTGGGTACCCATCACCCTATTACCCGACCCTGCCCGGGTACCCGTTGTAGATATTTAGAGATAGGTACAAACTGTCTGATTTGGAAAGGTTTGACTGTAACCCTGGCAAAATGTATATAGATACACGTGTAAAACGATCCGCTCATGCATACACTGAAGTTTAATGAATGAAGTTTTATCTTTATTCAAACATATTAAATTAAGAAGGAAAGGGTGCATTGTCAGAAAGAAATGGGAATATTAGTGACTTATAGTGGAACCATAGAGTTTTAGATAATTATTGTCATTAAACAATATATATCACGTGACTAATCACGGGTCCGGGTAGTCCTGTGGGTACCCGGGTCCTACTCAGGACCCACCAGACCAGAGTACCCGAGTTACCCGTCCCAGCCCTAGTAATGATGTATATACACCATCAGGGATGGGAATGAAACCCAGTCTCTGAACAACCATCAAACACACTATCCACTGGGCCACCTGACATCAAATGTTGGAGGGGCGGTCTGGCAGCCTAGTGGTTAAAGCGTTCGCTCGTCACACCGAAGACCCGGGTTCGATTCCCGACATGGGTACAATGTGTGAAGCCCATTTCTGGTGTCCCCCGCCGTGATGTTGCTGGAATGTTCCTAAAAGCGTCGTAAAACCATACTCACTGACTCACTCACTCAAATGTTGGATTAAGTCTACAGAAGACTGAAAAGTTTGTGCTGACCTTTCTGCCAACTTCAGGGGATTCTGTGCAGACTGTTGATGCTGCTGTTTCCACGCCCCCCTGCGAGAACACTGACACCATCTCGAAGTCCCCCTCCAGGAAGTCGTCCAAGTGGACGTGGAACGTGGCCAGAGTGGTCAGCTGGGGCTCTGTCCGCCTCAACTCAACCTCCGGCTCTTTCTTCTTCTTCTTTTTGTCCTCTTTCTTGGGCTCAGGCTGAAGAATCAAAGAGAAATGATCATCTTCAGTTATATAGGACAATCCCATAAATTTGAGAATAATTTTTGGTGTTGCATTTTTTTAAAAACCAAACACATTCAAGACTAAATTGTATAGCATACAGTGATTTACATGAATTTAGTGATGAAATACTAGATGTACCACTGATGAACATATCAACTGTCGGTTCAACCCGTGAAGATCCGGGTTAGAATAGGTCTTCAGCAAACCCACACTTGTCGTAAGAGGCAACTAATGGGATTGGGTGGTCAGGCTCGCTTAACTTGGTTGATTCATGTCATCATATTCCAATTGTGTGGATTGATGCTCATGATGTCAATCACTGGATTGTCTGGTGAAGACTCAATTATTTTCAGTCCGCCGCCATATGGCTAGAATATTGCGGCAGTAAACAGCAAACTGAAAACAAACAACTGTCGGTTCAAATGCCTCTATTCTATTTTTCCCCTCAAACGAGTAGTTTGCCATTGAGATATGCCTCTTCATATTTTGGGGGAAATGATAGGCCATTAACCTCCCAGCATAAGTGAGTGAGTCGGGTTTAAGACCTCTTTTAACAGTATTCCAATTATATTGCGGCGTGTCAGCTTAATGTAGGAGGAAAGCCCGAAGTTATGCAGGTCTCAGTCATTTACCACTTCAGTGAAATCCACGAGCACAAGTGTGGTGCTGACATTCCTAGAGACATAATCAGGGCGAACCGGGATTCAAACCCACAATCATAGGTTTCTGGCGTGCCAAAGGGACGCAACTCTGCACAGCGAATCGGCGCCTTAGACGACTGGGCCACCCATGCCCCCTCCCTATGGGGATTACAGGTTAGTAGAGGTCCCCAGCAACAGATGATGTTAAGAAGGGAGGCTAAATGGATTGGGTAGTCAGATGGTGGTCAGGTGGTGACCTGGTTAACTACATGTCATTGTACAGCGTGTGAGATTGCTCATAATATCAATCACCGGATTGTGTAGTCCTGGTCCAATAAAGTACAGGCTGCTGGATTATTGCTGAGCTCAGGAAACAAGCATTCAACAACAAACTTTAAGTAGGCTATAAGGAAACCCCTGGGATGCACAGCTACTACACAACATCTCCAACAACATATAAACGGTCATGAAGAAACTAACCTGATGATCCATTACATGAGCACTTGGGTACATTACCTCCCAAAACCCCTCCCTCCAGTCCTAGTAAACTCAGTCCTTGATGTTCGCGACCTTGATACAGAGTTGCACCTCCCACTCACCCCCCACTGAGTTAAGTACAGCCCTGGTACTACACTGGGGCTTGTGTGCCCTGCCGTGATATTGCTGGAATATTGCTGATAGCAGCATAAAGTCATACTCACTCACTCACTTACTCACTCACTCACTCACTCACTCACTCACTCACTCACTCACACTCACAACATGAGGATATTGAAGATAGATATGAGGATAATTCTGGAATATTGCTACAAGTGGTGGATACTGAAGATAGATATTGCTGAATATTGCTAAAAGCAGAGTAAAACCCAACTCATTCACTCACTCACTCACCATCAACATGAGGATATTGGAGACAGACCTGATGGTATTGCTGGAATATTGCTAAAAAGCGGAGTAAAACCCAACTCACTCACTCACGACATGGGGATATTCAAGACAGACAGGATGGTATTGCTCACCTTGCCCTTCTTATCTCCCTTGGCATTCTTGTCGTCCTTGCCCTTCTTCACTGACCCAGCCACACTGGCCCGGTCCCCATCCTCCTCCTCCAGGGGGAAGCACTGCACCTGCAGTCAACATGGCTTCAGTCAATAAAACAATTCTGAAAACTCACCAGCCAGGAGGGCTAGTAAACAAAAATGTTACCAGCCCTCATCAAATTTAATTCACGCTCACATTAATTTCAAGATTTACAGTATTACTCACCCCCTAAAAATTTGGACAGTTACAACAAAGGCTGGGAGAGGTAACTTGGGTACTTGGGTCGGGTGGGTACTGAGTAGGACCCACGTACCCACATGACTACCCAGACCCGTCATTAGTCATGTGATCTATCATTTGATGACAATAACACTCAACTCCATGGTCGCACTACAATTTCTCCCACCACCAGATTTTATTCTCCAGGTAAGATTTTAAGGATTTAAAATCAAATCAACATTTGATAAGCTCTTATTTTGCAACCTCCCTCTTGGCATATTTGCCTAAATTAATTGGTCTGGGGGAGCTAACAGGGATTTATCTAGATCTGCTTATAGATCTGATAGAGGCTGATATTCAGCTCCAAGTCTGCAGATCTAGGTCTGCGTAGAGGCAGATATTCAGCTTCAAGTCTGCAGCAGAAGTTCCCACACTGGAGTTAAATATTTCCCAATTTCTAACCAATGTTATGGCTTTGACAGGTGACTAGTATTTCACTGATCATTACAGAGGAAGTGGGGGCATTAGGGTAGCCTAGTGGTTAAAGTGTTCGCTCGTCCCGCCGAAGACCCAGGTTCGATTCCCCACATGGGTACAATGTGTGAAGCCCATTTCTGGTGTCCCGAGCCGTAATATTGCTGGAATATTGCTAAAAGTGGCATAAAACAACACTCACTTACAGAGGAAGCCTTCATAAAGCCTAGTATTGCATTGACAATCCCACTTTTGAACGAAATAACAATTTCCCAATGTGCCTGCCAAGGGCACTTTTTTAAAATCCTGAAATAATTTCTGGACTGTCTACACACAAAGTATCCTAGGGAGACTCCAGAAAGTGTTGTGTACACTGACCATTTGCTCCACCACCGAGAACTCCATGCCCTGGGTGAAGAAGTCCCGCAGATTGTGCAGGTCATCCCTGACCTGTGTGCTGGACCAGTTCACCTCTATCTCCTCGGCCCAAGCCTGGCCTGGTGATCTCAGTGGACCGAGTCTCATCTGGCGCTGGAGCAGCTGGATGTGCCCCGGTTCCTCCTCCATGAAGTCATCGGCCAGAGACTCTCCCCCAAGTACCGAAAAAGGCATCGCTGCGCCGGGGAAGAGATGGTTATTTGTTATACTACTCAAAAGAAGTTAAGAATCACACGGTTCTTTCATATACCATCACAAGTTAACTATAGCATCCTTGTGTTATGGGTTTTCGGACGCTTAAGAAACATTTGTAGTTTTCTCGCTAATCACAAGAACAACGGTAAAATGTCGCGCTCACTCATAAAAGACAACTTTATCTTAAAATCAAGCCGCCATCTGAGTATTTACTATGTCTGTGTGACGCCACAACCCTCGTTATAGCGGGAGTACTCGCGATAAACATGGTCATCAGATAACATATGATCCGCCAATATGAAAGAATTTAGAGGTGCTTAACTTCTTTTGAGTAGCATAACAAAGATAGTACTAACAATAATACCACTAAATATGCAATGAAATCACCTATCCACTAGGTGGCACAAGCTTAACAATCTCCTTGCCCGCATCCCCACTCAATGAATTGATACTCTTTAGCCATGATCTTATCACTTGTTGGGGAGATAGGAATGCAGTAAGCTGTTGGAAGATCTCAGAGACCCTTGAGCTCTAATCACCAACTGGATACCTACTTTCTTAAAAATATATTTCCTAACATTCCCCAAAAGTTAAGGTAGACTTTTACCGATGTGGGAGTGTTTATGTAACCAATAGGGCTGGGACGGGTAACTCGGGTACTTGGATCGGGTGGGTACTTAGAAGGACCAGGGTACCCACAGAACTACCCGGACCCGTGGTTGGTCATGTGATATATTGTTTAATGGCAAAAATGATCTTGAACAAGATCGTTATACCACAAGTCACTAATGTTGGCATTTCTTTCTGACTATGCACCAAGACCTTTGCACCCAGACCAGACGTTTGAATAAAGATAAAACTTCAGTCAACTTCTGTGTATGCATGACCAGATCGTTTTATACGGTCTCTAAATACATTTTGTCCAGGGCTGCAGTCAAACTATTCCCAATCGGACATTTTGTACCTATCTCTTGTGACCTACAGCGGGTACCCGGGTAGGGTCAGGCAATAGGTGGGTGGGTACCCGGGTAGTAAATTTGGACTTTTCCTAGCCCTAGTAACAAACATGGCTGAAATCATTTTTGGCACTACTTAATAAATGTGCCTGTTCATTCAGACATTGTATTCCTTCTCTGGTTTTAAAGTATTTTAGTGAATGTAAGTATGCCTAAAACTCTGATTATTGAAGAATGACATTTATGATAATGAGATTATAACTCAAGCATGTCTCTGTGTTGTAAATATCATGTTGTGCAAGGCGAGCATAATACATTTTTTTCAGTAAGAGACAATATTTATGATTCTCGGCTAATCATCTCTAGTTAAAGGTTGGTTGGCTGGTTGTTTAACGCCGCACTCAGCAATATTACAGCTATTTGACGGCGGTCTGTAAATAATCGTGTCTGGACCAAATAATCCAGTGACTGATATCATGAGCATCGATCCACTTAATTTGGCATCGATGACATGCTTCAACCAAGTCAGCAAGCCTGACCACCCGATCCCCTTAGTCGCCTCTTACGACAAGCATAGTCGACTTTTACGGCAAGCATGGGTTGCTGAAGACCTATTCTACCCGGATCTTCACGGGTCTCTAGTTAAAGGAGTTACATATCTCTTTGCTTTTGTTTACAGTGAAACAAAACACATTATGCATTTCCTGTTTTTGCACTTAGGCATTTCGTCAAACCCATACAGTTTCAGCTTGAAATATATTCTTTCTCTACATGTGCAAAATGAAAAAAAAAGAAGAATTTTATGAGAAAGAGGAAACCATAAGAAAACTCACGGAAAAAGAATGACCGTATTTGACGTAATAAGTGCCCCGCTCTAATAAGCACCCACGGCGATATTTGCTAATATATTGGCTAGTGAACAAACCCAATTAGCACCCCTTCCGATACACAAGACTTATTTATTCACGTATAATACACACTCGTGTGTTATATGCACCCTTAATTATGGGCAAATAAATTCTGGAAAAATATATCTGTCATATATAAACATTTCAGGCTGTCAGCATAAACCACAAAATTTATCTTTTAACCAAATTTATTTTTCACCAAAATAATATTCTAATAAGAGCCCTCTATTTCTAATTTTGAGAGCGTCCTGGGCGCTTATTACGTCGAATATGGTACATGTCAAAGTGCAGAGATATTTAAGGTTATTGAATACAGGACAGCTCAATCAAATTCTCAGGTCTCCTAATGATATGTTGCCATGGTTACCTGTCAGTTCTTGCACTGTCTCAAGATCAGGTTTACTGGTGAAGCAGACACTCTTCTCCTGCTGGCTGAAGTTTGACCTGTCACCTTGTGACCCAACACCAAGGTCAGACTGGTCCACAAGGAAAGAACAAGTTGCAACAAATTGACTTCAAAATCTCTTTTCTGTACAATGAGCTAAACGTTACACAAAGACATTTATTTTAATGTGAATAAACTAATTGAACAATGTTTAAAGTTAGATTTTGACCATGATTTGAAAGTTTTCCAAACTATTTGCTTGTTACCATATTTCTTCTATTAAACGCCAGGGCATATATTTCTTTCAGACGCTCTTTACTCCTGTCTTTTAATCGAAAAGATAATAATGGGGAGAATTCTGTGCATGAAAGCTACCTGTGCGTTTAAACGAGGCCCTGGCGTTATTTGAAGGCCGGCATTTATTTGAGGAAATATGATACATTTTAAATAAACATCAAATGGATAGAAATTGTTGTTAATAGTTAGTTAATATTTCATACAGATATGAAATTCATCTACAGGGCCACCTGTATCCGTTTGTGGCCAATCCGGGTACTTCTTGCCAAGGCAAGGGAGTTAAGTGACTATTAAAGTCCAGTTTCAACCCTTGACGAACTAGGCTGGAATTATCGAGTTATATTTTGGCTAGACAAACAAGTCTTAGCACAGTCCAATAAAAATCGTGTAGCTAAATCGACATCCGGTTCGTAAATAAAATGGATTTCAAGTGTGCAGTTGACTGCAGGATTTGCAAAGCATGTGTACCGTCAACTGGGGTAGGCAGATATTTTCCAAATCTTTTCATGTTTTTAAATCAAGGTGCTCATGTGATTTGATGCACTTTGCAAAGTAAGACCTGTTTTATATCGAAAAAGAACTTGATTATCAGTCAGATCATCTTAACTGAGCACCGCAATTTTGTTTGAAGCAAAACAAGTGATATGAGAGGTAGAATCTGATTGGTCAATAGGAGGGGGCATAGAAGGCACATTACTCGTAATAGCCACTGGTGGCGCTACGATCGGGCCCAGAAATTCCATCCTAGTTTTGCAAGGGTTGAAACTGGATGTTTAGAGTCAGTTAACTCCCTTGCCTCGGGAACAGGATCCGAGTATTACAACAACCTATTTGATCTGACCCACAACTCACCAAGTCGGGGGAAGCTCCCAGGTGACGCCCATCTGTCCCCGGCAAGAGGGGCAACTCGGTGACATCATCTGGGACATGCAACACCTCTGCCTTGGAGCCAGAATCCTCAAGGAACATGAACTCCACGTAGTACTTCCTCTCTATGATGGGGAACTCAGGCTGCTCCTCTGGGTTCTGCAACACACGTTACACCAGTAAGAGACAACATTCAGTATTTTCGGCTTCGAGTGTGATTGCTGTGTGTGCAGCAATCTGATTACCTGTAAAACGGTATCTGGAGCCAGAAAATGTTCTAGATCTTTCAATGCATATATTTCATTTACTGAAGAGGGTATTCTGTCCAAAATTAGGAGTGGTCATTGATCGAGTGTGTGCGTAGGTATGTGTGTGTGTATGTGTGTGGGTGTGTAGGTGTGTGTGTGGTGGGTGTGGGTGTGTGTGTGTGTGTGTGTGTGGTGTGTGTAGGTATGTGTAGGTGTGTGTGTGGTGTTTTGGGGTGGTTTCGTCAGAGGAGTTTGATGCATGCACTAAAGTACTGAAAATAATGACCCATCCCTAATGCCTATCATATTTTTAAGACCTTCCCCTTGGCTTGTAGATGGGTTTCATGACCCTTCCCAAATATGAGTATTTTTTTGTTATGACCCTCCCTGTTTTCCTCTGACCCATTCTAACCCCCACCCAACCAAACTCACCTTAAGTTCTTCAGGTAGAGGTACACCGGTCATCTGGGACACTTCTATGGTGACCTTAGCTTCATCCAGTACATACTCTGAAATAATACAGAACACATGCAACTCCCCATCGACCACACTGGGACACTCGGACACTATAACAGGTCAGCTACACATATGAAGAACCTCACCTGATCAATCTCACCCTGGGATGGGTGTGGTAGTGGGTGTGGGCGTGGACAAGGACGTGGGTTGGGCGTAGGCATGGACAATGGCGTGGGCATAGGCGAGGGCGCTGGCGTGGACATGGACATGGGCTTGAGTGTGGACATGGGTATGGGTGTGGACATGGGCGTGGGTGTGAGCGTGGAAATGGGTGTGGTCGTGGACACCACCCCATGACATACCACACACCCTCCCATGACACACCACACCACCCCATGACACACCACACACCACCCCATGACACATCACCCCATGACACACCACACACCACCCAACAACACACAACCCCATGACACACCACCCCATGAAACAACACACACCACCCCATGACACACCACCCAATGACACAACCCACACCACCCAACGACACACCACCCCATGACACACCACCCAATAACACACCACACACCACACCCCATGACACACCACACACCACCCAATGACACAACACACACCACCCCATGACACACCACCCAATGACATACCACCCACGACACACCACACCACACCCCATGACACACCACACACCAACCCATGACACACCACACATCATCCCATGATACACCACATACCACCCCATGACACACCACCCAATAACACACCACACACCATGACATGACACACCACACATCATCCTATGATACACCACATACCACCCCATGACACACCACCCAATAACACACCACACACCATGCCATGACACACCACACATCATCCCATGATACACCACATACCACCCCATGACACACCACACACCACCCCATGGCACACACCAATCCATGACACACCACACACCCTCCCATGACACACCACACACCACCCCATGACACACCACACACCCTCCACAACACACCACACCACACCCCATGACACACCACACACCAACCCATGACACATCACACACCAACCCATGACACACCACACACCACCCCATGACACACCACACACCATGCCATGACACACCAACCCATGACACACCAACCCATGACACACCACCCCATGACACACCACACTCCACTCCATGACACACCACACACCAACCCATGACACACCACACACCACCCAGTGACACACCACACTCCATCCCATAACATCCTCACTGGACTCTCACTATCATCATGTGCAGCTTGTCACCTCTGACCTCCATTCCAGGTTGTTGGGGCCTAATTCTAACCCGTCCTCCCCATAGGGTTCACAACATTGAGAAGAAAGATGCAATGTGTCTCACCTCTCCGTCTTGCCAACCCCTTGAAATGATGCTTCTCATCTGCTGATATCCTGATATCATCCAAGATGCTCAACTTCCTCAGCGAGTCAATTGTGTAACCACGGTAACCGGGTATCAACTGAAATCATTGTAAAAACATTTCCTGGCATAATGACAAAAACAAGTAAAATTCTTAGTTCACCAAACATATCTATCAATCCTGAGGGTTCGTGAAATATGTTACAAACTGGCGGTAAATTATTTTCTTCACTTACAGAATGTTTTACTTGATTTATTCGCAAATGATGCAAATGATTTCGACAACAGTCTTGTTTTGTCTGTTTAAGTTATTTCACTGATGAGAAAAAGTGCAAAGTTGGACAATATGGGAAACAAAGAAACTCTGACAAATGGCTGCTCACCGACAGTGGGTTGCCTTGTAATATGAGGTTGCGGAGCTTGGGCAGTGTGCCTAGTTTCCGAACAACATCTAACAGGTCACTGAGGTCATTGTGACTGAGGTCCAGCGACAGAAGACATGGCCTGCAAAACAATATCATGCAACATAATGTTTACAACAACTGGAATTATTTGTGTACAGAAACAACAAACAACAAACATACAAGTAATCTCCTGTGATGTATAAACATACCAGTAACCTCCAGTGATGTATAACTACCAGTAATCTCCAGTGATGTATAACATACCAGTAATCTCCTGTGATGTATAAACATACCAGTAACCTCCAGTGATGTATAACTACCAGTAATCTCCAGTGATGTATAAACATACCAGTAACCTCCAGTGATGTATAACATACCAGTTATCTCCAGTGATGTATAACATACCAGTTATCTCCAGTGATGTATAAACATACCAGTAATCTCCTGTGATGTATAAACATACCAGTAATCTCCTGTGATGTATAAACATACCAGTAATCTCCAGTGATGTATAAACATACCAGTAACCTCCAGTGATGTATAACATACCAGTAACCTCCAGTGATGTATAAACATACCAGTAACCTCCAGTGATGTATAAACATACCAGTAATCTCCAGTGATGTATAACATACCAGTAATCTCCTGTGATGTATACCATACCAGTAATCTCCTGTGATGTATAACATACCAGTAATCTCCTGTGATGTATAACATACCAGTAATCTCCTGTGATGTATAAACATACCAGTAATCTCCAGTGATGTATAACATACCAGTTATCTCCTGTGATGTATACCATACCAATAATCTCCTGTGATGTATAACATACCAGTAATCTCCAGTGATGTATAAACATACCAGTAATCTCCAGTGATGTATAACATACCAGTTATCTCCTGTGATGTATACCATACCAGTAATCTCCAGTGATGTATAAACATACCAGTAATCTCCAGTGATGTATACCATACCAGTAATCTCCAGTGATGTATAACATACCAGTAATCTCCAGTGATGTATAACATACCAGTAACCTCCAGTGATGTATAACATACCAGTAATCTCCAGTGATGTATAAACATACCAGTAATCTCCAGGGATGTATAACATACCAGTAACCTCCAGTGATGTATACCATACCAGTAACTTCCAGTGATGTATACCATACCAGTAATCTCCAGTGTTGTATAAACATACCAGTAGTCGCAAGTGATGTATAAACATACCAGTAGTAGCCACTGATGAAGTCCTCTATACACATACCAGTAGTCGCCAGTGATGTAGTCCCCTATGAAGGCTATGTTGTTGTGGCCCAGTCCAAGGTGAGTCAGGAGTGGGGGGTTGATGCACAGTGCAGATATGTCACTGATTTCATTAGCACACAGCTCCAACACCTGGGGACAAGTGTCCGGAAATGAATTATTACACATAGTTGATAGACATATTGAGTACTGCTGACACTATTCACCAGGAACAGCTGGAGCAGCTGCCTTCTAATTATCCAAAAGCCATCTATATTCAGTGAAGTGCAAGTGATTATTCCCATCTATATTCAGTGAAGTGCAAGTGATTATTCCCATCTATATTCTGTGAAGTGCAAGTGATTATTCCCATCTATATTCAGTGAAGTGCAAGTGATTATTCCCATCTATATTCTGTGAAGTGCAAGTGATTATTCCCATCTATATTCAGTGAAGTGCAAGTGATTATTCCCATCTATATTCTGTGAAGTGCAAGTGATTATTCCCATCTATATTCAGTGAAGTGCAAGTGATTATTCCCATCTATATTCAGTGAAGTGCAAGTGATTATTCCCATTTATATTCAGTGAAGTGCAAGTGATTATTCCCATCTATATTCTGTGAAGTGCAAGTGATTATTCCCATCTGTATTCAGTGAAGTGCAAGTGATTATTCCCATCTATATTCAGTGAAGTGCAAGTGATTATTCCCATCTGTATTCATTGACACGACTATTGAAAATCTCACACTATATATGGTCACGTAGGTGTATTTGAACTATTTCTTATTCTAATCATGAAAATTATTTATTTTATTCAATTAAGAACTTTTTCCATTATTTATTGAACATGTGTGAATAAACAGGAAAGTTGTGAAGAAAAATATGTAGCAAACAACCTAATTATAGATTTATAAAAATAGAGAGTGAGTGAGTGAGTTGGGTTTAACGTCACTATTAACAGTATTCCAGTTATATCACGGCGTGTCAGCTTAATGTGGGAGGAAAGCCCAAAGTGATGCAGGTCTCAGATGTTTACCACTTCGGTGAAGCCCATGAGCACGGGTATGGTGCTGACAAACCTAGAAACATAATTGGAGCGAACCGGGATTCGAACCCACAATCATAGTTTTCTGGCGTGGCAAAGGGACGCAACTCTGCACAGCGAATCGCGGCGCCTAAGACAACTGGGCCACCTGTGCCCCCTTATAAATACAGAGAGAACATACCTTCAGTGACTCTGGGAGGTTCTTGGAGCCGATGTTCTTGATATGATTTGCACTTAAAGTCAATTCTTCTAGATTCTTGAACTTTAACAAATCTTCATCTACCTCTGTTACCTGAAGAAGAAAATAGGGAATTATTCTACATGATCTAATCATAAACATTTGTGGGTATTACAATCATCCCAACGTGAGGCAAAACCTACAAGCTACAAAGAACTGAGGGTTACCTGTCCTGGGTGTAGACATCTTGTAAATCTCAAGCCTTGGCAAGAGATGGCAACATCGGATCCCAAGAACGGCTTATCAGTACTTCAGAGCAGGGTATTATGTATACAGTACTACATAGTTTTGTTTCTGAGAAAAGTTAGACTTGCCAGGGATGCATCATCATCATCATCATCATCATCATCATCATCATCATCATCACTACCACCACCATCACCACCACCATCACCACCACCACCACCATCATCACCATCACCACATCATCATCATCATCATCATCATCATCTTATTACTATTATTATCCTGAGGGCTAGTAGATTTTGTGGATGTTTAGCAGATGCCCTTTTACGTTATCATTATTCCAGCTATTTAATGCTTCAGGTTAAGTCTGCATCCCTGAGGATTCCAAACAGTGACATCAGCCCAATGATATTGGCCCAGTGATTTTTAATTAGTATAGGGTCACATTAATCTGTGTGGTCATGAACAAAGAATGATGTTATGTTCACTGATCTGGCACGTCATGGAACTGCCATGCATTGTTACAGCTGCAGCATAAGTCATCCAAACAATGGACACATCCGTGCAAAACTCAGTGACATGACACTTGAATACTGAATAGTATTGTAAAGTATTAGTACTGTTGGTCACATTGAGCAACTCAAATCCAGCTTATAAATCAAAATGTACACTAATTTGAAAATGCTAATGCCTTCATCACTCACATTTTTGTCTACAATTCGAAGTGTCTTGAAGTAGTTGAGAACAAAGCTATCATCAATCAGCCAGGGGGATTTGACAGCGATCTCACGGAGTTCGCGTGCTTCCTGCGACCAGCTGTAGTCGAGGTGCCATGGGGAGAATCTGGATCCAACATATTCCTCTAGAGTCTCCATCTTCTCATGATTGGCGCCATAATCTGCCAAACAATTTCCAGAACAATGTGAGTGAGTGAGTGAGTGAACGGGATTAGTAACAATAATCCAGATCTAACAAAGTCGCCGCTGAATATTCTAGTCTGGCCTGGGTAAAGCTGTGTTTGCTAGCACGTTCCATACATTCTGGGTTTGAAGACATTAAAATCAGCCTGACACTCGTTGTGACCCTCATTTTAGGCACTCTTGTGACAGCTTTGGAGACCCTTTGTGCCTTGGAAATCCCAAAAGGGACAGAACCATCAAAGGGACATCAACATGGAGACGATGCAGTAACATTCCTTATGTACATCACTTCTAAATGCCTTTCCAAGACTAGAACCATCAAAGTTTGATACACTAAGGCCACCCATCAACACCACATGCTTGAAAACTTGTAAACCTTTGAAGCATCAATTTTTGTCTCTTTCCCTCTTTCAGTGGTTTCAATATATCTCAAACAATTCTGATAAAAAAAAAACATCTTACCTTTCAATGTTATGGCGAACTGTGAATCAAGTTTATCAGAGGAAACAGATACTGGATTAATGCTTCTTTTAGGCAAAGTTTTCTTCCTCGGCAATGATTCTGTCTTGCGTTGAGATCGTCTCTGTAAACAAATTGAGTATGTGAACATACTTACCGTATTTCACGTAATAAGCGCCCAGGGCGCTCTCAAAAATAGAAATAGGGGGCTCTTATTAGAATATTATTTTGATGGAAAAAACAGAGTTGAAAGATAAATTTCGTGGTTTATGCTGACGGCCTGAACTGTTTATATACGACAGATATATTTTTCCTGTATTTTATTGCCCATACTTAAGGGTGTATATAACACATGTGTGCGTATTATACACAAATAAATAAGTCTTGTGTACATTGATCAATCGGATGGGGTGCTAATTGGGATTGTTCACTAGCCAATATATTAGCAAATATCGCCGTGGGCGCTTAGTAGAGCGGGGTGCTTATTACGTTGAATACGGTATTCGTATATTTGTTCATTTGTGAGTGAGCGAGTAGGGTTTTACTCTGCTTTAAACAATATTCCAAGAACACAATGGGGTGCACCAGTGCTTTAACCACTAGCCTAGTCAACCATCCTCCAATGCAGTGTTCGAGATACTGGAACGAAAATAGTCTAGGAACATATTTCAATGTATCTACTATGTTACACATGGGCGGATACAGAGGGGGGGTGCAGGGGTGCGCACCCCCCTTTTTATTTCGAAAACAAACTTTATTTCTGTATAAATTACCACCAAAGACAATAAATAGATCTTAATTGTGCACACCCCCTTTTCAAAAAAGCTGTATCCGCCCATGTTACATATAGTACTCAATCTGTCATGGCATAACAGATTAACTATAGTAGTGAGTGAGTGAGTTGGGTTTAACAACACTTTTAACAGTATTCCAGTTATATCACGGCATGTCAGTTTAATGTGGGAGGAAAGCCCGGAGTGATGCAGGTCTCAGACATTTACCACTTTGGTGAAACCCATGAGCATGGGTATGGTGCTGACAAACCTAGAAACATAATCGGGGCAAACCGAGTTTCGAACCCACAATCATAGGTTTCTGGCATGCCCGAGGGATGCAACTCTGCACAGGGAATCGCGGCGCCTCAGACAACTGGGCCACCCATGATATAGAATATAGGTGTTCTTTAACTTCTTTTGAGTAGTATAGGTCATGTTATATGGCAGGGCAATTTATTGTCAAATAATAGTTGCAACTGTATGACATTGTTTCTGTTGAGATTCAGTAGAAATTCATTGCATTGTATTTGGACAATGATTAGTTGTCAGGAGTAGTACTGATTTAATGTAAGCAGTGGTGAGAAAGTTATTATATTTAGATGCTCAAATTATCTGTGTACTTCGGGAATAGCATGGATGGATGTCAAGCATTATAAAAACATGTGGAATAATCTGTGATGTTCTAGTGATACTGGACTGGTCTAGCACTGTGTGGAAAGTGCTGGAAGAGAGTTAGACTATGAAGTGGGCGCGTGCATGTCTCATCTCACATTTCATCCCACATTTCATCTCACATTACATCAAGACCAGCTTTCATGTCAAGATCACTTTTCACCCTGGTGTTCAGGGTGAACTTGGAAGCCTGACCACTGTTGTGGTGAGGTGATTATTATTATTCTCATTGTCATTTTCACTGCTCTCACAGTTTTTACTGCCACTGAATATTGTACTACCACTCTGTTGTGTACTCCCATTGTAATTGCTGTAACTGATTTGTAAACCATATTGTTTCAATTTGGGAATTGACACATAACAATCTGAACATGCTATGTGTTTGTTGCGAGTTATATTCAGTGTGTTCTATTAGATTTAATAAAAAAAATAAAGTAGATTTTTTTAATGTTATCTGTTTTGTCTTATTTAGCGCAATGTTTCATGACACAAGTCCCTTTCAGTGAGATCCAGGTAGGCTAACTCTTTGCTATGTATTGACATGTGATGCCCAAATGTCGCATCAAACAAAACAGCATGTTGTGTCCATATTTAAATTTTAGTTAAAAGCAGAGGCATTGTGAGACTTTTGAAGATGTTGAAGATCTTTTAACTCACAGTATCTACCTATGTAACTGTGTACCAAAACATGGAAAACGAGTGAGTGAGTGAGTGAGTGAGTATGGTTTTACGCTGCTTTCAGCAATATTCCAGCAATATCACAGCGGAGGACACCAGAAATAGGCTTCACACATCGTATCAATGTCGGGAATCAAACCCGAGTCTTCGGCATGATGAGCGAGCGCTTTAATTACTAGACTACCCGACCGCCCCACGTGGAAAGTGACAACAGGCTGATTAAATAAAAAGGCCAATTTGCTTAGTTTTTAATAAAAATGGAATAGAAATAGCCAGCTTTTATATGTGTGTATCCTTTGCAAAATATCATTGTCCATAAAAAGAGTATTTCAGATACATGTAATTGTTTCTTTAGAAAGATGTCTGAAATGCTGCTCATACAGGGTAACAGGTACTACAACAGTTGCTTCCCTTGATTATCGACTCATCAGGCCCAGATGTATGATGGGAATTGCTAAGAAAGTAAATCCTTAAAGGGAAACAACACTCCCAAGCTTGAAAGTATTAAAATGTAGATGGGATTTTTCTTCTCGGATTCAAAATTTGCTTATTATGGACTATAATGTCGACTTGTTTGAAGTGTCAAGTGTCACCTATTGTAGGATCAAAGAACGAGAAGATGTTCATCATAACAAAGGATACACAATAAAGAGCTGCAGCCAACCTGACATGTGGTTTTGTTGTTCATTAATACACACCAATTGAAAGGGTGAAGCTATTGGTCAACATAATATTATGCACTAGACATGATGATTTACCATTTAAATTGTATATTCCGCTCTACTAGGCATTGTTTTATATTCAGAAATAACAATTACCGTGTGTATTTTCTTGTAAACTTAGCCTAAAATAGCAAAGAGCTGTATGCACATTTTCTACTAATCTACCGATGATTCAGTTAGATAATCCCCAATAATATAACTTCAAAGAATTTTATGCAATGATCGCAGGAATTGTATCTGAAAGAATATATTCCAATATCAAGTTATTTTTACTGTATATATTTAAAAAAAAACACACCATAATCTTAGCCCTATGGAACAACTGAGTGCTTTTGCCAAACATTTTGTTCGTACAGATCAATTTTATCAGTCACTGTTGAGGCCGCCTGCCTTTTTGCTAGAGCAAATGGAATGAAAACCAAATTCAAATAATGTACTTACTACAAACAAAAGTTATATGTATAATATCAGGCAGTTACCTTGTTTGAGGAATGTATCTGTCAATATCCATCAATATCCATATAAAGTATCAATATCCCATACATCTGAAGCTGTCATATGTCTTTGTAACAATGTAATATCATAAAATATATATAGTGTTTCAGGCTACTTTAACCTGTTTTTGCTTCTCAAAATTGTTTCAAATGTTTCACATAGGTGTTATGTCTCATTGGTCAGCTAAGATTATATCTGTTGTTGAGGCAAGGTAAAAATAGGGTTTTTATGTCACTTTCAAGATTATTCCCACTTCTATAGCGACATGCATGTATGTGTGTGACTGCTTGTACTAGACCAGGCATATGACTGTAGTCAGTTGGGTTCACTGAGATACCATGCAACAATTTAGGATGCACTTTAACATGGATACCTCACTCAGACACAGTATACTGGTTCCAAGCCTACCAGTCCTTGTTTTATAACCTTAATGAGAAAGCTAGGCAAGGTAACACAAATTCCTATCTTTTAACGTCTTTTGGTATGACTCTGCCAAGAGATCAAGTGATTTACCTTTCTATGCAGATGCTTTATCCACTGGACCAAAGAGACGGTCTCTTTTGTTGACATATGACAAAAGTTGAATGGAAACAATTTGATGGATAAACTATTATTTGCAGCACTCAAATAACATAGAAATCAATGGAAAACTGACAAAACCAAAAATACTAAAGACCAATGTCTGTATCACGAGAACCTATGTACAACTAAAATTAAACCTGTCTAACATTGATTCAACACTATTTTCCTTACCCATGTGCCTAATCCACAAGGAAATTCCCTGAGACAAAGCGTCTTCAATTGTTTCTCAAACGCTGAAAAAGCTGGACAGGAATCAGTTACTGCCATTTCGTAAATATTAAAAGTATCGTCTTCACATGTTCCCTGTTTCTGTTGTGACAACTAGGCGGCCATTTTGACGCCAAGTGTGATGACTTCCGCTGTTAGGGTAAATCAAAAACTTGGATTTCATATTTTTGTTCTGACGTGGTAAACGATATTCAAATATCGACCACTTGGCCGACCTGCATTTAACTTAAGATCAAATGTTTTCATTACAAATTGTCGTGCAAAATGTATTCTTAGTACAATCCATATTAGGTAATACATATATTGTTTTTTCCGTAAATAAAAAATATTGTAACTTTTAGTGAAACAAAATGGCAGCCTCCATGCGTGGCACAGCCCAAACAATTGCAACGTATTATCTTTTGTGGTGCTAGTATTATTGCAGAGATATTCTTGTACGATGGAGAATAAAAGAAGGCGCAAACATTCCAGGTCTCCATCTGCAAAAGGAGAACGTCGATCGCGGCCTACAGTAAAGAAACGGAAGCGATCATGGCAGTCTCGAAATGCAAGTTCGAGTTCGTCTGATTCCGTTCAGTCATCACGATCATCCTCATCAAGTGAACGAAGACGTAAACATAAACACAAAAAATCTTCAAAGCACAAAGACATTTCCAAAAAGAAAGCAAAAAAGAAGAATAATTCTAAGCACAGGTAAAATAAACTGAATGCAGCTTGTGACTATGACGATGTTGACCATGATATAGCATCATATTCTGTATTTCCGCGGAAGTTGTTGTGGACGTCGATCTAGGTACAAATCGTAAACGCACCTGTCTTAATATTTCATACAATAAACGATCAGTATTTAGTAATTATATTCATTTAAAAGTGAGATGGTAGTGTCAAATATTTAAAAAAATCATTGTAAATAATACTATCATACTACAAACAACCCTGTCTGGTAAAAATAGTTTGATTAAGTGAGCACTGTAAATGGATAGTGTAGCTCTGAGATTTTTCTGTGCAAGTTGGTTCAGCATCATATAAAATCATTACAACAACATGGCCCAGTTTCTTTCAAGCACATTACAAAGTAATAACAATGTGTACTTGTCCATAATGTCAGGCACAGTTCCTCTGATTCATCATCATCAAGAGAAAGGAAGAAAAAGAAGAAAGCTAAAAAGAAGAAAAAGAAAATGAAGAAAAAAGAAAAGGAGAAACAGAAACATGACAAAGAAAAGGAAAAAAGTATTTCCAGTATCACACAAAAAGCAACACCCTCAGTTGGGGTTACTTTGGTTACACCTCCTGATACCACAAATAACTTTGGTATGTAAACAAATTTGGAAAAGATGCAAACTGTGTAAACAATGGCAAATATATAGCTTGAAATAAGTAAACATTGTAAATCTACATGATCTAGTGAGTTAGTGAGTGAATCACAGAATGTGATTATCATGATTATGTCCACAGGTAAAATGTCCACATTTTAAACATGTTTATGTTTGCTCTATATTACCATGGTTACATGTTGTGGAGACGGACATCTACAGTGTATCTCAACAAACTTTCAGATGGACATGTGGGTCCAGTCCCTCGAGTGTTGAAGCCAATGAGCAGGGAGGAGTGGGAGAAACAACAGAGTGTCATGCGACATGTGTATGATCCTGAGACTGGGAGAACCAGGTGAGACATGTGTGTGACCCTGAGACTGGGAAAACCAGGTGAGACATGTGTGTGATCCTGAGACTGGGAGAACCAGGTGAGACATGTGTGTGACCCTGAGACTGGGAGGACCAGGTGAGACATGTGTGTGATCCTGAGACTGGGAGAACCAGGTGAGACATGTGTGTGACCCTGAGACTGGGAGAACCAGGTGAGACATGTGTGTGATCCTGAGATTGGGAGAACCAGGTGAGACTTGTGTGTGACCCTGAAACTGGGAGAACCAGGTGAGACGTGTGTATGACCCTGAGACTGGGAGAACCAGGTGAGACATGTGTGTGATCCTGAGATTGGGAGAACCAGGTGCGACTTGTGTGTGACCCTGAGACTGGGAAAACCAGGTGAGACGTGTGTGTGATCCCTAGACTGGGAGAACCAGGTAAGACGTGTGTGATCCTGAGACTGGGAGAACCAGGTGAGACATGTGTATGATCCTGAGACTGGGAGAACCAGGTGAGACATGTGTGTGACCCTGAGACTGGTAGAACCAGGTGCGACATGTGTGTGACCCTGAGACTGGGAGAACCAGGTGAGACGTATGTGTGACCCTGAGACTGGTAGAACCAGGTGAGACGTGTCTGTGATCCTGAGACTGGGAGAACCAGGTGAGACGTGTGTGTGATCCCTAGACTGGGAGAACCAGGTGAGACGTGTGTGATTCTGAGACTGGGAGAACCAGTTGACACGTGTGTGTGACCCTGAAACTGAGAGAACCAGGTGAGGACGTGTGTGTGATCCCTAGACTGGGAGAACCAGGTGAGACGTGTGTGATTCTGAGACTGGGAGAACCAGTTGACACGTGTATGTGACCCTGAGACTGGGAGAACCAGGTGAGATGTGTGTGTGTGACCCTGAGACTGGGAGAACCAGGTGAGACGTGTGTGTGATCCCTAGACTGGGAGAACCAGGTGAGACGTGTGTGTAATCCTGAGACTGGGAGAACCAGGTGAGACATGTGTGTGACCTTGAGACTGGGAGAACCAGGTGAGACGTGTGTGATTCCTAGACTGGGAGAACCAGGTGAGACGTACGTGTGACCCTGAGACTGGGAGAACCAGGTGAGACGTGTGTGATCCCGAGACTGGGAGCACCAGGTGAGACGTGTGTGTGACCCTGAGACTGGGAGAACCAGGTGAGACGTGTGTGTGATCCCTAGACTGGGAGAACCAGGTGAGACGTGTGTGTGATCCTGAGACTGGGAGAACCAGGTGAGACATGTGTGTGACCTTGAGACTGGGAGAACCAGGTGAGACATGTGTGTGACCTTGAGACTGGGAGAACCAGGTGAGACATGTGTGTGACCTTGAGACTGGGAGAACCAGGTGAGACGTCTGTGTGACCCTGAGACTGGGAGAACCAGGTGAGACATGTGTGTGATTCTGAGACTGGGAGAACCAGGTGAGACGTGTATGATCCTGAGACTGGGAGAACCAGGTGAGACGTGTGTGTGATCCCTAGACTGGGAGAACCAGGTGAGACATGTGTGTGACCCTGAGACTGGGAGAACCAGGTGAGACATGTGTGTGACCCTGAGACTGGGAGATCCAGGTGAGACGTCTGTGTGACCCTGAGACTGGGAGAACCAGGTGAGACATGTGTGTGACCCTGAGACTGGGAGAACCAGGTGAGACATGTGTGTGATCCTGAGACTGGGAGAACCAGGTGAGACGTGTGTGTGACCCTGAGACTGGGAGAACCAGGTGAGACATGTGTGTGATCCTGAGACTGGGAGAACCAGGTGAGACATGTGTGTGATCCTGAGACTGGGAGATCCAGGTGAGACGTCTGTGTGACCCTGAGACTGGGAGAACCAGGTGAGACATGTGTGTGATTCTGAGACTGGGAGAACCAGGTGAGACATGTGTGTGATCCTGAGACTGGGAGATCCAGGTGAGACGTCTGTGTGACCCTGAGACTGGTAGAACCAGGTGAGACATGTGTGTGATCCTGAGACTTGGAGAACCAGGTGAGACGTGTGTGTGACCCTGAGACTGGGAGAACCAGGTGAGACATGTGTGTGATCCTGAGACTGGGAGAACCAGGTGAGACATGTGTGTGATCCTGAGACTGGGAGATCCAGGTGAGACGTCTGTGTGACCCTGAGACTGGGAGAACCAGGTGAGACATGTGTGTGATTCTGAGACTGGGAGAACCAGGTGAGACATGTGTGATTCTGGGACTGGGAGAACCAGGTGAGACATGTGTGTGACCTTGAGACTGGGAGAACCAGGTGAGACGTGTGTGATTCCTAGACTGGGAGAACCAGGTGAGACGTACGTGTGACCCTGAGACTGGGAGAACCAGGTGAGACGTGTGTGATCCCGAGACTGGGAGCACCAGGTGAGACGTGTGTGTGACCCTGAGACTGGGAGAACCAGGTGAGACGTGTGTGTGATCCCTAGACTGGGAGAACCAGGTGAGACGTGTGTGTGATCCTGAGACTGGGAGAACCAGGTGAGACATGTGTGTGACCTTGAGACTGGGAGAACCAGGTGAGACATGTGTGTGACCTTGAGACTGGGAGAACCAGGTGAGACATGTGTGTGACCTTGAGACTGGGAGAACCAGGTGAGACGTCTGTGTGACCCTGAGACTGGGAGAACCAGGTGAGACATGTGTGTGATTCTGAGACTGGGAGAACCAGGTGAGACGTGTATGATCCTGAGACTGGGAGAACCAGGTGAGACGTGTGTGTGATCCCTAGACTGGGAGAACCAGGTGAGACATGTGTGTGACCCTGAGACTGGGAGAACCAGGTGAGACATGTGTGTGACCCTGAGACTGGGAGATCCAGGTGAGACGTCTGTGTGACCCTGAGACTGGGAGAACCAGGTGAGACATGTGTGTGACCCTGAGACTGGGAGAACCAGGTGAGACATGTGTGTGATCCTGAGACTGGGAGAACCAGGTGAGACGTGTGTGTGACCCTGAGACTGGGAGAACCAGGTGAGACATGTGTGTGATCCTGAGACTGGGAGAACCAGGTGAGACATGTGTGTGATCCTGAGACTGGGAGATCCAGGTGAGACGTCTGTGTGACCCTGAGACTGGGAGAACCAGGTGAGACATGTGTGTGATTCTGAGACTGGGAGAACCAGGTGAGACATGTGTGTGATCCTGAGACTGGGAGATCCAGGTGAGACGTCTGTGTGACCCTGAGACTGGTAGAACCAGGTGAGACATGTGTGTGATCCTGAGACTTGGAGAACCAGGTGAGACGTGTGTGTGACCCTGAGACTGGGAGAACCAGGTGAGACATGTGTGTGATCCTGAGACTGGGAGAACCAGGTGAGACATGTGTGTGATCCTGAGACTGGGAGATCCAGGTGAGACGTCTGTGTGACCCTGAGACTGGGAGAACCAGGTGAGACATGTGTGTGATTCTGAGACTGGGAGAACCAGGTGAGACATGTGTGATTCTGGGACTGGGAGAACCAGGTGAGACATGTGTGTGATCCCTAGACTTGGAGAACCAGGTGAGACGTGTGTGTGACCCTGAGACTGGATGAACCAGGTGAGACATGTGTGTGACCCTGAGACTGGTAGAGCCAGGTGCGACATGTGTGTGATCCCGAGACTGGATGAACCAGGTGAGACATGTGTATGATCCTGAGACGGAGGTAAACAGTTGTATGTTCTGAATCAGGATGGGTGATAGGGGAAATATTCTAATACATGAATCATGACAGTGAATTATGATTTCTTCCAGATTAGTGAAAGGTGACGGGGAAATATTGGAGGAGATCGTCACCAGAGACCGACATCTGGAAATAAACAAGGTAACTAGAGATCAAACCAAAGACATGGCTACAACAATGAAACGTTCTTTTCATGCAGACCTGTTGTATGGGTTTGTGTAGGAAGGATGTTGCTTGTCTTATTTGTCAATGATCTGCAGGTCTGTTCATGATACCTGGAATGTCTTTGAATCAACAGAGACCTCTTCTAGTGCTGGGGGCACGGGTGGCCGAGTCGACTAAGGCGCTGCGATTCGCTGTGCATGCCAGAAACCTATGATTGTGTGTTCGAATCCTGGTTTGCCCCGATTATGTTTCTAGGTTTGTCAGCACCATACCCGTGCTCGTGGGTTTCACCGAAGTGGTAAACGTCTGAGACCTGCATCACTTCAGGCTTTCCTCCCACATTAAGCTGACTTGCCGTGATATAACTGGAATACTGTTAAAAGCGGTGTTAAACCCAACCCAACTCATGTTTACTGCAGCGTCCTCCATGACTACCGAACTGTATGGCTTGGAATCATATATCTGACTAGTTATAGAAAGTGAGAGCCCACTTGCAGTTGCACATATATACATGTACTTGTGTCCCCTAGGCACCTATAATCATGGACTCGAATCCAAGTTCACCCTGATTGTTCCAAGGTTTGTCAGCACCATACCTGTGGTAGTGGGTTTCACCAAAGTGGTAACTGTCTGAGACCTGCATCACTTCAGACTTTCCTCCCATCTTTAAGCTCCCATGCCGTGATATAACTGAAATACTATAAATATTAAACCAAACTCCCTCATCCATATTTGACAGATAGATAATAAATAATTATGCGCATATGTATAAAGCACAATATCCACTAGGGCTTGGACGGGTAACTCGGGTACTCGGGTCAGGTGGGTACTGAGTAGGACCGGGGTACCCACAGGACTACCTGTACCCGTGGTTAGTCACCATGGTCACATGATATATTGTTTAATGACGAAAAAATATCTAGAACTCCATGGTTACACTACAAGGAACTAATGTTCGCATTTCTTTCTGCCTAAGCACCATTCCTTCTGACACTCGTAGGGGCGGTCTGGTAGCCTACTGGTTAAATCGTTCACTCGTCACGCCGGAGACCCGGGTTCGATTCCCGACATGGGTACATTGTGTGAAGCTCATTTCTGGTGTCCCCCGCCTTGATATTGTTGGAATATTGCTAAAACGGCGTAAATCCATACTCACTCTGACACTCATAGGTATGAATAAAGATAAAACTTCAGTCAACTTCCGTGTATGCATTACCAGATCATATTATATGTGTATCTGAACACATTTTACCAGGGCTACGGTCCAACTATTTCCAATCGGACATTTTGTGCCCAACTCTTGAGACCTAGATGTAGCGAGTATCAGGTAATACCGGGGTGGGTACCTGGGTAGCAAATCTGGACTCGTCCCAGCCCTAACATCCACACCCTAAAGCATGCAGAAAGCGCTACATTATTAACCTGTCATTGGATCAGCATGCACACAATTTTCATTCTGATCTCCCTGGGGAGTATACAAGATTGATCGCTGGACACTTTGGATGACTGCCTATGTCACAGGTTGGTTCAGCATGTTTAGTGTTTAGAAATACAGATGTGTGACAACTTTTGTAGTTTTGTTATGCTATGTGATGTACAGACTAGAGTTTCTTCCCTTGAACAACCACCAGAGGGCACTCTGGTGAAACTGTAGTGAATATTATCCTACCCTATTTTTTATCCCGGGGATGAAATTCTCTCGTTATCAGGATGATTTTACCTAGTGAATTTGAACCCATACCAGTGTGGCACTAAGGTAGGATACTATACCCTAGAGTAAAACTTCCCCCGGGATAATATTTAGGTAGGATAGAATCCTTGCTTACACAACCACGTATTTCTGAGAGACATATTTGTAAGTCTACAGTGAAGTAAAGAGTGATCATCTGATCATGAGATGTCTTCATGTTAATACTGGATCATACCATGTTCTTGACCTAGGTTTGTAAAATTGCAATTTGTAAAATTGCTACTGCTAAACAAAGATCTGAGGACATCCCATTACGGGTCACGTCAGAACGACCTTCCGCAAATTTTGACCAACCAATGAAATGACTGACAAGAAATCGAATTAGTCAATCAGGAGGCAGCTTTCTCGAGCTTTACGACACTAGTTTCAAACTGGCGACTACGCTGCGAAACATATTCTGACGTATTCTCGATTAAAAAAATTAAAACTAATAAGAACATTCTGGAATGGCTTATAGATGGCCTAGATTGTATGGATATAATCATAAAGTCCGTAACTGTCGTTCGGAATACCCCGTGTTAAATACTTCGTGGTTGCATGATTAGAAAACACATTCCGACTGTCACTTTCATGATCTGGTAAGCGATGCTCTGATAGGTTGGATAAAAGGTCATTCTGACGTGACCCGTAATGGGATGTCCTCAGATCTTTGTTTAGCGATAGCGAGAACTAAGATCTGATTTTAATGAGATTGGTAAAATTGCAACTTTTGGTTTACAGCAGGCAACAAGAGGGGATGGACTGTCTTATCAAGCTCAAGTTGGTTTGCTCAAGTGATTTGACCAAACTGGGTCACCCCATTGTGCCAACAGACTTTAAAGGTTCCTGCATCCGTTAGATGGTCAGTTTTAGCCAGTGTCCCCAATGGCACATCTTCAAAAACAGCATGATGGAAGGGAGACAACTGTTGGTGCAGGGGCAGGTGCTCAACTGGCTGTCATGAACCATGGTTCACGTTTTTGTGGATTGCCTTTTGTCTCCATGATGTTCAGTGTCACTTTGTAGAAGAAAGAATTATATATTTTTATTTTATGTTTTTTTATTTTTAACATACCACTTTTAACTGTGAATAAACAATGCCATTTAGAAAGTGGTCAAATGTAACAAATGTTATATTTGGGGGAACACTTCCTTGCTAGAGTACAGATTCTAGTACTTTTGGGGGTTGAGTCCCATCCGGGATTCAAACCCACACTTTGATGCCTCACCCTGAGAGTCCCAGATGGGACTCAACCCCCCAAAAGTACTAAAATTTTTATTTTAGTAAGGAAGTGTTATCCCAAATGTGACATTTGTTGCACTGTTTACTGATTCCCATACAGACCCTGTAACAAATATGTCCAATACAGCCCATACAAATCTATAATATTTGGCAAGTCTAGATTACTGCAGTACAGGTATCTGAAAATGAAGAAAGACTCTGGGCTCCTTTTTGGTATATTTTCTGACTAAAATTTAACAAGTTTTTTTTCTGTAAAATATGTTGATTTCAGATGGAAGTCTATGGTTCCCATGACAACCGTATCTCATTTTTGATCATGCAGGTTCTGTTTCAATTAAAAATAAAAATTTACCCAGATTGTTAAACATGTTGAGTCGATCTTATAACTTCCATTTTAGATCCAATTAGAATCATTTCATATATCATCGCAGGGAAAATGCTGATTATGTCATCAAACAAATACATGGGTTGTTAAAACCATGTTAATAATTATTCGTCCGGGGTAGAATAGGTCTTCAGCAACCCATGCTTGCCGTAACAGGCAACTATGCTTGTTGTAAGAGACGACTAACGGGATCAGGTGGTCAGGCTCGCTGACTTGGTTGATGCTTGTCATCGTATCCCAATTGCGTGGATCGATGCTCATGTTGTCAATCACTGGATTGTCTGGTCCAGACTCGATTACTTACAGACCGCTGTCATATAGCTGGAATATTGCGGAGTGCGGCATTAAACAACAAACAAACAAACCAATCGGTCAAATATTGAGGTTTGTGAAAGGGTGAATAGTTCTGAAATTTCAGAATTATTTCCCTTTGAAAATGTGGAAATGGGCTCACAGGCTCAAAATTTTGTCCCAGACAACTTTTGTCGAAAGTGATTGTGAAATATATGTTTCTCCATCATGTCTTTAGAAATCTGTATTAATCCTGTGAAGCAAATACAGGTGTCGATATTGCACATATCATTTTGGTCAAACAGTCAGGAGGGAGTGCTACTCATACTATTTTTTGCTGACTGTTTGTGCACAGGTTACCATGGCAACCATGTTACAACGATGGCAGAGGACAAACCGTTTTGATTTCTTGTTTTGTGAATAATATATAATTATGAATCATATAATAGATAGTGTTGTCCATGCAAATCCGATCAACTTAGGATCACGATCCAATAAATATGCAAATTAGGTCACTCATCAGGAACTACTTTTAAGCTCCATACATGATACAATGTGTGATACTTCTGTTGACAAACATGGCTGTGAATCATTTGGCACTATATGATACATGGGGCAGTTCACTCAAACATTGTATTCATACATGGTTTCTAAAGAACCGGTACTTCATTAAGGAATAGTATGTCTTAAACATTGAGAATGACATTATATGAAAAAGAGATTATTACCAAAATGTCTCCATTCGTAAATGTCATATATTAGTAAATATATGTATTATGCTCTCGGAGGAATTTTTTTAACAAATAATGTTTACAACACTCCAGATAATCGGGGGGGGGGGGGGGGGGGGGGGGGGGGTTGCACGTAAGTATTGTGATGCATATAGATTGTATCATGATTCAACAGTTCCAGTAACATGACTAACCAATCACTTGAGTTAAATACAAAGTGTTTAGTCACCTCTACATATAGATTGTATCATGATTCAACAGTTCAAGTAACATGACTAACCAATCACGTGAGTTAAATACATGAGTTTAGTCACCTCTTCAGTCAGGCTGCACAAGACATGTTAACTCCACTCAAACTGGCCCATAAAGTCCCATAACACATATATACCGTATTCAACGTAATAAGCACCCCGCTCTACTGAGCGCCCATGGCGATATTTGCTAATATATTGGCTTGTGAACAATCCCAATTAGCACCCCTTCTGATTGATCAATGTACAAAAGACTTATTTATTCGTGTATAATATGCACTCGTGTGTTATATGCACCCTTAATTATGGGCAATTAAATTCTTGAAAAATATATCTGTCGTACATAAACATTTCAGGCTGTCAGCATAAACCACGAAATTTACGATCTTTCAACTGTTTTTTTTCCACCAAAATAATATTCTAATAAGAGCCCCTGTTTCTAATTATGAGAGTGCCCCGGGCCCTTATCACCTCGAATACGGTACATGTATATCGTACCATGACTTGAGTATCAGGATATATTCTAGAACAAAACATTCATTTCACAAATCTTTCCCCTCCCCTAGAAATCAAATGGTTGCTCGCTTACTCAAGAGATTTGCCAAACAAACTGCCCCACATTATTGATATTTGGAATAAACTGATCTGTAAACCCCAAACAATTCTAAATAAAACTCATTCTCCGCAGTAGCTGTAACCATGTGATTCTGTTGATCTCTCAAGCAGGGATTATTGCGGATCTACCTCAGAAACACAGGAACCCGACATGCACCTGTAGCAACTATTTTACAACGAAAGCTCAAACACACCAAATCATTGAGTATAACCAGGGCCCTCTTTCACAAACAATTTGTAGCTCTACGATTGTCATAAGTCTATGCTAAGTATGGGAGTTACAATCGCCTTCGCGCTACAACCGCTTTGTGGCACGGGGCCCAGAAGCATCTTTGACCTGTTTCGTAAGCATTTTCTCTTTTTTTAAAGTAAGTTATTTTCTGAGAACCAATTACACAGGTAGTAGTAGCTCTTTTGGCATTAAATTTGATTGAAAACATGCTTCAACAACTTTTTTATTTTTATTAAAAAATATATGAACCTAAAAAAAAGAAAATTCAAGAAAATCTGAAAAAACAACACTGTTTCATGTCAGCTTGTATACTACACAACATTTGATAAGGATCAACAGTGAACAGTCATCTTTAGTCAAAGGTGTGTTCCTTAGCAAATGTTGAGTTGTATATCTACTTTTCAAAAATCAAGACAAACAACCAAGGTGACTGATTTTCACATTTTCACTTTATTCAACAGTCTTCCAGTGAATGTGTACTATTACACCTTTTTGGTTTCCCTAGCAACGGCTGTACATGAATCGATAACAATGTTAACACATTTGGGGGAATTTTAAACAATTACTCTAAATGATCAACAAAAAGAAAACCCATTGCTAAAAGCAGAATTTAATGAAAACAAAAATAAACCATTGTTCATCAGATTTGTTTTCATCCTAACATTCTTTTTTGCCTTTTCAAGTTCCATAATATTTCAAGTTTGCTTCAGCCTTCTAATGAGAAAGTGTCGACTCAGTGATGTAAACTGGACAATTAATTAATAGTTGCAGAATAAAATAATTATCAGCACTTAAAGTGAAAAAAATAAATAAGAAAAAAATTCTTAAATTTCAAACATAAATTACGTTCTATGCTGTTTACATGAAGGTTACAAAAGATTGTCTATGTACACTATGTCTTATATACACTAAATACATATTCTTGATGTACATCAAACCTTTAATCACATAGGGCAATCACTGCCCACTTAAATCACCTGACAATGATATATATTCTACTTGTTGTGAATTGACTTACCATACGTCCTCTATTAAGAGACAGATCACTATTATTAGAGTCAGTTTGTTTTTATGTCGCTTTTAGCAATATTCCAGCAATGTCACGACGGGAACACCAGAAATGGGCTTCACACTTTGTAACCATGTGGGGAATCATATCGGGGTGTTATACGAGTGAGTTTGATTTTACGCCGCTTTTAGCAATATTCCAGCAATATCTCGGCGGGGGACACCAGAAATGGGCTTCACACAATGTACCCATGTCATGAATCGAACCCGAGTCTTCGACGTGACAAGCGAACACTTTAACCACTAGGCTACCCAACCGCCCCGGGTATTATACGAGACAAGCCCTGCTTTAACCACTGGGCTACCCGACCGACCTGGGTGTTATACGAGACGAGCCCTGCTTTAACCACTAGGCTACCCGACCGACCCGGGTGTTATACGAGACAAGCCCTGCTTTAACCACTGGGCTACCCGACCGCCCCGGGTGTTATACGAGACAAGCCCTGCTTTAACCACTAGGCTACCCGACCACCCCGGGTGTTATACGAGACAAGCCCTGCTTTAACCACTGGGCTACCCGACCGCCCCGGGTGTTATACGAGACGAGCCCTGCTTTAACCACTGGGCTACCCGACCGCCCTTGGTGTTATACGAGACAAGCCCTGCTTTAACCACTGGGCTACCCGACCGCCCCGGGTGTTATACGAGACGAGCCCTGCTTTAACCACTGGGCTACCCGACCGCCCCGGGTGTTATACGAGACAAGCCCTGCTTTAACCACTGGGCTACCCGACCGCCCCGGGTGTTATACGAGACGAGCCCTGCTTTAACCACTGGGCTACCCGACCGCCCCGGGTGTTATACGAGACAAGCCCTGCTTTAACCACTAGGCTATCCAACTGCTATCTCTTAAACATAATCACGGGACAGGTCTAGGGGGAAGGTTTTCAAATAAGGCCTAAAGGGACAGGTTAGCTCCAGGTTAAGCCCGCCCTTGTCCAGCGACAAAGCAGAAACAGGTCTGCAACAACAGCAGACCTTTTATATTGCCAGTCACCAGCACATAGCTCACAAGCTCTTAATGGAGGAAGTATGTAACATAATTGAGATGGACTTTGTCAATGTCCTTTCTCTGTCAAGGTTTATTATCCAACTGTCATAGCATACATTTCAATGAAATTATACCAGGATGTAACCATGGCAACTCCTTGTTGAATAAACTTGAAACAAATCTCTGCTTGCTTTTTTTTTAATTTTAAGAATTTCTTTCCTCAAAAAATGCAATTCCTTATTTTGAAGGAACATATATACTACTGAAAAAAGTAAAGGACCTCGTGATTCTTCATATAACTATATTTAATCTGTGATGCCCAGAATCAGGAGATACTTAACTTTTTTATCCATAGTATAGTATCCTAAGTTCAGAACAGAAAGATAATTTTCTTATCTTTCAGTCGTGGATACACGTTTTTGGAAAGAGGGGATGCACTTAAAATACACCAAGTTACTTGTTTTTTAATATGTCAGTATGATTATTATGATTACAAAATCATCCCTCATGATCTGCATGTGGCATTGATGTTCATCAATCCGTTTACTTCCCGTGTGACTCGTATCTTGTCACAAAGAGGTATTCTATAATTTGGCACTTGAGTAACTATAATATTCAACTTTTGATATTGTTCCTCTATACACGGATTAGTTGTATGTAAATAGTGTGTCAGATCTCTGTATCCCTCTCAAATGTTGAACAGCTTGGCTAAAATAAGGGTTCTCTTTTTACAGCTTTCTACAGAATTTTGACTGAACACCACTGAAAAGAACTTCTCTTCCTGATAAACAATCACTGAAATGTACAAATTATTATGTATGATGTGTTTTTTTCTGGCAATTTGAAAGGTAATCTAGGAAGAATGCAATCTTAGGCCAGACTGTTTGGGGTCTTGGTTAATGGGATTTAGGCCCAAAAATTCTGGTTATTAAGTTTTAAAAAAAACTAAAAAATAAAAAGAATTTAAATATATATTTTTATTTCCTTAAAATTTTCAGTAGGTTAGTGGTGTGTGTGTGTGAGTGTGTGAGTGTGTGTGTGTGTGTGTGAGAGAGAGAGAGAAAGGGAGAAGGAGAAGGAGGAATAGGGATGTGTCATAATTTATGTTTTGAAGATATTTAAGATACATCTTCATGTGGTTTTAATTATAGTATGTTGAATATTTTATTTTTATTACATGTATTAGCAACAGTAACTGAGTTCGGGTTTTTTACCCATTTTAATTATTTCTGGTTAGCAGAATACATAACCCCATTGTTTTTCGATTTATTTTCACATTTCAAGTTTTTGGAGTTAGCAAATTCATAAACCATGTTTTAATAAAATGTCTGGCATGTGAGTGTAAGGTGTCACACCACTTTTAGGAATACATTGTATTCCAGCCATGTCATGGTGGGGGGAATGGCAGAAATTGGGTTGAGGGGAATCTAACCAGGCATTCACCATTACAAGCATAAGCTTCAGCCACTAGGCTACCCCTACCCCACTCCCCCTAAAGGCTATCCTGAAAACATTGAGCACTTCAACAGTAGTACAGGCACCATGGAGTACTAAAGTGAGTGAGTTGGGTTTAACGCCGCTTTTAACAGTGTTCCAGTTATATCACGGCTTGTCAGCTTAATGTGGGAGGAAAGCCTGAAGTGATGCAGGCCTCAGACATTTACCACTTCGGTGAAACCCACGAGCACGGGTATGGTGCTGACAAACCAAGAAACATAATTGGGGCAAACCGGGATTCGAACCCACAATCATAGGTTTCTGGCGTGCCCAAAGGGACGTAACTCTGCACAGCGAATCCAGCGCCTAAGACAACTGGGCCACCAGTATTAAAGGGGTAACTGATACAATATGGTGATTATGAACATGGTTTTACATGGCTATCCTATTTATGATGGGGGCCACCAAGAAATTGCATACTGTACCATCTAGGGAATTGAACCCAGGTCTATACTGTTGTGAGCTAGTGCTTTAACCACTATGCTACCTCCCCACCCCTGAATTACTGAGAAGTTTATCAACTTTGTGGAGGTCTGAGAAGTGAGTGAGTACGGTTTTACGCCGCTTTTAGCGATATTCCCGCAATATCATGGTGGGGACACCAGAAATGGACTTCATTCATTGTACCCACGTCGGGAATCGAACCCAGGTCGTCGGTGGGATGAGCGAACGCTTTAACCACGTGGCTACCCACCGCTCCAGCTCTGAGAAGAAAACGGTTTCTTCAAAACACAAATAAGGACACACAATTTGTTTACAATACCAACTTACATCAGTTTTTCAAGCACGACATTACCACTAGGATTCTATATGATATAGAATTTGAAAACACTCATTCATACTAACAAAGGTGGATGAAATTCATTCTGCTAAAAGGTGGGAATAAATTGTGGTCTAACAATACAGTTTGCACCAAAGTCATAAATTAGTCATTCCATTTCATATTTACAAAGAATATAGACACTAAACACAATAGTCCATGTACAGACTCTCACAAATATATATATATACACACCAGTAGCAACAGAAAGTACTTACAATGGTTAATTAACACAATCAGAAGCTGCCTGTAGAAGTGACTGACAACAACACTTGACAATACTAAAGTACTCACGGAAATGAAAAAAAACTGTTTTTGTCATTTTAAAAATCGACACAAAGTGTTACGTAGCTGTAAATACGAAATAACAAAACAACTCGAAAAGTACTAGTCTGGATTTGCTAGTTTGATCTCAGTGAACAATACAAAATGTACTTTACAGGAGGTAATTTGTCGGCACTTTCAACATTCAAAAATAAAACTAAGTCCAAATTGACATAGCAGAAACAGACTATAGGCATTATGCACCTGTTCTCACCTGTCGTCAAGGTGTCATAGGTCACCTTGATCTACTTACACCTGGTTATGTCCTGTTTCACAATAGTCTGTTTTATTCGCATTTTTACACACTTTTACGTGTAAAAAGGCATAAAAACATTTGATACACTGTATTTGTGCCACGGCCCAATTAGTACTAATTTAGTTGTTTGAAAATTTACATATTTTGTATATTAACTGCATTTATTTAAGATCTGAGGTCGAAAATATTTTTTTTTCATTTCCATGAGTACTTTAGTGAAACCGACACCACATTCTCTCACACAAGCAAACAAGTCACAGTAATGGGTTTACAACTCTAAGGTGGCAGACAAAGGTCAGCACGTTCTACTCAAAAGAAGTTAAAAACCCACAATTTTTTATATGACTGTACAAAATGTTAATCTGTCATGGCATGACATATTAATTATCGTCATATGAAAAAAACGAAAAAGAAATTTCAGTTTCTTTAATTTGTTTTGAGTAGTATTCATCACAAGGCCATTTTGTCTTGTTTTACTGATAGACCTTGCCTAAATTTTGCAAAGTGAAAAAAGAAAAAGCATTGAATACAACCGTAATTTTTTATTGACATATTAACTTCTATTTCAACAGGTTATTATAGGAGATAACATCAAATTACCTCCGCAACATTTTGTCTTCCTTTTTTCTGCATATTGATGAAGATAATAATGAAACAAGAAACAAAAATGTTTACTTATCATCAATTAAGAAACCAGACATGTTTGGCACACTGAATCTACAGTGGGATGGGAATAAAACTGACTATTAATGCATACCCCTGGAGGTTCTAATGGCAGATGCAGTCAAACTCGGATGCGTTGCATCCCCAGTTCCAGCAAACACTTGTCATATTTATCACCATGGTAACCCAGATCTGTCTGTTGCATCAAACTCAATTTATTGTCATAAGGGTTAAAAATAAGCTAAAACGTACCATGAAAATTCAACTAAAATTTTACGTAGAGAGAGACTGTTATCCACACAACTAATTAAGGTTAGCTGACAGTAAGGAAGACTTCTGTTGAAAATCTAAAAGATGTAATTGAGGCATGGTATTTCCTCGAATTCCCAATTTTCAGTCATAAGAGATAAGAGTAAAAACTCATTTTTGTTAGCAAGTTGCACAAGTCTGAATTTGAATGAGAATAATGTCAAACACAATACGACGTGACATACACAATTAAAGTCTGCAATGAAGTAATAGCAACATCTCCCATCAGCGAAACAGTGGTGACCTGAGACAGTCACAAAGTAATAATGTCAAGTTCGCTGTGTCAAACCTTGGATAAGAGTAACTATTTATCTGGTCCCCAGGAGTTCAAGACAACGGTGTACGACAGTAGTAGGTCGTATAGGCCTGAACACATCTGCCATGAGAAAAATATACGTTACAAAATAATTGACAGTAATTTCCATGATTCAAGTTTATTATATGCATCAATTTCAAACTTCTTTGTTTTTGTGGCTTAATGCATTCAATTGTTTGTATCACAAACCCTGAGTATTACAGATTACGCCGATTATGTTTCTAGGTTTGTCAGCGCCATACCCGTGCTCATTGGTTACACCAAAGTGGTAAACATCCGAGACCTGAATCACTTTGGGCTTTCCTCCCACAATAGGCCGACACACTGTGACACAACTCAAATACTGTTCCAAGCGGCGTTAAACCCAACACGTATTACCGTATTCAACGTAATAAGCGCCCAGGGCGCTCTCAAAATTAGAAATAAGGGGCTCTTCGTAGAATGTTATTTTGGTGAAAATAAAACAGCCTTGAAAGATAAATGTCGTGGTTTATGCTGACAGCCTGAAATGTTTATATACGATAGATATATTTTTCCAGAATTTAATTGCTTCTTATAATAATAAGTCTTTTGGATATTGATCAATCAGAAGGGGTGCTAATATGGATTATTCACCAGCAAATATTTTAGTAAATATCGCAGTGGGTGCTTATTAGAGCAGGGCGCTTATTACGTCGAATACGGTAATTGCAGAGAGGGAAATCTACTTTACATATGAATAGTAAATTCATTCATTTTGAACACTGTGAAAATATTTTTTTTTAATCCTAATCAATGAAAACAGGAGATTTCATATTTGCTGATACAATTCCATTTCATGGTGAATGAGATCGATAAAATTCATGATCATTGAAAACAGGCGAGTTCATGATTGCTCTAACCAGTTGATTTCATATTTGCTGAAACAATTCATGATTAATGAAATTAACAAAATTCACGATCACAGAAACCTATTGCCATGATGGTTTGGTTTCAGTTTCCAACCGATGAATCAATCATGAAATAGGAGATAATTTTTACAATTCAAAAGGAAAAATTGAGTGATTAAAAGCATAAAAAGTCTGGTGACAAAGCCGCAGTTGCCAATATGTCCCTTGTATATGGTTTGCCTTACCATTTGAAACATCCTCCATATCTCCAGAGCTTGCATTTCGGTAAACTTACACCCATGAATCCATTCCCGTGTTTTTTTGCAATCACAAATTACCTGCCCTTGATTTTCATTAACATCCTACCGACCAAACAAACGTCAAGATGCGGATAAAGGTAATGGGTAAGGGAGGTAACTTGTATTGCCTAGAAACCAAAGTCACAGCCAGTTTTAAAGGACATGAAGACATATTTTTTTAAAGGTTTTCTTTTGCTGATCGGTCAGTTAAATTTCTTGCAAAATGTGTCGACTGGGTGATATTATTTACACTGCTGACACAGAGAAAGAGGACTCTTTCCCATTCATGAACCATTATTACTTCGTTCACAGATTCTCAGAATTTTAACCAATTCAAAACATCAGTGAACCCAGTCTTCTTCTTTATGATCAGTGAAATCTGTTCAGTTGCATTATCTGTTGACTCAGTCCAATTCATGAACAGTGAACCCAGTCCGGTTCATGAACAGTGAACCAAGTCCGGTTCATGAACAGTGAACCCAGTCCAGTTCATGAACAGTGAACCCAGTCCTGCTCATGAACAGTGAACCCAGTCTGGTTCATGAACAGTGAACCCAGTCCGGTTCAGGAACAGTGAACCAAGTCAGATTCATGAACAGTGAACCCAGTCCAGTTCATGAACAGTGAACCCAGTCAGATTCATGAACAAATAACCCAGTCAGATTCACGAACAGTGAAGCCAGTCCCGTTCAGGAACAGTGAAGCCAGTCCGGTTCAGGAACAGTGAACCCAGTCCGATTCACGAACAGTGAACCCAGTCCGGTTCAGGAACAGTGAACCAAGTCAGATTCATGAACAGTGAACCCAATCCAGTTCATGAACAGTGAACCCAGTCAGATTCATGAACAAATAACCCAGTCAGATTCATGAACAGTGAACCCAGTCAGATTCATGAACAGTGAACCCAGTCAGATTCATGAACAGTGAAGCCAGTCCGGTTCAGGAACAGTGAACCCAGTCCGGTTCAGGAACAGTGAACCCAGTCCGGTTCAGGAACCGTGAAACCAGTCCGGTTCATGAACCGTGAACCCAGTCAGATTCATGAACAGTGAACCCAGTCCAGTTCATGAACATTGAACCCAGTCAGATTCATGAACAAATAACCCAGTCAGATTCATGAACAGTGAAGCCAGTCCCGTTCAGGAACAGTGAAGCCAGTCCGGTTCAGGAACAGTGAACCCAGTCCGGTTCAGGAACAGTGAACCCAGTCAGATTCATGAACAGTGAACCCAGTCCGGTTCACGAACAGTGAACCAAGTCAAGTTAGTTCATGATAAGTGGTACCGGTGTTAGTCTCCGCAGTGCAAAATATGTCAATGAATACTTTCAACAAAGGCATGCAAAATAATTGTCATTAGTTCCGTCACAAAACATTTACGCTTCGCACACAACAAGCTGAGCACTTTACATGTAGACATGTCAATATAACTCACTATCACACTTCATAACATGTTCACTTCAATAACAAATGGATATAAAACAAGACCCCAAAGTATGCACCATGTTACCTAGCAACAGTTGCCCTGGATACAACAGCATCTCTTTAGAAGAGATAATACTAAAATAAATACATACGCCACAGGACATAACACTATTCTGTCTCTTTGGGACAAAAACAGCTACAACAAATTGTCCTGGAATGCAGTTACGATGTAGAGTGGGTGACCTGCACCGCAGGAGTGGTCGTCGTGGCAACGCTAGGCATGGAAACCATGACAACTGGCTTGACAACAGGGGTTCCAATCATTTGCCCCGACTGAAGTATATGTGGCTGAAGAAGAGGGATTTGCTTCAGGATCGCCTGCTGCGATAGAACGTTATTGAGTTGATTTGACGCCAAGTTTGCGACAGGCATCCCCGGGGACATGACGGTCATGTTGTTGAGGCCCATGTGTGCTAGCGACATGATGTGTGGCATGCTGGTTACTTGCGACTGGGAGGAAGTCAGCATCGTTCCCGCGGGGATGCTCCCAACAGTGGATAATACTTGTCCTGTGGTCTTGGGTAACGCTCCAGCGATTAACGGATTAAATGTCAGCTGTCCGGGCACCAAGTGTGCTGGGGACGTCGCAAAGATGGGTTTGATTGTTGGGACTGTTGTTACTGTGGAAACGGTGGGTGGGGCCAAAGTCGTTATGACGGAAGGTAAAGGGTTTTTAACTGAATTCAAATGATTCAGGATGGCGGATGATGATCCCGCAGCGTTCGAGATGCCGCCGCTACCAAGGGCAGTTGCAGCCACCAACAGCGGATGTCCGAGAGCCTTGGAAATATTTGGGATGTTGACTGTGGCAGTCATCAGTTTCCCCGATCCTGTATGACCTCCAGGATTTACAGAGGTCGTAGACGGGGCAAGGTTACTAATTGCAAATGGCTGCCGTAAGGATGTAAGTGGCTGCTTCATATTCATCTGAGAAGCTGCACGGGCAGCTGCAACAGAGAAAACGAACATCTCATTTAGAATGTGACATTGTTAATAATTGATTAAATCGTATTCAACAATGTTATTAACAACAACACAGTCAAATCACTTGTGTAAGGCTAAAAAAGAAAATCTTGGTTCTCAATCACTGGCAGCATAACAAAGTTTGCCACTTGTTTTGTTTTTATTTCCATTATTATAAAAAACTAAAAATACTTAAATATTCCAACAGTAGTCATATAGTGTATTACAGTATTTACTCATCAAGGAATATATTTATGTTGGGAGGCCCTTTCCCAAGTTGATTGTACACAACTTTTTATGTGGTTACATATTAGTTTGAACAACAACAACAACAAAAAAAGACGCTGCCATTGCCTGAGAACCAATACTTTTATTTTATTAAGCCTAAAAGAAATTTAAAAGTGGCTGTCATATTTATACTGCATCAGCAACATTTCAGTTATATCATGACATATTATATGTGGAAACAAACTAGTCTGAGGCCTTCAAACCAGTGGTCGATAGTATAAGCACCAACCCCAACAGCTGATAATGAAGACACAAAACCGGGTCACATATTCATTGCTGCCAACTTTCTCAAATTACAATGAGTATTTTGCTACAATCTTCTGGTCAGGACACCAAAGCTTGGCGATGTGAATCATCTACAATACAATACAACCATGTGATTCCGAAACTCAATGGATAATTTTAGTGGTAGGTTTCTATTTAGATTACAGCAACTTCCGACGATGCAAGTAGAGCGTCTCAATTGAGCAGATGCAACGCTATGAATAGCCTTCATGCCAGCCGATAAACAAGACGTGGTCATAGCAGACAGATTAACACTAAATAGTTACCTTCTCTTTTCTGATGTCCATAAAAATTTAGTGCTTGTCATTTTTTTCGGTACATGGGTATATGATTCGTATGAATAAAGAAATCATATTTCGTATTTTAGTTGCAAATTCGTAACACATACGAAAATGACAGCTATGTACAGTGTACCCACCAAATCTTCCATTTGTCAAGCACAGGGTACTGGGGGCCTACTCTGCCCTGGGAAAAACGATGTCCACTCACCCTGAGACGCTGCAAGAGCTTGTTTCTGTAATGCTTGGCGTTGTGTCAGAGTGTCATGGAGAATCTGGGTGACGGGGGGTCTCACCATGGGGGGTCGGGGGGCTACAGGAGGGGGCACTGCGGCCGGGGCGGCAGTTGTTACCGGTGACGAATGGTGCCCAGTAGAACTTGCTTTACCCGACGGCATATTTTTATACATTCCTAGCGGCATGGACTTCACGGCAGAGTTCATCATTGCTGTTAAAATAGACAGAAGTCATACAAAGTTAAATATTTGTGAAAACATAAAACAATATCAGTAAAATCAGATCTTAGTTCTCGCTATCGCTAAACAAAGATCTGAGGACATCCCATTACGGGTAACGTCAGAACAACCTTTCATCCAACCAATCAGAGCGTGATCATGAAAGTGACTGTCGGAATGTGTTTTCTACTTATGTAACCACGAAATATTTAACACAGGGTATTCCGAACGACAGATACAGGTTTTATGCTTAAGTCCATAAAAAAGTTTTAATTTTTTTAATCGAGAATACGTCAAAATATGTTTCGAAGCGTAGTCGCCAGTTTGAAACTAGTGTCGTAAAGCTCGAGAAGGCTGCCTTCTGATTGGCTAATGTCGATTTCTTGTCAGTCATTTCATTGGTCGGTCAATATTCATGAAAGGTCATTCTGATGTGACCCGTAATGGGATGTCCTCAGATCTTTGTTTAGCGGTAGCAATACTAAGATCTGATTTTAATGAGATTTACATGAAACAACTTTTTATGAAATTATACCAAAATCATTTTCATGTTTAGTTTGAAATGAAGGTAGGAGTTCTATACACCATCATGAGGCCTTAGCAGTATTAGCCAATTTGACTTTAATATTGTTCAATCTGGCTTCCTATCAGATTTCATCCCAGTTAATGTTAATGTCTTCAAATGAAACTTTAAGGTGGCTCAGTTGTTTCCAGGCAGCAATTCACTATGCAGAGTTATATCCCTTACTCGAGCCAGGATCTGCTGATGGTTGGAATCATGTTTCGAGATCACTGGTCACCATACCCTTACTCGTGAGTTTCACCAAGTAACATACATATCTGGCTGACATCACATTTTTTTATCCTTCCACGTTAAAGTTCCACGCCACAATGTAACTGCGATACTGTTCGAAGCAATGTAATCCAGGTCCGCCGCAATTATGTTTCTAGGCTTGTCAGCACCATACCCATGCTCGTGTGTTTCACCAAAGTGGTAAACATCTGCGGCCTGCGTCACTTCAGGCTTTCCTCCCACATCAAGATGACATGCCATGACATAACTTAAATACTGTTAAAAGCGACGTAAACCCATATAACTTTCACACAAAGCAGTCTACATCCCTCGCTCACTCAAATTAAACTTGGTTCGATGTATCAATACAATCTCATTAAAATCAGACCTTAGTTCTCGTTACCGCTAAACAAAGATCTGAAGACATTCCATTAGAGGTCATGTCCGAACGACCTTTCATCCGACCAATTAGAGCTTCGCTTACCAAATTATGAAAGTGACAGTTGGAATGTGATTTATAATCATGCAATCTTGAAAACTTTAACATGGGGTATTCCGAACGATAGTTATGGGTTTAACGACTGAATCCTTACAATCTAGACCATCTATTAGGTTCCAAAATGTTTTTTTGTTCAGGTTTCAAATTTGTAATCTAGAATATGTCAAAATATGTCTAGAAGCGTAGTCGCCAATTTGAAATTTGTGCCGTGAAGCACGAGAAAGCTGCCTTCTGATTGGTCATTCCATTGGTCCGTCAAAGTTCGAGCAAGGTCGGTCTGACGTAACCCATAATGGGATGTCCTCAGATCTTTGTTTAGCGGTAGCGAGAACTAAGATCTGATTTTAATGAGATTGTGTATCAATATTTCCTCAAGTTATTTTCTGAAAACCAAATGAATTAACAAGCAGCAGGACATCCATCCACCCCTGTTCAGGTGCAGTTGTACTCATTGTTCATACAGTGTGGTTAACACGGAGTACCCACCTTCCATGTTGTGGGTAAGACCTGCGAGTTGGTCTTCCCTGGCCGTCACCAATCAGGTACTATCCAAACTCGGTAGCCATTGTGGTCAGACAATCACCACTTAGTCGCCTCGTAAAGAATCAGTCATTATATAATTAATGTTGCTGATCTTGTCACTGAGCAATTCCATACCAGCTTTAGGTGCGATGCGCTGCAGCGTCGGAGATTCGTCCTCCTCCTCCCCATCATCCTCAGCATCGCTCACGATGGGACTGCGACCCTCTAAAAAAAAACATGGCGTCAGACATAAGCAGTAGTACAGATAATCGAGTGTGAGAATATGTGGGAAAAAACAAACTTAACCCACCTGTTTATAAAATGGACTTGTCCGACATGGCTGAGGTCGGATTCTATTCAGGGGGTCATCATTATTAAAATTATGGTAACTATTTTTAAAGCTTGTACATTATATCAACATTCTTAAAGATGCGGTACATAATCTAGTTATCTCATATAAGAAACAAGTATTTGTCACAGAGTGACGAAATATCCCCCGCCATATACACCATAGTACCAAATATGAAGACAATCCAGCGATTAGTTCTTGAGATATTGTGGCAACACCGTTTTCCAACTCCAAAAACAGATTTGCCTGCTGTGACCTTGAAAATGGGGTCAAGGTCACCAAATCTGACAGGTGTATGCGGTGTCTGTATATACACTATAGTTCCAAATATGAAGACAATCCAGCGATTAGTTCTTGAGATATCGCGGCAACACCGTTTTCTAACTCCAAAAGCAGATTTGCCTGCTGTGACCTTGAAAATGGGGTCAAGGTCACCAAAACCGACTGGTGTCTGCGGTGTCTGTATATACACCATAGTTCCAAATATGAAGACAATCGAGAGGTTTAGTTCTTGAGATATCGCGGCAACACCGTTTTCCAACTCTAAAAGCAGATTTGCCTGCTGTGACCTTGAAAATGGGATCAAGGTCACCAAAACCGACTGGTGTCTGCGGAGTCTGTATATACACTATAGTTCCAAATATGAAGACAATCCAGTGTTTAGTTCTTGAGATATCGCGGCAACACCGTTTTCCAACTCCAAAAGCAGATTTGCCTGCTGTGACCTTGAAAATGGGGTCAAGGTCACCAAAACCGACTGGTGTCTGCGGAGTCTGTATATACACCATAGTTCCAAATATGAAGACAATCCAGTGTTTAGTTCTTGAGATATCGCGGCAACACCGTTTTCCAACTCTAAAAGCAGATTTGTCTGCTGTGACCTTGAAAATGGGATCAAGGTCACCAAAACCGACTGGTGTCTGCGTAGTCTGTATATACACCATAGTTCCAAATATGAAGACAATCCAGTGTTTAGTTCTTGAGATATCGCGGCAACAAACAGGTGGGACGTACGGACGGACGGACGGACGTACAGACGGACGGACGGACGTACGTACGGACGGACGTACGGACGGTCGTGAATACTATATCCCCCGCTTCGCGCTTTCGCGCGGCGGGGGATAATAAACAACTCGTGGTCGTTGCTTATTGTACAATAAAACATTGCAGGGAGAATAAACCACTCAGGGATGGCCCCTTGTGGTTTATTCTCCCTGCAGTCAACTCCAACTCCTCTTTTTTCACTGGTGGCAGTGGATAAGAGCAATACTCACCGGTGGCAGTGGATAAGGGCAATACTCACCGGTGGCAGTGGATAAGGACAATACTCACCGGTGGCAGTGGATAAGAGCAATACTCACCGGTGGCAGTGGATAAGAGCAATACTCACCGGTGGCAGTGGATAAGAGCAATACTCACCGGTGGCAGTGGATAAGAGCAATACTCACCGGTGGCAGTGGATAAGAGCAATACTCACCGGTGGCAGTGGATAAGAGCAATACTCACCGGTGGCAGTGGATAAGGGCAATACTCACCGGTGGCAGTGGATAAGGACAATACTCACCGGTGGCAGTGGATAAGGGCAATACTCACCGGTGGCAGTGGATAAGGACAATACTCACCGGTGGCAGTGGATAAGGACAATACTCACCGGTGGCAGTGGATAAGGGCAATACTCACCGGTGGCAGTGGATAAGGGCAATACTCACCGGTGGCAGTGGAGGTAGAGTTTGTCTCCTGTTCCTGACTGTGCATCCATTGCACCAGGTCCACCTCGATGTTCATCTCGGCCAGCTCCATCTTGAGTGTAGCAATGCGGTCGCGGAGACGAGACTTCTCCTGCGCCAGGCGCTGTAGTTCCATCTCATACTCCTTCTCCTTTCTCTTCAGGTTCTGAAGACAATGTGACAGTGTTATTACAGTTAGTCACCTCCCTGCAACAAATCAACAACTGAGGAACAAAAATTACTAGTTCCATCTTGTATGAAGGGAGGGGTCTTGTGCCAACTACTTTCAGTCTGAACGCCTTTCTTTCCCTTCAACATCATCTTAAGTACATTTTCCACTCAACACAGACTTTTTTCAGTGGTCTTACTTATCAAAAACAAGAAAACAGCATTATCCCTATCACCCGCCAAGGGGCACATTAGAATCTTGTTTGTTCATATTGTAGTGGATATAAACTAATAAATAGAGTCCCATAATGCCTTGAAAAGAGATAGGCACTTGTGCCACTTTATGTCATTAAATGATTAAATTGAAATTAATACACACAATGGCCCCTTTTCTGGAAAAAATCTTACTCTCTTACTATATAACCGAAGTTCAGTAGTTCCTGAGAAAACCTGTCCCCATTTCATGCAGTATGCACTAAGTTGAAAAGCACAAAACAAGGGCCATAATTCAGTAAAACAATAACTGACAGGTCCAATTTTCGAACTCAGTCTTGACAAGTGTCTCTAGATAAGCATAACATTTCAATTATGTGACTTCAGCAGTTTCTGAGAAAACCTGTCCCCATTTCACACAGTATCATTAAGTTGAAAAGGATGGAGCAAGGGACATAACTCTGAAAAGAATTAATTTACAACACCAATTTTCAAACTCATTTGAGATCATGACCAGAAACAACAGTGTGTAAAATTTCCTTTCTCGGACTTAAACAGTTTCTGAGAAAATTTGTCCCCTTTGAGAACCAGACGGACTGACAGAGTCCGTTCCTATATCCCCTGCCCGACTTCGCAGCAGGGAATGATAAAGTTTACTTGGCCCAGGCTTGGCTGAAGCAAGAAACTAAAAAAGCACTTTGCTGACTGATGTAAGGGAGGTAACCTCAAAACTGAGAAATGTTCAGATCTTAAGAAAGAGGCTGACGTCATGAATTAGAAATTGAGAATTTTACAGTCACCATTATCACAAAAAATAAAATAGGAAACCGTGACATTATTTGTTAAAATCAACAACTTTCATGGATATGTTTTTTACGATTTGGATCACAAAGAGACAACAGTAACAACAATTATAAATGTTAAAACTGACACAGCACTTTTACTCTCCTTATTTCTTTTCTTGCTTTGGTTTTTCAACAGCAAAGCAATTGTGGAGTCATCCCACAGATGACATCCGTACCTTGTCAGCTTGAAAATAACATTGAATGAAATCTTGAATAGAAATTAAGATGATAGATTACAAACGCAACAGATTGTCGAGATATACAATGAACATTTTCACGACCAGATAGTATAATAACAGGAGCGACTTGCATCTTTTTGTTTTGTTTGTTTGTTGTTTAATGCCGCACTTACCAATATTCCAGCTATATGACCGCGATCTGTGAATGATCGAGTCTTGACCAGACAATCCAGTGATTAATATCATGAGCATCTATCTACGCAATCAGGATACGATGACATGCATCAACCAAGTCAGCGAGCCTGACCACCCGATCCCGTTAGTCGCCTCTTACGACAAGCATAATCGCCTTTTACAGCAAGCATGGGTTGCTGAAGACCTATTCTACCCCGGATCTTCACAGCAAGCATGGGTTGCTGAAGACCTATTCTACCCCGGATCTTCACGGCAAGCATGGGTTGCTGAAGACCTATTCTACCCCGGATCTTCACAGGCAGAGTACTTCAGCATGGATTTGTTGACACGCTGTTGCTGGTGTTGTGTGCTCGCAGTGATGTCTTTTGGTTTGGAAAAATTATCTAACTCACTGTATGTGTATTATGCACACACCCCTCTACAGGCTTGATTATTTAAAGGTTGCCAAGATATAGCTGGAATACTGCTGACAACAACATTCACTCACTCACTCCAGTACAATGCCATGGTTTTTTGCACTACATGTGTCAGTCAAGGGTGGCTTTGACAATATTTAAAGGGGAACAACACTCCAACCATCTGTCGTCTAGCCGGCGCCGTTTTTGTTAGCCCGCGTAATCACCAGATGCCGATTAACGTCAGCCATCCAACAAACTGGACTTCACACCTCGTTGACAGTGAAGGGGATTCCCCTTAATCTTTACATTTGATTGGATGATGCTTACTATAACCTTTCACCTTGCAAAATGCTTCAGCATGTGTAAATGTGTGTGTACATTATGTAGTTTAACACACCGATAATATGTGTACATATAATTGCAACAATGAAGTTAAGTTTATATACTCAAAACAGCAACGACCCTTATTTTTCAGGCAAATTGCATATAATACAACAATTACTACTCCCTTCTTGTCATCCATGTTTCATAGTATAACCCTCCACCTGTGTATTTGTCGTCATTAACTTGATGCTCAGTTATTGTCAGGTGAGGTGAAATTGGGTTTAACGCCACATCCAAGATTATTGCACTTATATAGCGTCGTGCATGTACGTGTGTGTGTTTGTGTGGCTGCTTGTACGAGTCCGGACTGATGCCGATTTATAGTGCTAGCTCACTGAGATACCATGCCGCAGTTTAACATGAACACCCCACTTAGAACCAGTATACTGACTCCGAGCCGACCAGTTCTTGTTTTAGCCCCTTAATGCCGAGCGCCAGACAGGGTAACAACAAGTACCATCTTTTAACGTCTTTTGGTATGACGCGGCTGGGGATCGAACCCCAGACCTTCCGCTCTTCCTTGCCGAACAAGGCTGGAATTCCTGAGCCACCAGTGGCTATTACGAGTTATGTCCCTTCTATGCCTCTCCTATGGACTAATCAGATTCCACCTCTCATATCACTTTGTTTCAAACAAAATGGCAGCGCCCAGTCAAGACGATCTGATTGATTGTGATAAAACAGGTCTTATATCACGAAGTGCGTCAAATCCCGTGAGCACCTTGATTAATAACATGAAAAGATTTGAAAAATATCTGTTGACAATGAGTTGGCGGTGCATATGTTTTGCAAAATGTTGATCAAAGGATTAACCAATAATATGTTGATTGATTAATTACTGTGGATTTTTCAAAAGTGTTAAGAAATGTTTGTTTACTAAAGCAGACAGAATACACCTATATCTGGGAGTGAAGTGCCGATATATAAACAACATGCTTTGCTCAAAGGATTAGCCGATAGTATGTTGATTGATTGCTCATTTGTTCATACTCAATGGATTTTTTTTGTTAAAAACGTGGACACAATGAACATAGTTGTCACGTGTGCTATCTCAGCTGACCAATGTTTGTTTGTTTGTTGTTTAATACCACACTCAGCAATATTCCAGCTATATGACAGCGGTCTGTAAATAATCGAGCCTGGACCAGATAATCCAGTGATTGATAGCATGATCATCAATCCACAATTGGGATACGAATATCATACGATGACATGCATCAACCAAGTCAGTGAGTCTGACCACCCGATCCCGTTAGTCACCTCTTACGACAAGCTTATTCGCCTGTTACGGCAAGCATGGGTTGCTGAAGACCTATTCTACCCCGGATCTTCACGGGTCCTGCTGACCAATGAGAGGGAAATACTGGTTATAATATCCCGAAACACTAAACACATTTTAAACTACTACAATGTTACAAAGACACGTGGCATCGAACAACTCTTTGTACAGCTTCAGCAAAATGGGATGTTGGTCCTTTATGTGAGTGTGAACGAGTTTGGTTTAACGCCGCTTTTAACAGTATTCCAGTTAAATCACAGCGTGTCAGCTTAATGTGGGAGGAAAGCCCGAAGTGATGCAGGTCTCAGACGTTTACCATTTCGGTGAAACCCACGAGCACGGGTATGGTGCTGACAAACCTAGAAACTTAATCGGGGCGAACCGAGATTTGAACCCACAATCATAGGTTTCTGGTGTGCCAAAGGGATGCAACTCTGCACAGCGAATCGCGGCGCCTCAGAAGACTGGGCCACCCATGCCCCCCAGTCCTTTATGTGAATATTGACGGATACATTCCTCGCACAAGGTAACTGCCTTATACTTTGATATAACTTTTGTCGGTTGTAATTATGATATTTGCATAATTTATCTTAAATTTATTGACCAAGTTTGTTATCACTGATGGGATGCTATGTAGTTTTTTATTGTACACAATATGCTGCTGACGGATAGCTTCACCCTTTCAAGTCGTGTATGCATTAATCAACAACAAAAACACAAGTCAGTTTGGCTGCAGCTCTTAATTGTACACCTTTATTCTCTATGGCTTCTCATTCTTAGATCCTCTGATAGGCGTCGCTTCCCACAGCGCAGCGAGAAGATCAAGGAACTTAAGTCAAACAAGTCAAATTTATAGTCCATAATAAGCAATTTTGAAGCCACGAAGAAAAGGCCGATCCTTATTTCAATACTTTCAAACTTGGAGTGTTGTTTGCCTTTGATACAATACTAGGGACTGGCACTGGCAAATCAATCTCCCTTTTTTCAATGACTGAAAATGGAGCAATGTTTTCCTTCTTTTATGCAGTGATCGTAATTAGACAGTTAAACCTTGTTCGGGGACAGAGCCTGTGCTATATTGACTTGAATCACAGTTAATCATATTTATTCATTCTGCAATGATACCCATGAAGATCCAGGATAGAATAGGTCTTCAGCAACCCATGCTTGCCATAAAGGTGACTATGCTTGTCGTAAGAGGCGACTAACGGGATCAGGTGGTCAGGCTTGCTGACTTGGTTGATGCATGTCATCATATCCCAATTGCGTAAATCGATGCTTATAATGTCAATCACTGGATTGTCTGGTCCAGACTTGATTATTTACTGACCGCCGTCATATAGCTGGAATATTGCAGAGTGCGGCGTTAAACAACAAACAAACAAACATTCCGCATTGAACATGTTGAACTAACTATCTTTAGACAGAAACACACAGCCATGTTGCTTATTTGTTTGTAAACATGAACTGGAAAATAAAATATCAATAATTATTATCTGTTAACACCAGTGGTGACATCAGATTCATTACTGATTCACATCTTATCACAACAGGGCTACTTGAAATAGATCTATCCTCGATAAGGACCATCAAAGTCGATTGCGAAATTAGGTTATGACTCGACATTGTGGGAGCACTAATTGTGCAAAACCAATATCCCATAATTTCGTTTGAATATGTTTTGACTGCAAAAAAAACCTTCAACAAAACACATTCCAAAATGGCTTATCCCTAACATCACAGTTTGCATAAATGATCACATCTGAACGTATTTAGTAAAGCGGTAAAGGTTTGTTTGACACTGACCTAGCGACCACGACAATGTCACATGGCTGTGTTTACTCCACTCAACCAATCAAAAGCTACCATGTGCAGCTGCCTGCTGCCAGAAACATTCCAAATATAGGCAGCCTCATTATTATTCACAACCATCAGATGATGGCCCTTAGCCCCACCTCCACAGCTTAAGCCACGCCTTCTTTTACGGAGGATTATGGGAGATTCTATTTATAACATAGACATACGTTGGCCAACAACAAACCAAACATTCGGGTTATGAATGGGTCTTGGTCCTGTCAGATATTTTATCCAGATTGGAACAGTCTTCATAGCAAATTGAATTTTAATCCAATTTTATTCTTACATCATCAATGCCTAGTATTGGTTCCACTGCTACATATTCATCAAGTCTGTTTATAAAATACACGTTTCCGGGAAAAACTCCGACACCACGTGACGTTTCATGTTTCATTACGTTTTCATTTATGCCAATCATTTCTAATAATGATGATATTCATATTTTTCGCAAAGGTATTATACTGTAAGTTAATAAAAATACTAGATGAACATTATGCTTAATAGAAAACTTCTATTAAATACAATTCTACAAAATCATACTTGAATAGATCTACATGCACATTTACCCACAGAGAAACAGCTGTAAATTGTTATCATATGATAGAGTACATAATGCATTGTGTCAAACTTGGCCATAAATCATATCACCTACCATACGTGTTCAGAATTTTATTTTCTCACGTCATGTATAATAGACCCGTGAAGATTCCGGGTTAGAAGAGATCTTCAGCAACCCATGCTTGCCGTAATAGGTGACTTTGCTTGTCGTAAAAGGCGACTAACGGGATCGGGTGGTCAGGCTCGCTGACTTGGTTGATGCATATCATCGTATCTAAATTACGTAGATCGGTGTTCATGATATTTATCACTGGATTGTCTGGTCCAGACTCGATTATTTACAGACCGCCGCCATATAGCTGGAATATCGCTGAGTGCGGCGTTAAACAACAAACCAACCAACCAATCATATATAATATTCATCTGAAAACAACACACATTTAAATTTAACTGTTATCATGCAGCAACCAGGACTAATCTACGTGTAATATAATAAGATCATTTGACAGTATCAGTAACAGCTAGGAATATATATGACACGCCTTCAAAGATTACCTGTATATATTTCAAAGACCCTCTCAATATGCTCAAGTTCGAAGTCTTTTTGTCTTCCATAAACGGAATTTGTTTTTTCAGCACTTCAAAGCATTCTTTCAAGTGAGCTCGCCTGGAAAAAAAAATCGATTTTCAATGTCAAGTCACCATGACGACAATTGTGTTACTTTCACTGATAAGTCACATTTGTCACAAATAATGACCTTTAAACTGTCGCATGAACTCACGTCACAATTATATACAACTTATTATATATGGATCTATAGCATGTATACGTATGACCCGTCAAGTCAATATTGACATAATTCCGCATAAACAAACATCACACATTACATGTTAACAAATGATCGAGAGAAATCTTATTATTATACACATCTTATAGAGTGTATTGTAGTCTAAGTATATATTAGGAAATGGTCGTTAACGTTTGCAAGTCGTTCAGAAGTAAAACACGCAGTTTATATACCAGCCACGCGGATGTGTCTCGCGATGAGTCTAAAAATAGTAACAAGCATGTCGTCGTGAACCTTCGAGGGCTGGGTAACGCAAAAATGAACATGTCTCACCGATTTTTCTCCAACTTGTTATGGACTTCGCGCGTTCCGGCTCTGAAAACGAAAGATCACACATACATTTCGTGCACTACATGGCAGAACGAAACGCGAGACAGTGTTTTGATTGTGATCCAAACACAAAATGTCGGCCATTTTCAGTGAGAACACCACCTACCCTCCGTAGCGGCGCTTGTCACGGAAATCGTCCCCAGCCCCCCCTTGGCCATGGCTGCTGTCAAGGGACGAGTCTCCGTTGTCATCAATTGACGATGTTTTAGCGTAATGATGAAAATCTTGAGAGGATTCCTCACCTAGTAGAAAGTTAAAATCGAGTCGAGTCTTGACAAGGCCGAGTTCTCATCAATATGCAAATATTTACACTCTTTAGGGATTACTTCAAACATCATCTAAAGCCATATGCAGATTATTTACTATGTTCCACTCATCTCATCACTAAACCTGGTCTAAATATACGAATATTGCAAACATATCTCTGAGAGCACATTTCCCAAAATTGCAATGACATTTGCCGTGAAGCAGTGCATGCCAACTTGGCCATGTGCATAGACTTACCACGTGCTTTAGGCGGGGTACGCCACTTCTTCGACTCGAGAAATTCTGCGGCTTCTAAAAGGGTTTCCAAACTCATTATTCGTACAGATCCTGGTTACCATGTATCTCATGCGATCGTATGCATTTGTAGATCATAAATTATCTAAGTTAGACCCGAGGATATAGAAATTTTCTTCTAAAACTAAACAACCAACATAAGATGGCGGTCGGCTTGATCAAAACACACAGGCGCTAGGCGAAATGACATTAGCACGTGGTCAGTGATTGACACCTGTCAAATTTCGACCAATCGGAAGCTTTCAGTTTGACGTCATCTTACACCACGCTGAAAATCACATGCTTTGTTTTGGCTGAGCTTGAGTGTAAACAGACGTGCGTTTGGTGTCCTTTTGGAGTTGTTGTATATATTTGTACTTCGCTTTATTCACATTCAGCCAAATATTATGATTTACTGTTTTCTGACATAAAATTAAGGCCGTCGATTGCAAATTTTATGAATGACATCCAACAGTATTAGTTGCCATTATTTTGTGGGCGTTCCCGTAGTGATGACGCTTACATCGCCAGTCACGTGCTTCATGGTCGGGAACTGTCGGGATGTAATGTAATGATATTTTCCTGGTTACGTACAAACGGATTACCGTTTCCTTGTTTTAGCCACACGTGTTCTCCGAAAAGTACATTGTACTTTGTTTCTTATTGAGGATGTGTGATCAAACTGTGAGGTATACAAAATAAGTTGTCTATGCCACGAAATATTTGTTTCACCAATTATTTTTTAACAGCAAATTGCCGTCGTGTAGCTCCAATCAAAGACGTATATACGTCTTTGCTCCAATTAAATATAATATGGAGGTGTTTCGCTGCTGATGAAAGTATTCTTTCGTAATCATAATTCTCCTGACGTTTACCGAACGTAAGCAAGAAACACGTGGGGTGTAAAAAACATACATTGACATACATTTTGCTCTATATTACATGACGTTGCAAGTGGCAGTTCTTCAAACAAAAACACATCACCCAAGAAAAGCACGCTACAATATGACGCTAAAACATAACATCATTGGCTATAATAAGCGATTTAAAAGAATCTAAAACGATGATGACAATGTTTTTAAAAAAAACTGAATGATTAAGCCTCAGCAGAGGGAGATGCTTTTGGCCAAGCAAAGATAGACAAGACTTTGAAAGGCATTTAGAAGTTATACATATAACGAAGAGAATTTATGAATGTCAATTTCTTTATTATGAGCAAAACATAATTACCCCGGCCTCCCGTTTGCCAAGTCTCCATTGCCATTTACCTATCAGTGATAATCTAGTCCTGGCTTCCAGTTGTACATAACTATCAGCGCTAATTACTGATAATTGTTGGATTCCATTGTCAGTTGCTAATCACCTATCAGCGCCAATTATCTGTTGGCTTCCCTTGTTAACTTTCCACCTTTTGTTATCTTATTACTTTTGTTTTTCTTACGTGTACATATATATCCTCTCTGCCTCATATAATTCATTCAACTGATGAAGGAGTAAGCATATACTCCGAAATGTTGTGTTCCTCACAGTAAAGAAGTTGACATCCATAAAGATGCACAAGGTATTAAAAAAAACTATTTCGACGCCCGTCTGATCTCACGAGCTTATATGTCAGTGCTATTCATATGTCAGTTCAACATGTTACCGATCGAAGTTGGTTGTGGAAAATACTGAGGTATCTCTCTCTCTCTCTCTCTCTCTCTCTCTCTCTCTCTCTCTCTCTCTCTCTCTCTCTCTCTCTCTCTCTCTATATATATATATATATATATATATATGGGAATAATACTGGGTAGAAACCAACTTTGATCGGTGATCAGGATGTTTCACGGTGCATTCGTACCCAGTCGGTGCGAAATCAACTCTTCGTGATCGGTTGGATATTTTTTATATATTCAAATCAACAGTTAGCCTACCAGCGCTGCATTGAAAGGTATGTTAAGCTCCTAAATGATAACAATATTACTGTGTATATATCGATCTATGCTCATATGGCGTCACAGAGAAGTGACGCTTTATGTTAGTTTCACGAGAGAATACGCACATTTTGCTTGTCAAATAAAAAATAATTTCGATTGGAAGTCGTCGTGTTTGAGGTTTAACATAAACTATAATTCCAAAGGGGTTTGGGGAACATTGAAACATTTAGTCTGATAATAAATACAATCAAACACCGTTGTGTCGAACTTCAACTTCGACACAACGGTGTTTCACTGGAGTCATTCATCTCGAATCCTTAAATTGTTGCTAACTTCAACAATCACCCAACCATGTTCTGATTTCAACATCGCTGGTTCCCGTCGTATTGGCCTTCATTAAAAACAAGGGGGTGAAATGCAAGTGGTCCGTCTGGTATGAAAGATTAAACACATCATCTCTGACAAAAACAAGTCTGAAATTATCGTTGTCGTACTGGGGATTCTAAAAAAACAACCGTAGGGGCGGTCGGGTAGCTCAGTGGTTAAAGCGTTCGCTCGTCACGCCGCAGACCCGGGTTCGATTCCCGACAATGTGTGCCCATTACTGGTGTCCCCCGACGTGATATTGCTGGAATATTGAAAGAAGCGGCATAAAACCATACTCGCTCACTCTAAAAAAAACCATATTGCCTGAGCAGACGATATCCTGTGGTACAATTGTTTTATAAAAGTGGAGGCGTGAATGCATTTTACACGAATTTACGTCAGAAGTTAGGCATTTGCTGTCCTCCTTTCATATTTATGACTGGTAACCTTCAAGTGTGCTTTACCATAAGCGTGTGTTCAGATAACACATTGACCCTCAAGCTGATTTCCTCCCGTCCGCCTAAGGTGTTGAATTGTGGTTGTGAACTGAAACAGTCGTGTGGAGAACCGTATGTTGACGATATGTGTCAAAATGGCGTCTGTCACCTGTCGGAGTTCTTAGCTATGTGAGCCGTGTAAAATATTTGACGTTTAACTTTGATTATTAGTAGACGATGAGTGCACAACAAAATACATAGAAATACAAACCAAGCTTTGAAGGTACGTATTATGGAATGTTATATAGGAATCATGGTCGCTGTATGCTTCAATTTCCAGATATGTTTCGTTGTTTTACAACCGATCAACGACGGAGTATGTCCACGTTTACTAGGTGAGTTGATTTCTGGACTGTGTACTAACCGCTGATAGTGCTACGGTCCCAAGTAGGCATCGCTTATTCAAACACACAACGGTAAACAAACAACATACAGGTGAAAATTGCAAGACATAAGCAAGCTGTTAATAAACGCAGAGTTCACCTGTGAAATAAACAATGATGGCAAGTTTACCTGAGTGGCACCTGCTGAATATGATCTCGATGCTCAATGATGGTGACATCGAACCTAAAGAACAATAAGCTGTTTTCGATGTCACTTTTGTCTTGTTAGCTTACTTACAGTGTTGGAAATATGTGAATTTTGCATTATATTTTAGGTAAATAATAAGAAAATATCAAAATCTTGCGCAAGATTGATTTCGAAATCTAATATCAAATTTACATACTCCAATGCAATAATTCTTCCACCAAACAAATATATTGTATAAAGAACTTAGATCTGCTTCAAGTTTGACATATCATAATTACATATGATCAGAGCTGGAGATAAGCAGCGTATTTACGTAAAATATTAGGCATATATTGTGACTTACTTCTGGCTTGATATTTATCATAGCATTTTGGGGTCACGGGTGGCCCAGTGGTCTAAGGAGCCACACAATTCACTGTGCAGAGTTGCATCCCTTGGGCACACCAGAAACCTATGATCGGTTAAAATCTTGTTTTGCCCCAAACATGTTTCTAGGTTTGTCAGCTCCAAACCCATGTTCACCAAGGTGGTATATGTCTGAGCCCTGCATCACTTTTCTCCCACATTAAGCTGACAGACCATGATGTAACTGGAATACTGTTCGGTACAGTTTATCTCACTCACTCACTCACTCACTCACTCACTCACTCACTCCAAGCAATCTGACACACAATTTGTTGCATCAACTAAGCATCACATGACCCATTCCCTCGCGTCATGGATACATGTTTGCATGCATGGCATCATTTGGCTCCGCAATCTGGACTATTAACAAGTCAATAATAACACGAGCCAACAGCCGTCCTAACGCAGGCGATAATTACCTGTCAATTAATATTAAACAGTCATGAGATCATTGATCTGTTGTTGTGTACGTCTGATTGATTTGTATATACAATCAATAATATGGTTTCTTAATTGGTTGATTTTCTCGGACATTGTCTGATTGTCAATGAAAGGGGAAGAAGATGTTCCCAAACTTGGTACTGATATTGAAGAATGTCTCGTCAAAATTTAATAAAATCAAGAAAATATGTGATGGCTAAAACATGGACTGGTTGGCTCAGAGTCAGTATACTGAGTCTGAGTGGGATATTCATGTTAAACTGCGGCATGGTATCTCAGTGAGCTAGCACTATAAATTGGCATCAGTCCGGACTAGTACAAGCAGCCACATAAACACACACACGTACATGCACATCGCTATATAAGTGCAATAATCTTGGACGCGACGTTAAACCCAATTTCACCTCACCTCAACACATGTATTGTGTATGGTGCTAGCTGTGTATAGTTCACTGTATGTAATGTATGATTCATACCATTTCATGGGACGCTTTATGGTTCTGCATGGTTTATTGTTTTGACAGTTTTTTTTTCATTCCGGCAGAGATAACACACCCGTGTGTGTTTGCTTCTGGATACATAGGCAATCAACAGTCTGGTCTGTAGTTTGCAATTATAATCCTGTTTTGTTTATTTAAAGCAGTAATTGTTTATTGTTAAGCAAGTTTATCTCTGCAGCCGTTGAAATATGCAGCTACTCGCCGACTCATCTCGCATCAAAACACGGGGCTGTGTACTCACGGGCAGATGACCACTGAGTACGCTGATCACTCTGTCGGATTAACGAGACTGGTTAATGAGTGATTTCAGCAACTCATTGCAAATTAGGTGTGTCGAAGTCGGAGTGCGAGACTGTCGGATTAACAGGTCTAAATAGCACTGATTCAATCGGTTCCCATCATTTGTGTCGGATAAAGCCGATTGTTGGATTAATGAGTGTCGGATAAACGAGACTTGACTGTATGTTCTTTGCCTCTGTAGTTTGCAATTATTTTCCTGAAACATAATATGGTTGCATGATATATTCACGATGTTTGGGTTGAACACAGTAACATTCTTCTAAACAGACTTCAACAAGTAACAACACAAACCCAGTTAACCAAACGGAACAGTACACAAGAGTAGTGAGTGAGTGAGTTGGGTTTAACGCTGCTCTGAATAGTATTCCACTTATATCACGGCGTGTCAGCATGATGTGGGAGGAAAGCCCAAAGTGATGCAGGTCTTCGGTGAAACCCACGAGCATGGGTATAGTGCTGACAACAGAATCGGGGTGAACCAGGATTCGAACACACTGTCATAGGTTTCTGGTGTGCCCAAGGGACACAACTCTGCATAGTGAATGGCAGCGCATTAGGCGTTTGGGCCAACTGTAACAAACTATCATACAACAAAGATGTTTTAGATATGTATTGCGTAACATTCCATGAAGAAACAGTGGCAAGATTACACTATCACAAACTACAAAATATATGCACAATAAGTGCAAAACACACAGGTGCATTCAACATACAAAGAAGGTACTTAATAACAAATTTTATTTTAAAACAAGTGTATTATAATGATAGGGAAACAATACAAGAATTGAGCAAAACTGTGGTTTATGTTGACCATGCAAGGAATTTGTTTATAATTGTAGATATGATAACAGATCTTGGAAATTGTTTCTAGATAACTGTTGTTAAAAATTGTTAAGAATGGTTCCTTTTAACAGAGTGTACCAAACTCTTTATCATGATTGAGGATTATTTGTGATTCTC